CTCATTCGTCCCAAGCTCTCTTTGGCTTCAGATGGTAATTATCGTGAGCAGAGATGGTTCACACCATGGAAAGGCGAGAGAATCGTCGAGCAGTACTATTTGCCAAGACTGATCACGAAAGTAACGGGACAACATAAAGTTCCAATTGGAGATGCTGTTATCAGCACTTATGATTCTTGTTTTGGTGCTGAGACTTGCGAGGAGTTATTCACGCCAAGGGCACCACATATAAATATGTCATTGGATGGTGTTGAGATCTTTACCAACAGTAGTGGTAGTCATCATGAGCTTCGAAAGCTAAACATTCGTCTTGAGCTTATCAAGGAAGCTACTTTGAAGGCCGGAGGCATATATTTATATGCTAACCAGCAGGGCTGCGATGGAGATCGCCTTTACTATGATGGATCCGCCATGATTGTTGTCAATGGTAAAGTTGTTGCTCAAGCAAGTCAATTTTCTCTATACGACGTAGAGGTGGTAACCGCCACTGTTGATTTAGAAGAGGTGAGGGCATATAGAACCTTCAGATCCCGTGCCATGCAATCGAGGGAAACAGCAGCATACGAAAGAATCGAAGCTGGTATGAGCCTTTCGAGTGACGCTGAGGACGTGAATCCCTTGGTGCAACCTACCAAGGAAATTCCAATCAAATATCACGTTCCTGAGGAAGAGATTGCACTTGGTCCAGCTTGTTTCTTATGGGATTATCTTCGTCGATCTCGTCAAGCGGGATATTTTGTGCCACTCTCTGGAGGAATCGACAGTTGTGCTACTTCAGTCATAGTTCATTCGATGTGTCGAATCGTCTATGCAGCAATTGAGAAAGGCGATAACCCTCAGGTTGTTGAAGATCTACTCAGAATCGTTGGAGAAGAGGAAGACAGCACATGGCGTCCATCCAGCTCACAGGATATTGCCAATCGCATCTTCCATACTGCTTATATGGGATCTCAAAATTCCTCAGCGGAAACACGAGGTCGCGCCAAGGATTTAGGTGGAAAGATTGGTAGTTATCATCTTGATTTCAACATTGACACTGTTGTTTCAGCAGTCACCACATTGTTCACAACCGTTACCAGTTACACGCCTAAATATAAAATGTATGGAGGAACGCCGGCATCGAACTTGGCATTGCAAAACATCCAAGCTAGACTTCGCATGGTCTTAGCTTATCTCTTTGCCCAACTCTTACCTACTGTTCGTGGAAGAACAAAACCCGGATCTTTGTTAGTGCTAGGATCTGCAAATGTCGACGAATCACTCAGAGGTTACTTCACCAAATACGATTGCAGTAGTGCAGATATCAATCCTATTGGCGCCATTTCCAAAACGGATTTAAAAAGATTCATTCTCTGGGCCAGTACAGAATTTGAAATGCCGCTCCTCCAAGACTTTATCGACGCTCCACCAACCGCTGAACTCGAACCCATCACCGAGGATTATGTACAGAGTGATGAGGCTGATATGGGTATGAGCTATAACGAGTTATCAATCTACGGTCGTCTTCGCAAAGTTGATAAATTAGGACCCTATGGAATGTGGACTAAACTTCTGCATGAATGGGGTCATGTCCTTTCCCCAAGAGAGATCTATGAAAAGACTAGATGGTTCTTTTGGTGCTATTCTATTAATCGTCATAAGATGACTACCCTTACACCAAGTTATCATGCTGAGCAATATTCGCCCGATGATAATCGATATGATCTGAGACCATTTCTTTACCCAGGCTTCTCGTTTGCGTACAGAAAGATCGAAAAGGCATTGAGTGCTATGGGGGTAGCTGCGGATAAGAAACCGGAGGTAGAGGAGGGAAAGAAGAATGAATAGATAGATGGTCTCCTAGATTGACAATTACTAGGTCCGGCTTAGACAGTATTAGAAGTCAATCAAAACCAGCTTTCATACTTTATCCATCCTTCGATTGGTGATGCACATCAACAGACCTTATCACCACAAGACCCATTGAAAGAATACTAGACCAATCATCCAACTAACATCGAGCTTCTCAATCAAATATGGGCAGTAGATCACGCTCCACCATTCCACTCCTTCACCACCTTCGTCCTCCCCTTCCACTGCTCCCACCTAACTCTTCCCCTGCTTCCCCAAGGCCAAAGCACATGCGTAAGTTTTCCAGTAATCAAGTTTATCGCGATCGGTCCATAATGATTGCTATCTAATGTTTTCCTCGCATCGGCATTATCACCCTCAACCCAGACGTGGCCCGCAGGTATATCGGCATAAGGGTAGGGATAGGGGGCGTGAGTGTAGACGCGGTCACCTGGGAGCGCGATGATGCGTTTTATTGCTAGGGTTTCGGGATGGTAGGGGGATCTGTTTTGCGGGAGGGGAAATCAGCTTGAGCTTTGTATTTTATGCTTTGAATATTGCTTCTTGCATGTGAATATGCAAATTGGAAAATAGAGATAGAACAGATAGAGAAAGAGAAATCAAACCTACCGGAAAGAAACAAGCATTCCCCTTTCCAAATCTCTTCCCTTCCTCCTCTTATCCACTAAACACACATCGCGCGTCAAACTCTCATTATACCCCGTATTGAGAAACGGGTACATAGAGGCGCCATTGATGATATGCAGCTCGGCGATATGGTCTTGGAAGAAAATAGATGCGGGGATCCAGGAGGCGATGATGAGGGACCAGTAGGTGAATTCTTTGAGGAAGGGAGGGATGCGGGAAGATGGGGATGTGGATGGGGATGCGGGAGATGAGGTGGACAATTTGCGGGAGTTTTTATTTTTGAAGAGAGAGGAGGGTTTGAGAATTGAGGAGAGGGGGAAGGGAGAGGTTTTTAGGAAGGTAAGGAGACGGGACATGGTTTTTGGAGGAGGGAGAGGAGGGGAGGCGCATTTTGGAAGAAAGGGAAGGCTGAGGTGAATGTGGAGGGTGGGTGGAAAATGTAGTGATTTCTCAGCCTTGTGCGTGGGTGGGGTGGATTGTGGAGTTTCTATTCGTATCGAGGCTATCTTATCACCTCCATCGAAAAAACATCTGATAAAATAGTAACTATTTTATTGTTTGTAACTGTATCAAGGCCGATTTGAATCATCCGAACGATATATTAAAAACGAATTTCTGCCTAATATAGTTATAAAAATTTTAAAAAGAAAAATCGCATTACATACCTATATTATATAGAATATTACTACTAAATTCTAGATACATTTTTAGCTTAAATCGAAATCTCTTTTTGAGGTTTGTCCAAATGATTTAATAGGCCTCGGTATATAGAGGCCGATAACGCGCATTTGGTCAATACACTAAAAATGACTGCCGCTCCTGCACACTACATTATCCTTGATAGCAAGTCTAGTGATGAAACAAGTCCCCTTCACCCTTGATCAACAGATGCTAGATTATATCCTCGCAGGTAGTGCCTAACAGAGTGATGCAGCAGAATGCTCTCCATACTCGATGCAAAACGAGATATTTATATATACTACGCTACGTTTTGGAGAAAGAAGTTAAATGCTTAAACCCTCTCACGAGAAACCCTTGGCCTAACACTATGCCTTGTCTGCTAGGTACTTCTTAATAAGGCTATACAAAGTAAAACTTGCATCCCAGCTCAAGTCAGCAAGGTTCTAACAGGATATATGCTTTCATTTCCCTTTGCCTAATGTCTATCTACGCTAATAGTTATTACCGACTTCAAAGGTTCACTGTTTAGCTTCGTTTGCTTTTCTTTCCAATTTTCACATCTTCTTTCCTTTTCTTACGAGAAAGAGAGAATGCCCTTATTTGTAACCAGGTTTGGTTAGATTGGGCGACATCGGACCGGTAATAGAGTCATTCACAGCAGCATGGCTTGGCTTTGACACGATCCTTACTGCGTTTTGTCATCGTCAAGAAGCTGAATCTTGCAATACCACAAGCTCTTCGAATCACATCGGCTTCCTTCAGTAATAGGACGATAACGCTCTCCTCCATACAAGATCTAGGCATATTGGCTAAGGTTACTCAAAGCTCGGAGGGACTTATTTATTTCATCAAGTGAAGAAAATCACATTGAACTTACGAATCCTGGTAGTGATGTCAAGCCTAGAATTCCGAATCCGAGTACCGTTTCTTTCCACCCGAAAGGCTCATAACCCAGGTTGGACCGGCAAGTACACTAAATCACCCACGAACGAATTATACAATTTGTTGGGAATGCGAGAGAAAGTCGTATTTTCGTTTGTTCTTCCCGTTTCGAAACTCTGGGGATTACGCCTCTAGAAGTATGTATCCCCCTTTACTCCGTTTACATCTACCTTCCCCACTCCTTCCTTCCCTCCCTCCCTCTCAACCTAAACTACCACACCACCCTCGAACAGAAAGCACTAAAAAGCGTCACAACCCCCATCACCAATCCCCCTACCATTTCGGCAACACATCCAGCGAGCTCTCAGAACCAGCGCATCGGGTTTCCGAAAAAGACGAATATCTTAAGCGAGTGATGACTAATATGAACTCGCTCAATGTGTTTAGAATGGATTTTGTCAAGGCCTGGAGTCAGAATTCGTTGATGGTGGAGCGGGAGCGGGAATTGTGCCTGAGGGTGAGGGTGGGAGAGTATATGTGATGGGATTCGTGATTCGTGATTTGTGATTCGTGATTAGGAGATCTTGCGCGTGGCGATGCAAGGTGGATGGAACCTTATTGTTAGTGTACGATTGCTCTGTCTTTTCTGGGAGTAAATGGAAGGCGCAATTGATTCAAATGAATATGGGGATGAGGCACGATGAGCGGATGGATGTGAATATTTACTACCTACTCATTATATGTTGTGTTTATACAAGAAAATATAATTTCATATGAGACTACTTCATGGAGCTTTGCTTTACGGTAGATTGTTCTGGTGTGCGACTTGTCGAAAAATGAATGAATATAGATAGATGTATGTATGTGTGTACTTAGACATTTATATCTTGCGATTAACTGAGGAAGAGTATTATATCCAATCAATTTGTAGAGGTAGATGCACAAATTTCAAAATCAAATCCAATATATATATCATCTCATTCTACACTACACCAAACTAAACGATATATATACCATGGTACATCGATACCCCTATCCAGTATCCACCATGCGCTATCTACTTCCTCCAACCATTCATCTATCCATTCATGTATCTATTTATAACAATTTCCCACACAAGCCATATCATCTCATCTCATCTCACCCAGCTCTTCGTTAACATTCATAAAGACAAACTCGTACAATCTATAAGCACATCGCATCGCATCGAATCGCATCGCATTCCATCCTAACCTGTCGTATCATATCCCATCATCAATCCATACAGCCTCCCAAAAACCAACAAAATGTCAACTATCCCATCCCATCATACAAAGAAGAAAAAGCAAACCAATGAACCCCAAACTAAACTAACCCAATCCAATCCGCAAAACTTGCATTCCATAACCAGAAATGAAAAACACTCTAAGCACCATAACCCAACCAAAGAAGAGATTCAAGTAAGAGCTAAGAACCTCCTCACCTAAGGACTCAAAATATCCCTCACAATACACAAAATCCCATTATCAGGACAAACCTTGTCCCTCACCAACCCCTTGGTCACCGGTCCCGTCGGTCCTCCCACATACTTCCAGAAGCCAAAGAATTTGCTCTGTCTCTTATCATCTTCAGGATACTGAGCATCTCCCCACTTTCCCAAGTACTCCATCGCCTGTACTGGACTATTTTCACTTGCTTTTGAGAATTCCTTGGTCCTAGCATCGTATGTGTAAAAATATGATGAGAGAACTGGATCCCATATTGTTCCCCTCGATGTATAATCTTGGAGTAATCCGGCTGGCAAATTTAAATCCGGGATTGTATGATCATGGGTCCCCGAAATCGCATAATTAGCATGACTTCCTCTCGCCGAATAAGCAATTGGTCTCTTTCCACTCTTCTCAACCACCGAATACTTGAAAGCTTGTCCGTTTGCATGCTGTGAGTACCAGACCGCCTGAGGAGTACCGTTTACGAAACGAATCATGTTATGTTCCCAATCTCCTATATGATTACCTAACTCTTGACCAAGTACTGTATTTCCTTGATTATAGGCATAGAAGTACATGTAGAAGACATCGACCAAACCATCTCCATGATCGGTAAGGATAACAGAACAGGAGATGGCATCTTGAGTGCGACCGGTTGTGGAAGAAGGGACAACTCCGGTTAGGAAGGTAGGGGAGGTGGTGATATCGACTGTAGATGTTAAATAGACTTCTGTGCCCCAATTGTTTAGTTGATCAATTGTCTCGAGATTGAGAGGGGATGGGAGAGTGTCCTCTGGTATCAACGAACGGTTGACATAAGGTTTAGTATTAAGGACTTGGGCGTATATGTCCGAAGGAAAATACATTTCTGATTGATCTAACCAGACGAGTGGTGCTAATAAACCCACATGTTAGTGAATACTGTAATGATATGAATGTCTGATATATTGAATGAAACTTCTTACCATAATCAAATACATATGAAGGTAATGTAGTATTAGGTAATGTAGCTGCATTACCAAATCTGAACATTGCCAATCCCAAGCATGTCAACATATGCTGCTGTTGGTATACCATTGTAATCAATAGAGCAATTGCTATGAGCTTTGTAGATACGAGTTAGCTGTTTGAGTTCAATTTCAATTGCGATCCTGATATTGATTTTGACCCCACCAAACTTGTATGGGCCGAGGATAGTTATAAGAGGGGGAAGTCCGTCACGAATCACAAGAGTCAACATACCTCCAACCATATCGCAGCCCCCGGCAGCCTTTTTCTCGTAAAAAATCTGGACCATCCACAAAGCCATTGAACAGCTAAAGCATCAGCGTCTACTACCTCAGCATCTACGCCACTGGCGAGGCCCTTCTCCTCGTCCATTCTATCGGTCGATTTCTCCACGGCCATGATGTCCGTGGCTGATTCCTAGGAACAGTTCTAAATGCAGGCTCCAAGGATTCTATGTCCCACCTCGTATAGTATAATATCCGGCCGTTTCGTAAAATATTCTATTCGAATCCCAACAGACTCGCCAACCTTGATGCGCAGCGTGAGCGCGGAGAATCAAATCCGACCTCAATCAAGTATTTCGAGTCCCAAGTTCCTGGCCCACTACACAATTCTTCGCAAGACCAATTACGATCCTCTCGCAATGTAATTTCTCACAATAAATATGATGTATAATCTTCGAAATCCAGTTCGTCGTCGTAAAAGTATCGACGTCTCTTCTTCCCCTTACTTGTCTTAACTCTTCGAATCAATAAAATCCGCAGCTTCCCTACGGCCCGCGCTTCTCCTCTAAATACCAACTCTCGTCGCACCGAATAGGTATCGTGCCTACACAAGTACCGTAAAGAAAGAAATCATGCAGAGCCCGCTCGTGCACATATAATCATCTACACAATGACTGAATCATGCATTCACTGCGTCCGTCAAGAATACCTTCCAACTGAGTCAATGGCCGAACCGGAGGGCGGGAAACCGGTCAAGGTCGGTCTGTTGGTTGGAAAGCTTAAAAAGGTAGGGTTATACACAAGGGAATCCGTTCGTATATATTCGAGTCATCTGTAACAGTAGAAAGAGACCATACAACCATAGTTTTGTTCGTGGCCATTAATAAGAAGTACACACGCAGTCCACGGGTAGATGGGATCTGCCAAAACTGGTGGCTGATAAGTGGCTGATAAAGGTTTCAATGCAATCAACTTCCCCAATTGGTCCCAGCTTTCTTACATCATCTTACACCAACATTTCCTCGGCAGTTTCCACTCCGCAAAGCGCCACATGGGGATCGGACTGCTAGCCGATTGGTTGACTTCTCTATTTATATTTTGGTCATTCATGCATCAATAATCCCAGCCATTAACCGATTTACAAACCCATGGGTTCTTGAATTGACATCTGACAACGAGCTTTGATAATGTCTCTTGATCCATTTTATCATACGCTCCCGAGTAGTCATTTTAAGTTTCGCAGGTTTCAGACTCTATATGGTATAAGCATCACAAGTGACATCTAATGATTGCGTGAGTATGAAAAAAGGACAATAGCTTATAAAGTAACTAGATAAGTAGGTAAACGAATGATGTACGCCATCCATGCCTTTCCCCCGAATCCTTATTCCATCCCACTCCCGATTCTCCCAAGTAAGTAGGTAGGTCTTAAAATACCTACCCTTTCGTCAATCCCTTGCCGTCCCTTAGCTTCTTAACCTGGTTTAATCCTATACACCCATACAAAAGAGACGTTCATCTTTCTTCATCCATACACCTCTTACACCTACTGCCAACGCAGTGGCGAGCCAATAACAGGTGTGGTGATGTTCAAGATTACCTAGTACATAAGTTACTTCCCCATGCTTGACTCCATTGGCCCTCCCACCCATCCTCGCCTCTCTCATCATTAAATTGTAATATTCATTCCCTCAGACCCGATTACCGGTTCCTGTCCTCCTCCCCTCTTCTAGGACTTCTACTGCTCGATTGAGACGCTAGACTCCCGCTCAATAAATTCATAGAACTATCAACCAACATACTCCTCCAACTTTCTCCTCGTCTACTAGGTCTGCCAGCGCGAGTTGGTGTAGGAGGAGAAATTCCCCGTTCTAGATCCCCTTCAATCTCGTCTTCAAGATTGCGGGAAATGGGCAGTGCAGACGAGGAAGCAGTATTTACAGTTTCTGCTGCTTGGGCTTGTATATCGTCATCACTGTCATCATCATGATATGCTTCATAACGCGGAGACGAAGGTGATCCTCGAGCGAGGGAACGAACGACATCGCCCTTACAGATAGGACATGTGCGGCGGCGAGTTGTTAACCAAGGTGTTCTAAAGAAAAAACTGTCAATAAATTGTAAACGATGAGAGTAAAGAAAAGGCACATACATGCAGTCCACGTGAAATTCATGGCCACAAGGTAAACTCATGACTTGACTGACACCATCCACGTATTCCTCTAAACAAACCACACACTCTATTTGCTTGCCCATATATTTCTTCCATTGACTAGGTGATCCAGCGTTCTTCTCGTGCTCATTAGGCTGGGGTGCTGTGAGTAGTGGTACTTGTAGTGGATTTGAATTGACTCGAGCAATATCTCCAGGCTCTGGAATCCCTGTTGTTGTCCGTGATCTCGGACGAGGTCTACCTGGTGTTGTATGTGATAGAAGTGGGGTTGATGCTGACGAACTAGTTGGTGATGGCACCGTTGGAGATCGACTGCCAGGCGTGTTAATAGTTTGGTAAGTTCTGACAGGTAATCTTTCGACGACGGATTTCGGTGCTCTCCAACGACGCCGCCTTATTCTAGATCTCAGGAGTAGTAAAGCGTAGACCACGGTCAAAGTGACAAGTGGACTAACAACTAATACTAATAAAGTGTCAAGGAATGGACTAGCTCCACTGGTAGGTGTCAATGTGACCCAAAGCCCATCTTCCTCGTCCTCTCCGTCATCATCATCTTCGTTCTCATCATCAATATCAACACTGCCTGTACTGCTTGATCCCGACGCGAGAAACTCAAAGTCCTCTTCATCATCACCAAAAATAGTTGTCAAAATACCCTTTGTCTTGCTACCAGAGCTTGACTTGTCAGTAGCCTCCTTGGCCTTGGTCTTATCCACTTCCGACGCAAGTTTAGGTGCATATTCTCCACTTCCAGGAGTAATGCTTCCTCCTCGCAGTTTAGGCGCCGCTTCAGTCTCTTCTTGTGTGGAACCACCTGAATTCTTTTTTCCTGCCTTTGTCGGCTGCGGCGATTGGTTTTTTGCCTTATCTGCATCAGACTTCCCGTCTGTCTTTGCGGAACCTGTTTTCGAGTTCTTTTCGGAATCCTTGCTATCAGATGACCCTACCAGATCTGGATCACGCCAGTCCTGTACACCAATCACAAAATCATCACCTGACGCAGGCTTATTTCCACCCTTGCTAGTTTGCTGTGATTTTTTATCAGCATCTGCCTTTTCTTGACCTGTGAGTTTGGCGGTTGATATTTTTTTCGTGCCAGCGTTATCATCGTCCTTCCAATCGTCAACAAGAACCCAATCAAGTTGACCGCTGCTTGGTGGTCGACTACTATCCTTTACAGCACTACGTCCACCAGTTCCATAAAACAACGATTTGAACCATCCTGGCTTCTGCGTTTCGATTGTTGTAGTTTCGCCTTTGACTTTTGTAGACTTCTTCTTAGTCGCCTTATTCAGATTTGTTCGACCCGCCTTCGTAGCTTTGGGTGTAGCTGTAGTAGCTGTAAATGTGGGCTGAGATTCCTTCGTCTTTTTCTTTTTAGTAACTTTCTTTGCCTTGTCATTCTTTTGGACTTTCAATGTCGCCTTTCCACTATCATCCAGTGTATCTTCCATAAAAGTGCCAGGGCCTATGAGTGAAGAGAGTAGATGAGCCGTAGTACGCGATGTAAAGATCGCTGGTATAGTGACATTTGATGTGTCACCTCGAGCATACATCTGAATTAGTGGTCCGCCACTTTTGTCATCACCAACAATCAAAGCAATACCACCCCTACGCTGTACCCATTTCACCTTTTCCAAGAATCCACAGCCTCCACGACTCAATAGTACAACCTTGCCAGCTATTTCCGCACCTTCCTGTATAGATTGAATATCTGCATGATTTACCTTGAGATCTTTGGGTTGCTTGTCCGTATGCTTTGACACTGCTGATCCAGATAGTGGATGGTGAAGGTAATCGTCGGTACCATCATCAGCCGAAGGCTCTCCTGCACTATGTTTGCCTTTTGAAAAACTACTCGACGTGCCATCGATGAAGGCTTTATCGCTATCATTTGCCCTTTTATTTGTTTTCGATTTGCTTGCAGTCGTCGCAGATCTATCGTCTCCAGATTTGGCTCCTTCTGCCGCGCCAGACTTTGCAAAATTATCGACCCAACCTGGCACATCACTACATCCCAATTCGCCTTCAGCCCCAGAGGCAACAGGACCTTGTCGTATGCTATCATCCCCAAACCCACTTCCTATCCATAACTGACCCTTCAATCCTTCATTAGGAAGTAAAGGTCCAAAGGCAGCAGGCCTTGCGAGGAAAGCAGTCGTGTTATCATTCGTAAGAGTTATAATCGCATTGGGAGGGAAGAGCGAGAATGGAGCTCGGAAGGAGAATAACGACTGTATTCCGGTTTTTGGAGTAGTTGCAGTAGCAGATACATTCTGCGGTGAATGAGAGGACCGCAGAGATAGAAATGTGAGAAAGAAAGTAGTAAGGAGAAAAGCAGCAATTATCACGATTCTTGGAGGTCGCATGGTGGGTATCGTAATTTTTTTTATGAATTTCAAAGGCTTAAATAACTCGAAAGCGCCGACATACAACACCTTCAGCTCTTCAGCTGGATCTTGGACGAGCTTGATCGCATCCGAGTTGATCGAAAAGGAACTATGTAAAATACTTCTGCTGCAAATACAAACAAAACAAAAGACTTGCTGGTAAGGGGGCAAAATGAAGCTGGAGGTGGTGAAAGTTGTCGTGGGTTGAGATACAAAGCAGCGGAATTGAGCCACAAGAAAGTTGGTAGGCGAGCGGGATGAATCAGTTCAAGGTAAGGTTGTCTGTGACGATCACGCCGGGCATTTTTAGTTTACGCAGGGAGGGGAGAGGGGGTCTGTGGCTTAGGAATCCAGTATTACAATACGAACGACGAGCTAGGCACCTGCAATTCTATTTACTTATTGTGTAAATCAATCGATTTTGTTTTAATATTTATCATTCTTATTGTAATTATAAAATCAATATATGAATAGTATATACCTACCTGGGTATATATATACACATATCTATATTATGTGTTATCCCCTCTGACCCTCTGACCCTCTGACCCTCTGACCCTCTGACCCTCTTACCCTCTACTCGCTATTGCTTGCTATGCTACTCCACGACTGCTACTCGACGCCGTCTACTCTACCTACCTACCTAGGTACATTTCCTACGTACTCTACGACTCGTACTTGCGACTGCATTCGTACTCTCTTGCCAGCAAAGCAATAGACATGCCAATGCCAACACAAAGAGGTGCAGCAAATGTTGCGCGTTTTCATACGACTACTCCGCACATGCACATCCATCCCTAACCATCTTCGAATTCTTTGTTACACACACACACACACACACTGAAATGGAGTAATAAGGATGAACATCAATGAGCTCACCGGTCCCAGCGAATATCGATACCCGCAACTGGGTGTCTCATTGAAATTAATGAATGACATGTATGTCATCGATTTACAACCGGGTTATTTAAATCAACTTGCTCGAAAGAGAAAATTCGTGTGGCTGTGTTCACCCTATCACACTATTATTACCCACCCGAGCCATCCAGCTGGAGGTACCGTGAATGAATTTATCGGATACAGAAAAAGGAGTTCGAGCATCGAAAATTTCCCGAGTAGATTCCTAGCAGGTCATTCATATGCCTTGACATAATACACGATGTCCGGATTATCACACCCCAGGTCATTTTCATTACCTAGGTAGTTACAAATGCTTTTTTCTCGCTTTCCTTTACCCTCAGTTCGGTCTTACCAATCAATACTTCTACATCGTTTGCGGAAGTCACTCCGAACACTTGTTGTCGAGAACCTCAAAAATTGACCAATTTTCCCTTCTTGAATGAAGGAGATTAAAGGAGTCTAAAGAATGAACCCCTTTTCACTAAAATACATACTATACCTTCCATGTTAGGCATTTACATCCTCTGCTTTCCAGACAGGCACCTGGAAAGGCTACTTTCAATTTGTCTCTATCGTCTCCTAACAAGACTACCAGGAGCATTCGAGAAGCAATATCAGTTGCTGCCAACGGATTTGCCCATTATTCCCAGATCGCAACCAAGATAGTGTTTTCTCTGTATGACACTCAATCTAATCGCGCGTTCCCTGGTTTGCTTTTAGGTACATATCAGTTCGATCAATTCTTCAACTGGGCTACATTATCAAGATGATCAAGTTCATCTGCAGCAGCAACTGGTTAGCTCTGGCAGTACGTCAAGATCAAGACCCCAAATCCTCAAGTACAGCTTTAAATCTCAATGTGGACTTCTCCCTCACAACCACTCATTGACGTGGTACTAAATACTTGGTAGTTCTAAGCAATTGTTTTCGCCACATCAAGCCCCCATCCGTGCTCAACCCTCACTGCTTCTAAAATTCCTATATGGAAAGTTTAGACGCATCGTGAGCTGTTGAAATATCTTATCGTTTCTTTTCCATGCTTTCTGTAGAGGTTCCGTTCTGTTCGTGAAGTCTGCCAGGCTTCCAATACCTGTTTTAATGACCTAGATCATTTGAGCCATCACTTGGCTTGACATAAAGCCAACTTTCTTCAAGCCGCAATCGTCCAGTTGCACCCCTCTTGACATATCAAATTGCAAGTTCTGCCTTTTGGTGAGGACGACGCCTGCCACAACATCATTATTTATCATCTTCTTTCCGCAGGTGCATATATCCGGCTGGGGCTTGGCCTTCTTCCCGTCTTTAACGAACGATTCTCTTATGATTCAAAGGAGTAAAATATGCAAATCACCGTTTTTATTCTATGAAGTAACCGGCTTCGTACGTCTGACGTGTATGGTCCTAGACCTGGGATTGGGGAGTTCTCCATTTGAAACTAGTTATGCTGTTGCTTTGTAGCTCGAGATCTGGAGCTTCCCCTCGGCGGTGCGGGGCTTTCTTTATTACAACTCGACCCCTCGGCTCTCTTTGTACATTACATTCCTCTTTCATTGCTCATTACATTTACTTGTATGAGTATAAGGACTCAATTATTGTTTTAATTCCCATTCTATACCCAGTTACATTGCCATTCTTCATTCAATTCGTTGTCGACTCAACTAGCCATCATGAATATCAATGAGCCTCGAGATGGCGGTGGTTTCGTACTACCGTTTTTCAACGACAGCAAAAAGTCGCGAGAGCCTCATGCCGGCAGAGATTCATTAAAGTCAAATCCAATCCCTTTGGTTAATCGGATACCAGGTACAGTCAGTTACACGACAAAACCGCTCAAAAACGCTCATAGATGGCTTCACTTACACAACAAGACCCGAAATCATTTCGTAGCAACAATGGCGGAATTTGCGGGAACGACCCTCTTTCTCTTATTTGCTTTCTCGGGCACCCAAGTAGCTCTATTAGCAACGCCGCCCAATAGTTCAAACGTCGTCGGAACACCAAGCAATCCAGCTCAACTTCTTTATATATCTTTGTGTTTTGGTTTCTCCCTAGCAGTCAATGCATGGGTTTTCTTCCGTATAAGCGGTGGCCTCTTTAACCCTGCCGTAAGAATCTTCACTCAATTTTCTTCCCATTCTCAATGACTCTTAGGGAATGGCATTAATAAAATATAGGTCACAATGGGCATGTGTCTTGTTGGAGCTCTCCCATATTTGCGAGGTCTTCTTTTGATTTTTGCTCAGATAGTTGGTGGTATAGCAGCAGCAGCTATTGTTTCTGCTCTTTTTCCTGGTCCCATAACCTTCACCACTAGTTTAGGAGGCGGCACATCGATTGTTCGAGGTCTCTTTATCGAGATGTTCCTTACTGCTGAATTAGTTTTTACGATATTTATGCTTGCAGCTGAGAAACATAAAGGGACATTCATTGCACCGATTGGTATAGGTCTTTCTCTATTCATTGCTGAACTTACTGGTATGTACTTTAATTCAATTCAAACATTCGGACAGGCAGCCCTCGTCTCCACAAACAAACTAACCATACATCAGGCGTCTACTTCACTGGCGGATCTGTCAATCCCGCCCGTTCCTTCGGCCCTGCAGTCGTCAGCGGTCAATTCAGTGGTTACCATTGGATCTACTGGATCGGACCTATTCTCGGCGCCATCCTCGCATCTGTCTTCTACAAATTCATCAAATTGCTCGAATACGAGACTGCAAATCCAGGTCAAGACGCAGGACGCGTTGGTGAAGTGTATGATCCAGAAGCTCAAGCTATTAAAAATCGAGTCAGTTTCGCGAGTGAGGGAATGGTGGGTAGAGAACTTGATGAAAGTGGTGCATCTCATGTTCATGGAAATGGGAATGATTTCAAGGCACCAAAAGAATATGGGACTAAGAGAAGACCGTTTAGTGATAGTCCTGCCCCGCCTCATCCGAACGATCAATTTACAGGGTTGAGTGAAGGGGGGATGCATGCGGATGAGTTTGCTAACGGGAATGGTGATGGTATTCATGGTGGAGAGGGAGTAGTGCATAGGAATAAGAGGGATAGTGAAGGAACCCTTGTGGAAAATGGGAAGAAAGGCGTTTCGAAGGCTGGCACGGGTGGCGGGGCTGTGGGAGGTACGAATTGTAATTTGAGAGACAACAAGCATAATAATCAGAGGATTGGTCAGGAGACGGGAGCGCAGAGTGAGGAGTTTTATGATAAATGAGGGGGATTGCGAAGGCGAAGTACGGTGAATTTGCTAGTTGAATGGAATGGTATGATATGGATTGGATGGGGTTTATGCTGGTGTTTCATTATATATACGTTGTGTGTTGATTATGGGGGTGTGTTATTGTGTCGGCAACATATTCTGTTGATGTGTTGATCTGTGTTTTGTATTGATTTGGATAACATCTATTCCGTTAATGATTATAATGAATTCCTTTTCTCTCCAAAATCTTTGATAAGATTAATTTTACAGTTCCAAGTAGTATAGGCGAAAATGAATTTAATTTGCTGATTTCAGCGTTCTACGGGATGTTTTTCTGCGATTGCTTAAGTGCACGTGAGAATATAAACAAACATACCGCGATTTCATATCAGCGCAAATGCGATGGTATGATATGGTAGAACCAATCCACCATATATCGTGGGTTAAAAATCAGGCTGTCTCAAATATTTCTTCCTGCATGTACAGGTACAGTTACAGTTACTATCCTCCAATCTCCCAGCGTAACAATGTTGTCAGAATATTCGTCTATCTGTACCTATAACTTTCCCTCAGACGCTCAATTATCCGTCGTGTTTCCACTACGTTGTATTCCCGCTCAAGTGAGCTCTGGATTCTAGCTACAGCCTGACTCGGGGATTCTGTACGTGCGCTGGGTTCTATTTTTATAGGTGCATTTTGTTTTCTGGGACCCTCCTTCCTGACAACTTTCCTTTGTCCTTGATGCTGATCTTTCTCGGCCAGTTCCTCCTGCTGTCTCGGTTCTCTCTTACGCTTCATCTCCTCAGCAAATTGCCTCTGCTTTCTAAGATCCTCCCTCGCAATTTCAATTTCGCGGTTAGATTGCTCAGTACTGGCTCTTGCGCACGTGGTGCATAATTTCTCCTTGTTATCCGTACGCATGTCGACATAGGTATTGCGATCAGCCGCTGGACATAAGATGTTTCTGATTTGGTATCTGGACTTGGAGATTGCGGAGGAGCATTCTTGGGTTTCCCAAAGTGTAAATTCGGAGTTGTGGGAGGGGGTGCAGGAGAACTTGGAGAAGATGTCGAGACACATCTGCGAGACTGTTAGAAATTGTTACCATGTGAAATGATGGTAGGACCTGTGTACGATGTTATGTGTGAGTATGTTTCGAGAACAGCCAAGTAGGGGAATATAGATTTGAGGGTGGAAGCACGATATGTATTTTGCTAGCTAACCAGGAGTAGGACTGACGGATAGAAGGGCGATATCAGAAGTATTGAAATTGACGTAAAGCAGGGTCCTTGGGTACGAAGTTCTTTTTTTCGGAGTAGTGATAACTATGAGTATAAGTTTATTGGTATCGCACTTAAGGATGTAGTACATACATATTGATTCAAATGAAATATGATGCTTGGGTGGATAAATCGATGGTAGTATGGAGTCTTGAATGAGATTAAATGGTCGAGGAAGTTATGTACTGAAAAGTGTTAGAATGCTGAAGAGATAGGGAAGGAAAGGCCTATGAGTTACGTTCAACCACGGAACACGATTCATTCATTAAAAATTAGATGACTGGTCCATGGAACGAGTCAACCGCTCGAAAACTCCGTATTCCTCAATGACTGGTCAAGTATTTGTCTGACTGGGTCACCACTTAACTCACGACTATTTCACATCTTTCTTGTGCAGTCACTGCGTCTTCATCCTCGCTTATTATGTGTATCATAAATGCAATGATTCAGGGGTAATATTTTCGAGTTAGTCATGCTTGTTCACTCATTCACTTGGATACGAAAATTTCATTTAAGACACAGATGCATGGTGGTGAAAAAATCATGTTTCTCTAAAAGTCAGGCTATGTACATTCTACCATCTAGAAATTCCTTACATCTTAAATCGACCTATGATGCAAGATTTAAGTTCCACGATTTTGAGTTCTTTGATATCTCTCAGCACGTAATATGGCATGCGGAGAGTCTGCGTAGAATTGTCTAATTTCATTCTCCTTTCTGATTTTTGCATTCCTAAGCTGCTCCTGCAAATTCATTCCTGGCATAGTACTTTGCATTGTTCTAAAGCATACTGGGCATGGCCTCACCATGTTTTTGTTAAAGATCTGGTTATGTTCGGGAGTGTTTTCTGTTATTGATCGATTGCCCCATGTGCTTTCCGGACAAAATTTTCCGCCTGGATCCCTTGCAGCGGAGCATGGATCAATGTACATCGTTCTGAGTAGATCTCCATCACCAACTCTGGCGTGCCATTTGCTGCAATCAAAGAACGAAGTTACTTTGTAACACATCTGGATTGGTTAGAAATTTGAACAGGCGTAAGAGGACCACGTTGCTTACGATAGGATTTGTGTCTCGTTTTCTACTGAATGAGCAGATAAATTCGATAACTGCCGGTATCTCTATGGGCAACGATTGTCAGCTCACTATATGTACAAAAAGCTACAACGTAAAACACACTTGAAGTTTCCTCTACAGAAACAGAGTACTCACTTAGGATCAAGCACTTAATAAGAAGTACACCAAAGTCCGGAGTTTGGTTTAGAGAATCGAAAGTGTGATATCTGGATAGCTATACAGTATGAGCTTATTATGTGGACTCCAGTTTCAAGATTCCCGGTACCCACCTGAAGTGTTCTGAACAATGTGAATTGTTTGAGGATTGTAGTTTGAATAATTAAGATATTTGGATTGTTGAAAAGGTTGAAGAGCTGGAAAGAATAGAGAGAGAGGAAGGCGAGGTATATGAGTTGCATTCTCAAGTAGCGATGATTCAGTACTTAATCAATAGTCATACTCAAAAAAATCGAATTTGTTTATTATTCATACATACCTGACTAACTGAAGAAATTCCCTACTCATCAGCATTTCCAATTTTTGATACACAGTCACCCCCCTTATGAATCAATATATCTATCTGTCAGATATCCTTTCGCTCGGGGGTCTTGACTACTCAGACGTGAAAGTTCTTTAGAATCTCATGCCTTTCACTTGTATTTCTTCCATTCAACGGTGATATCACATTGGGCTATGGATAAATGATTGTGACGTTATTGTAATTCTTAAAAAGTCAGACTATTGAATTTTGGTGCATTTTGCAGCTTAAGAAACTTTACCCTTCCCTTTTGTATTCCATCGCGCATGACCCAGTCATATTTTTTGTTTTGAAATCTGGCATTTTGTATCTTCAATGACTAGAAGCAGTATTAATAAGGACTTTTTTCCTATCCTCCCTCCCACACGTAATTGCTTACGGACCGAACCTCGAATATCCTGTTCCTGAACCACCGTCCAACTACCATCCATTACAGTACTTCTTGATGCACTGAGGTCCTACAACATAGTCCATTTATCACAAAATGGTACAGCAGTTTTTTCGATTCTTTCTGCTTCTGCTTTTATCATGGCGATGTCTACGATTCCGAGCTGGTTGTTGTACTTCGCCGACACTTTCGGGGACCATCATGCTGAGCTCCTGAGTACGTGCTGCACTCTGTAATCGATTTTGTGCGGTAGCCACTTCACTAGCCGAAAGCCCGGAGCCTTGACGTGTTGGACGGGCTGTCTGTGGTACTTTTTGGTAAGTGCCGCCTGATTTCTGATATGTTGATGATGATACTCCGGTATGGTTCAGATGGGGTGTCTGTTCTGGCTTGTGATAGTAGGCCTGCTGTCCAGTCTTGTAGAAGCCACCACTTGTAGGTATGTATGAGGCTGCTGGTACTTGAGGATCGCCTTGATAGGTTGCCGGTTGGATATCTTGGTAGGGATCACTTGGTTGTTGATATGATGTCGATGTCAAAGGTGGATTACGGGCAGGCTGAGACACCTGAGGTGTTTTATGGTAGGAAGTCTGTGGGATAGGTTGATAGGGAAGACCACTCATTTTGGCTAGTAACTTTGAGATAATGATTGTTAGAAAAGATCAACAGTGGAGTTCTGGGGGCGTCGGATTGAAGCACAGTATTGAAGTAAGATTGGGTATTGAAAGAAGGTGAAGTAATTAAGCAGATTTTGTATCTTTAACTCTTGATTTGGCTGGAGAATGTACGTCTTTTCCTGTGCAGAAGAAATGCTGTGTATAGAAGAAGAGAAAAAACTTCCTCACGTCGAGGAACCTCGAGCCTTAAGAGTACATTGGAGAGGCAGATTCTGCGCTAACTTTTGCAATTATCAGCGAGTTTTCTGACTGGAAAAAGTATTTGAAGCATGATTCATATGCCAAAAGGATACGAATATACATTTACATTGGTATGAATCCTATTTCGAGTCACTGAGAGGGAGCTTGTGAGTAATTTTACCATTTGAGGTGATTCGTATGTGGAAATTCATATGTTATGACACGTCAAGTAGCAAGAACAGTCACTTCGAGCCATACAGACGGATTTTCAATATGAATATCTGAAGGGCCATTTGTGAAGCGTAGAAATGTGGTAAGACAAAGTCATATTTTCTAAAAGTCAGGCTATCTATTATTTCCATGCTTCAAACGCCACTATCCCCATCCATGAATTCCTACCATATCACGCGCACACATATTCTCAAATCCACTCTCTATTCCTTCAATGCTCTGATATTCTCTTTGGCATTTTTTGAAAGCAACGTACACAGGATTTTGCCATCTTCACAATATGCTATGAACTCTTGACAGCCGTCACAGTCCTCAGAAATTTCCACGAGTGTACCAGCTTTCTCTTTAGGTGTTGGTTCTCTTATAGGCCAACAATAGCGACCTCCGTTGTTTCTGAATACTTCGTCACATTCCTTGGGGTCTTTGAGTCTGACTTCACCTATATGCTTCTCCGTCTTTTGAGGGTGCTTGTAGCAACGATATCTTGCATATATCCAATGACACATCTGAATTCGTCAACATTAGTTATTTTTCGTTCTTGACTATCTGTAGGCGGAAGGGCCACGTACGATGGAATATATATTATATCGCTTAACGTTCAACAAGTAAGTACACCTTGTAGCAACAAGTCTAGGCTTGTTATCAGATCAACTATTAGCTTGTCATACTCCAATCTCAATTTCAATACGTACCGAGGGCTGATAATCAAGAAAGAACAAAGTGTTCGCTTAATGTAAGGTGTTGAAACAGAGCAGAAGGTAGACTCGTGAAGGATGTATAGAGAGATTCGATGTAGGATTTTGTTGAAAAGGGTATTAAAATAAGATAGAGAGCCGAGAATAATGAGTTCTTGGTGTAAATTGAATTCTTTGTTTGGTGCAAGTAGGTTGTTGAAACGAATTCCAGAGTTGTCAGGGTATACGTTATGGAGGCAGGGAAGTAGACCAGAGCTCTTGAGTTTTGGCAGCGGCGATATGTTTTCTTTGAGGGATATCTGGTCCTGTCGAGAAGAAGTACTGTGTGAAGAAGAAAGCTTCTGGAAAGGGGGATTCTAGAGCCTCTTATGCGCTTGGGAATAGCAAGATGCTTGACTGAATATAAAATTTTCAGTCATAGAGAGGGTGTCGTGAATACCTAGTATGTACACACTTGATATATGATTCATGTGTCGAAATGATTATGAGAGAACACTGTGATGGGGTCGGTCATTGGGAGTGAATTTGTAAGTGAAATTATCTTTTAAAATGCTCCTGATGTGTCAAGCTGGACATGGAACAATGATTCCAGTCACCAAGAGGGAATCTATGGACATTATTCATATATCAGAAGCAATGAGAAACGAAACTTCCGCCGATATGGACGCCATTTCCAGTCATTAGCAGGGACTTTATGAATAATGCTACTACTGAAAGACTTGATGGCACGTCAAAATGGGGTATGCAATGATATTCCACTGATATGAAGACTATCTCCAGTCGCCCAACTATCAAAATGTGTATGAAATGACTGTTACTTCTAAGCTTAAATGACTATTCAAAGTATCATTTGCATTTCAAAATGAATATAGATGTCCGTAGAAAGACAAATTATTACCTACCATTACGAAGGGGAACTTCAAGTAACAACTATCCAAAGCACCATTTGTACGTAGGAATGTGATTCTCGTAATCATTTCTAAGGAACCCATTACATCTGAAGCGAAAACATCATCATAACCTTCCTTCTGACTCCTACAGCCTTTCCACTCTTCTAACACTCCTGAAGAAAAAACTCCCCTGATACAAGCAAGGACATCCACTCCATCTTGAAGCCTACCACGCGCTGCAGACAAAGAAGTATATGATACCCCTAATAGCTAGCCGTAGTTATCACCATCCAAAATGGATATATAGACGAGCTACCACAGTCTCATGAGAAAAGCGAGCAATATTCTGAACTTCTGCATTTGAGTGGACCAAGTCAAAAGTACTCGAGTACCTAATCTGGAAACTTCCATAAGATGCTTTGCAACTTCTTTGCCCTCTCCGCGTCTCATAACAATTTCATACACTGCTTTAATCACATGAGAATGGAATAGTGAAAAATTCTTTTGATTGGTCGTTATTTGCATATTAGAACCTATTATTGCTCTATTATGCGCCTAAAATGCACACAAATCTATAAACCAATACCTAGTATTTTGGCTTAATTAGAATACCTTTGAATGCTTTTAATATCCCCTTTGATATGAAACCTTTTTACATAACCTCAACCTGGTTCTCATCACTCTCACTCATGCTCTCATCTCCACTAACTTCGGCGTTTTCACGTTCTCTCTTCTCCATGAGTGCTTGCAATTCAGCATCATCGTTCTCGGTAACTGCCTTAGGCTCCATCTTGACGATCAATCCACCTCCTGCGGCTTCGATGTTCTTTCTGATATCCACGATTGCGGCTTCCAATGTCGAGATACCGACGGATTTTTCCAGACATGTACTCGTAAGAACGTAGAGTGGTGGTGATACGAGCTTGACTTTAACTTGGTTATCGGCGGTGTTTCTGGCTTCAGCAGTTCTTAAAGCGGTCTTAACGGCATCAATTCCCTCATATCCAAAGCAGGTAACTTCGACATCGGCACGGACTTTTGTTGGTTGTGGTGTAAGACGTTTTCCGATATATGATTTTAATTCCTCGGCGACAACGTCGTTAGGGAATTCGACATCATTCCAAGTTTCGGCGTTTCTATTTTGATGTCAGTATATATAAGGTCCAGGTGGTTCGGAGTTTCCATACGTTATCGAAAGCTTGAAAGCATCAACGGCATGTCCGTATTTCTTGTTCAATGGCCAAACAATTTTCTCGTACAACTCTTCGATAGGATGCTTTGTCTTTTCCGCAACGTGGCGCATAATCGAATGAACCATTTTACCCTTATTGTATCGTTCCTCGCATCTTACAATATCTTCAGGTGACACTCTTCGTTTGGAAAGATCAATATAACCTGCAATTGACCAGATCAGTCTTCCGCCACAATATAACATTCAACAATTTTGTGCATACCCTTCTCCTTGTCGACTCTGAGAACAACGACAACCTCATTACGTCCAACACGAATAAGTTTTTGGATACTTCTAATACGACGTCTAGATAATTCGGAGAGGAGAATCATGCCATCGATGTTATCGTATTCGAGGAGCTTGACATAAGCACCCATCTCTGCGATCTGCGAAGCTGGAGATTAGCATCTCCCTATACCTACGAGTGCGCCTCTGGATCCATACCTGCTTGACATTCACCATGACGAAGCTATCGATCTCGGGGTATTTTTCTTCATAGAAACGGCAGTTTGTGAGAGACATGATTGCGATGGTTGCGCGGCTGAGCGCGAGGTGAAAATTTTATGGATTTTGTTTGGCTTCGTCGCCGAATATGAGAAGCTTCTTTGAATATCAGATCCAATATTGTGAATTATGTTGATATTGTTGTTCTTTGTACAAATTCAAATTCGTGATAGATTTCTCTCCAAGTTAACAAGGCTCTAAGGTTGAAAGAGTCACAATCTTTCGGTCGGGGATTTGGAGAGGGGCCGGTGGTGGTGGTGGGATGGTCTCGCTAAATAAAAAAAAGAGCTGGACACTTTTGATTGGTGCAGTGACGTCTAAGTATCGAATGTCTTACATAACCTTATTGGATTTACTTGAAGCTTCATGAAATTGTTCCCTGTCACTCGAATGTCTGTCTATGTGGTGCTCTCAATTCCCAAGGTGATCGATTGATTGTTTTTCCATAACAACAACTATTGGCCGCATCAAACTATGGAATCTTTATCGATATCGATATGCCAAAGTGGAGTATTTATGAATAGCAGTCGATTCTGCTAAATAATTTACAATCTTTTAATCCGGAGTCATGTCTTCTGAAACGGTTTCCTCCCTTGTGGGAAGCTCTGTGAGCTCCATGGACTCGACAATAGCTTCAGCCATGGCATCAGTTACAGGTATACCAACAAATCAAACAGATGTTGCAGTGGCAGGATCAACATTTGGAGTCATTGGAAAAATGATCATGTTTTTCATCAGAGTGATTCCTGGAATTCTTTACTGGGTTATAACTTTCACGACAATTACGATGCCGACTTTCCTCTTTACGCTGTTCTCAACTAGCTTGACATTTACCATGAATGCTACTACTTTGTATGTGCCACTCGATTTACTATACTGTGTTTGCTAACTGCGTGCTTTATAGAATGTTGATCATGGTGGCATTTGTGTCAACCATGAGTTGGTTCGTAAGATATCGATTTCTGAATATGTATTCTCGATTACCTCCGGAACCTCAGCGAAAGGAACCCCAAATAGACCTCTATCCAGACACGCAAGATGAAGGATCAAAGTCAGGGTTTTCTAATTACCTGGATGAGTTTCTGAGCGCCATCAAGATCTTTGGTTATTTGGAACGCCCAGTCTTCCACGAACTCACACGCTCCATGCAAACGAGAAAGCTTATAGCTGGTGAAACCTTGAACCTTGAGGAGGAAAAGGGATTCTGTCTAGTGGTTGATGGATTAGTGGAAATCTTTGTCAAGTCGGCTCGAGAGGGACGTGGATCGGATACTGATCCTATGTCGTACGAACGAGAAGATTCAGATAGTGGATCTGGCCTTCACCGAGGCAGTGGGCACCAGGGCTACCAGTTATTGACTGAGGTTAGAAATGGTGCACCTATGTCGTCTCTCTTTTCTATACTTTCACTTTTTACAGAAGATGTCAAATTGAGACATTCTGATGATGACGACTTCGATGGAAATGGTACTCCTGATCATCAGGAATATAGCCACGATGCTCCTCCATCACTTCCCACAAGTCCAATATACGGGGCTCCTAGTCAGGATGGCCAAAGGGATGATAGGAATCGTCGTACTTCTTCGACAACGGTTAATGGAAGAATACCCCCGTTGTCATTAGACGCTGCAGCCGACATTTACCAACGTCGATCTAGGCCTAAGAGACTGAATGCAACTTCTGTGCACCCTGATATTGTGGCCAGAGCTACAGTTGATACTACAATTGCTATAATTCCTGCTAGTGCTTTTCGTCGATTAACCAGAGTATATCCTAAAGCTACAGCGCACATCGTTCAGGTCATTTTGACGAGATTGCAAAGAGTCACTCTTGCGACTGGTCACTCTTATCTTGGTTTAACCAGTGAGGTTCTGCGTACTGAAAAGCACATGAATAAGTACACAACCTACGAACTACCAAATTTCCTCCGAGGTGATGCATTGAAGCGCTTGAAGGAGAAGTTTATAAGAGAAAAGGAAAGAATTGGAGCTGAAGAAGGCAGCAAAGGTATCGCTTTACATAACGCTGGGGCTGGAAGACGGCGAAGATCTAGTCATAGCCTTAGAAAAGAGGCTACAATGCATGCTTCGTCAGTCAGAGGGTCCATGTCGATGTCCAAACAGACGTTTGAAACACCTGGCGGAGATTCTGCCGTCAGTCCAAGTCCCGGAGATCTTCTTACAAATATTCAGATGTCACGTCATGCTGGCAGGAAACCTGCTTCAAGTGTAACTCAAGGCTCCAATCCTCAAGTATGGCATCATGATGCTCAAAGTCCGCTTTCTCAAAGAACGTCAAACCCGTTCAATGGCCCAATGAATGCGCGAATTCCTCTTCACCGCCAAGAATCCATTGATGAAGATGGCATGTTCAGAAAATCCATATTGGAGTGTATTTTCAAAGCTATTGGTCTTACAAACACTAAAAATGCCCTACGTATGTCGGATTCTGTCGAAGGCTCCCCTCGATTGCTTTCGTATGATCAAAGACGTCAGAAGGCAATTTTCGGTAACAACTCTTTTACTAGCAATGCCTTTGGCCTTATTGACCCCTACGAAGGTTCTGTAGATGACACCGAATCAGTGACATCTGGTGGAGTTAGTGCTGGTGGCTATCCAAGTACGCAAGGCCTCGCCCAAGAGCTCAAGGATGAAGTCGAGATTGTTTACTTTCCAAAAGGCTCAGTTCTTGTGGAACAGGGAGAAAGAAATCCCGGTCTTTATTACGTTATTGATGGGTTTCTAGATGTCAGTGTTCCTGTTGATGAGAAATCGGACTCCATGGTCCTGGGCAGCTCTTTCCAGCACTCTTCAGCCAACAAGAATGCAAATGATCCAATGCCTTCTCTATCTAGAACCAAGACTGGCTCATCGCGTGTCTCAGGAATTAATGCTTCAGGGCACGAGGGTAAAAACCGAAAATCTGCAGACCGAAAAAGTCTAGCGCTTATCAAGCCAGGCGGTATTGCAGGCTACATCGGTACCATATCTTCTTATCGCTCGTTTATTGATGTTGTTGCAAAAACAGATGTTTACGTAGGATTTTTACCACGAACTTCATTGGAAAGAATTGTCGAGAAGTATCCAGTTGTGCTTCTAACTATGGCTAAACGGCTTACCAGTCTATTGCCTAGATTGATCCTACATATTGATTTTGCACTTGAATGGGTGCAAGTGAACGCCGGACAGGTTATCTACCATCAAGGAGATGACAGCGATGCAACTTATATTGTTCTGAATGGCCGACTTCGACTTGTAGTCAATAATGATGGAGCTGGAATGAAAGTCATTGGCGAGTATGGACAAGGCGAAAGTGTTGGAGAATTGGAGGTTATGACAGAATCCGTAAGACCCGCTACACTTCATGCGATTCGAGATACCGAACTTGCCAAATTTCCCAAGACACTCTTCAACAGTCTTGCGCAAGAACATCCAGGTATCACGATCAAGATTTCCAAGATTATCGCGTCCCGCATGCGAGCCTTGGTAGAAGAGCCAGTCTTCGTGCAAACTAAAGAGAAAGTTACCGGTGCCACAAATGATAAGGTATCTTCGACAGTCAATCTTCGCACTGTTGCTGTACTTCCCGTCACTGCTGGAGTTCCTGTGGTCGAATTTGGCAGTCGTCTAATGAATGCTTTGACTCAAATCGGGGCACCAAATGGTGTAACTTCTCTCAACCAAGCTGCTATTCTTAATCATCTTGGTAGACATGCTTTCAGTCGTATGGGGAAGCTTAAACTCTCACAATACCTTGCTGATCTTGAGGAGAAGTATGGGTTGGTTTTGTATATTGCCGGTCAGTGACACCTCTTCTCGAAACACTACAATTCACGAAAATCCCCGCCCGAGATAATCACTAACACTTTTTCCAGATACAAACGTGAACTCGCCCTGGACGCAAACTTGTATCAGCCAAGCTGATTGCATTCTCCTGATAGGTATAGCAGATGGTTCGCCTGCAATTGGAGAGTACGAACGATTCTTATTAGGAATGAAAACTACTGCAAGAAAAGAATTGGTGTTATTGCACACAGACCGCTTCTCCTCACCTGGTGTGACTCGCGCTTGGCTTAGAAATCGAGTCTGGATCAATGGTGGACATCATCACGTTCAGATGGACTTTAGAACTAGTCCTATTCCAGTGCATCCTCAAGCAAGAAAATTTGGAACCGCACTGAAACAGCGAGTACAAGTGATTCAAGCAGAAATTCAAAAATACACATCTCGTCGCGTACGGCAGTCACCACTTTACTCCGCAGAAACTCCCTTCAAAGGCGACTTTCACCGAATTGCTAGACGCCTTTGTGGAAAATCTATAGGTCTCGTGCTTGGAGGAGGTGGTGCACGCGGTATAGCTCAGGTTGGAATAATTAGAGCTATGGAAGAATCTGGAATTCCCATCGATATCATTGGAGGAACCTCTATTGGATCATTCATCGGTGCATTATACGCTCGCGACGCAGACGTTGTTCCAATGTATGGGCGCGCGAAGAAATTCTCAGGTCGCATGGCAAGTATGTGGCGCTTTGCATTGGACTTGACATATCCATCTGCTTCTTACACCACTGGTCATGAGTTTAATCGTGGTATCTTCAAGACTTTTGGCAATACTCAGATTGAAGATTTCTGGCTCGAATTTTACTGCAATACTACTAATATCAGCAAGAGTCGATCAGAAATTCACACTAGTGGATACGCATGGAGATACGTAAGAGCATCCATGTCTCTTGCTGGACTTCTCCCGCCACTATGTGATGAAGGCAGTATGTTATTAGATGGTGGATACGTAGACAACCTAACGGTTTCTCATATGAAATCCTTAGGGGCTGATATCATCTTTGCTATTGATGTCGGCAGCCTTGATGATAACATACCACAAAATTTTGGCGACTCTCTCTCTGGATTCTGGGCATTCGCGAATCGTTGGAATCCATTCTCATCATATCCAAACCCTCCTACTTTGGCTGAGATCCAAGCACGTCTAGCATATGTATCCAGCGTCGACGCCCTAGAACGAGCAAAGACAACTCCGGGATGTCTATATATGAGACCTCCAATTGACGATTATGGAACTCTTGATTTTGGTAAATTCGATGAGATTTATCAGGTGGGATACAAATTTGGACAAGAATATCTGGCGAACATGAGAGATCAGGGAATCCTTCCGCTTGTTGATGAGACTGAGGAGAAGAAGGCCTTGAGGAGAACCATGGCACCGAGAAGAGCTAGTATTTAGTTCAGGATTCTGTATGAGGTTTGGTGTGGCACTTGTTGCAGTCGTTGCAGCGAAGTTTTGCAGGGCGTTTTGGTGTAGGTCATTGATGGCAATGACGATGATGGTGATATACCCAAGCATATATTGGTATGGGAAATGATCTGTTCATAAGATTTGCACCTATGATAGAATATTATTCAAAATATTTGACCATTACCTTGAGGTTATTCTTACAAATCTTATCTTGAAATTGTTGTGATTGCAGATGTCTATTGTGAATGTGATTGATAAGGGCAAGTAACTACACAGGTGGCTATACACAGTTTATTCACGGCAATCAATGAGCCTCCGAATTCACTAGAGAACAACGATATCTACATAGAGTTTATAGAGGCTGAGGGTCTAAGTCTGATCCCGTGAACCTGGGCGGTGGGATTTCAAGCTTAGAGCCGGCTTCCGATAGGCTAATTTTAGGTGTCGGAGACGGCCGAAATATTTATCATTGATGATCCACAGACAAACAAATCGTGAGAACAAACATTGAAGAGACACCTTTACATAAGAGTTTTAGGATCCCCAGGTTATTATTCAAAAATACTACTTATTTACTTGCTTGTTAGTTTTGTCTGCACTGGAAGTTTTATTTTGGTCTCAAAATTCTAAGATTGGAGTTTTGAATGAGGATTAGAGATTTCTGATTTCACATCCTACAGCTTAACATTAAGATAACCTTACAACTTAACGTCTGATCACCTCAAACTAGACAATTTCTCGGCGACAATTCAGAGAGGTACTCGCTGAGAATACATTGAGAGTTGCAATTCGAAAACCAGGAATAGCATGACATCTACGCCCAGCATGACTTCCTCCTCGTTGTCACCACCAAAGAAATCATCCATCAAGAGACAAGTTTTTCATGGGACATTTGTCCACTGTAAAAATCTTACGGATTTGGAGATTTTACATGACACGTATGTGTTTGTGGATGAACATGGAGTTATTGTTAAGATTCTGAGTGGTGATGGTACTGGAGATGCAAGGGATTTAAGAGAGGATGTATGGGAATTGGGTTGGGATACGGATGTTGATGATGAGAGGGAGATTTTTGAATATGTGGACTCTTCGAAAGATAAACATGGAGCACATGGAGAGGAACGCTTTTTCTTTCCGGGGTTTATTGGTATGTTTTTCTTTTGTTTTTTCTTTGTTGTTCATTTGTACGAGAGATGATATACAAACATCTGTTATGACAGAAAAATAAAAAAATCACGAACCCGATTAACATATTACTAGATACACATATCCACGCACCCCAATATCCCAATTCGGGTCTCTTCGGCTCCTCTACTCTTTTGAACTGGCTAAATACATACACCTTTCCCCTCGAAGCCTCTCTCTCTGCTCTCCCCAAAGCCCGCGCTATCTACTCCCGTGTAATCCAACGTACGCTCTCTCACGGAACTACCACTGCTGCCTATTACGCTACCATTCACGTCGAATCCACCAACCTCCTCGCCGATCTCTGTTTGCAAAAAGGCCAGAGAGCACTCGTCGGGCGCTGTTGTATGGATAGCGATTCGGGCGCCAATCCAAAATACTACCGCGACGATAACCCCACTCAGAGTTTAGAGCGAACGAAGGAATGTATCTCTCATTGCGAAAATATCGATCCGGATAGAAAACTCATCACGCCTATTTTGACACCGCGCTTCGCACCGAGTTGTACCCCGCAATTGATGCGTTCTTTGGGGGAAATTGCACGGGAAAAGGATCTTCCGATCCAAACGCATATTTCGGAGAATCGCTCCGAGATCCAATGGGTGAAGGAATTGTTCCCAGAGTGTGATAGTTATACGCATGTTTATGATAAGTATTCGTGTTTAACACCGAAAACAATCTTAGCCCATGCGGTGCACATCGGAGAGGATGAAGCGGCGTTGATTAGAGAGAGAGGAAGCGGTATTGCGCATTGTCCTGTGAGTAATAGTGCGTTGACTAGTGGGATGGCGAGGGTAAGATGGATGATAGATAGAGGATTGAATGTGGGACTGGGAACGGATGTTAGTGGAGGCTTTAGCGCGAGTGTTTTGGCGGCGGCAAGAGAAGCAAGTTGTGTGAGTCGGTGTGCTGCTGCTGGGATTGGCGCATCGGAGAATACAAATGGGAAAGAGAGAGATACGTTGAGTGTGCCTGAAGTGCTTTATTTGGCTACGAGAGGAGGGGCAAAGGTTGTGGGGATGGAGGATAGGATTGGTGGGTTTGAAGTTGGGAAGGTGTGGGATGCGCAATTGATTGGTTTGGGAACACCTCTTATGCATCGAAAGGAGGGCGAGTGGGAAGGACAAGAGGAAACGCATGAAGTAGAAGTCTCTCCCACAGGACCGGTTGATATTTTCGGCTGGGAGAATTGGGATGAGAAAGTCGCAAAGTGGGTTTTCAATGGGGATGATCGGAATACGATGAAAGTTTGGGTGAATGGGAGGTTAGTTCATCAGAGGAGGAATTGATTTGTTTGTAAGACTCAATGAGTAGAATGATAATTAGAGCTTAGATGGAAATTGGGAAATCGGCAATCGGTGAAAAACACATTTAGAATCACTATGATATATATTACTGTTATGATAGATTGGAAAGACATATTCAAACCCGCGTATCCTGTACTGACTTTTGATATTTGTATTTTGATATTTGATATTATATTATAATGAATGTCTGTATCTAACACTCTCAATCGTATACCCATCCTAGGCACATAACACATTCCAATATATATTCCCATCGAGAAGCAGAGTATATAAATCCAACTCTTATTGGTTTTTAATTCCAAACGCCTTCCCATCCATTTATTCCCAATATTTCCTCGTCCATATCCTCTATCCGCCTGGATCTATTTCTCCACACCCATCTTATCACACCCATAACCTGCTTACTCGCGCTCACACTCATCATTATCCACAGAAACTGCACTCCACGCCCGCAACTCCGAGAATCAACTCACTCGCGCACTCTCCCGCCGCCATAACCGCAAACTGGGGATTCGTCGTCACCGGCGCCAAAATGCTCGCATCAACCACATGAACATTTTGCATGCCGATAACCGTGGTATTGGTATCGACACAGCTTCCGAGTCGACAACTCGACGACCAGTGATTAACCATTCCTCGTGCGTATGCCGAGGAAGTGGTGATGTAGGTCTCGATTTCAGCTTCCGTGGCGTTTTGCGGGATGTTCATGGATGTGAGACCGGAGTTTGGGAGGGCGGAAAAGAGGGTGTGGATGAATGAGGCGATGTCCTGGGCATCGCGGGGATTGGAGTAGTAGACGTCGTCGCTGGGGCCGGGGATGAAGTTATCGTCGAGGATGACTTTACCTGATGAGAGGAGACCCGAGGTTCCGTAGACGTTGAGGGTGATGGTGTTGTTGGTGGTGAAGTCGGAGTATCCGGATGAATCGATGGTTCCTTGGAGACCTGCGATGGAGCCGTCGGAGTGCGCGATTGTGGTCCAGAAAACGGAGGTTTCGGATGCGAATGAGTAGGGACCGCTGCGGGAATCGAGATAGAGAGCTTTGTCGCCGGCTGGAGGGGAGTCATAGGAATAAGTGTAAGACTCTATGGAATCACCTTGGAGTTCAATAAATGTGTTTGGGTTGTCGAAAAGACCGGCTCCAATTGCTGTGCTGTTTATCCACTCTGCACTGGTAAGATTTGGAGATAGCTTTCCTGCAGCGGAGAGTTTGGAGAGGGTTTCTGCATCACCGATTCCGGAGTACATAAGGAGAGAAGGGCTTTGAATGGCGCCGGCTGATAAAACTACTCTTCCTGTTGGTGTAGTTGAGATGATGGTTTCGACACCATTGATCAGGGCTGTTACTCCAGTGGCAGTGTCTCCATCCCGTTCAACTCTTACTACACGGACTCCGCTTTGGAGACGGAAGTTACTGCGTTGAAGAGCTGATTGCAGATATGTGGTAACGGGACCTCCTCTTTGACCATTGTCATAATCGAAGATTGGATAGCCGAATACATTGGTTTTATCGTCGGCTTGAGCATTGATATCAACATCTTTGTAACCCAATCCATCAACCAACCATTTTCTCGCAGCATCGTATCCAGTTTGAAGATAACGAATGCCATCTTGAGAAGTAAGATTAGTCGAAGGTTGGGTATTATACAGACGTTGAATGGAAGCATCCATGCTTGTCGAATTCCACTAGACACAGGGTTAACATATGAATGCTTAGATATCGTAAGTACAAGAATTCATCACTTACTTCAGCAGGGAAGTACAAGTCCCAATCCGAAGCCGGAGGTTCAAAGAATAATCCAGCATTGATGGCTGAACTTCCTCCAATAGTGCATCCTCCATAAGCATTTACTTCTGCTCCGCACACGAGTCCTCCTCCATCTGCAAAAATGGATTTATAAAGTCCAGGTACATCGACTCTTGAGAGATTTGTACCACTAAGCCATTCCTATTACAGATTAGAAAATTCCTCATCAATATCAATTAAAAAGGCAGAAACTGACCGGTCTTCTTGTGTCTAAATCTCCACCCGTGATTCCATAAGATTGATTACCTCCTTCAATTAGCAGAGTCTTGAGACCAGCTTCGGAGAGTCGTGATGCAACTATAACATAAAAGTCAACAAACACACTTCCTCTCAAAAACAAAAACTTCAATACATACCAACAATTCCCGCAGGTCCAGCTCCCACAATAATAGCATCCCATTGCTCCTGAATCCAAGCATTATCCGCCTGTCCCCAAACACCACTCACCAACCCAACAACTAGAGAAACTTGATATGAGACCTTCATTCTGACTTTGACTTATCCTTTCGATTTACAGAAAACTCAATAAAGACACAAGAAAAACAAGAATTAACTTAGCTTGATACTTATATATATTGGCATCACACACATTTACACCAAACAATACTTACTAGCCACTGCATGACTTCACACAGCACAACCAAATTTCCCTCTTCACCTGGACTCTGGGCGCCAAGCCCGCCTGATGCCGTACAACTTACATAAGTAGTCCCAATCGTTACACTTTGGCGTCCTTTACCAGAAATATTGCCGCTGAATCTCAGAATAGGTTATACATGACTTAGTGACAGCTTGGTGGCGGAGTTTGTGTAATAAGCGGAGAAGAACGAATGGAGATTTCATTCCGAGGCTTAAATCGACTTCAAAGTTCAAATCCCTATTTTTGTCTCTTTTAGAAACTAGATGGAATGCAGCATTAAAAAGCAAAAAGACGATATCAGGTTGATCGACGTCAAAACCGTATTCAGATATTGACCAGGGCCATCAGAACCCGATACTCGGTACTAAAGAAAATTTCAACAAATGAGATTTAAGATAAATGTCGTACCTAGGTAATCATTCTCATTCTGCATGCACAAACGGATGGGTAATGCCGGGTAAGAGATGGTGGATAATAGGAAATATAGTCAGAAATCTTCCGAGAAAATCCCCCCTTCTAGATTGCGTCGATGGAAGACGATTTCTTCGGTACCCACAAACTTTGACTTGCGTATTCATTTCCAGATGAGACTCGTGAGGGTGAACAATATACAAAAAAGTGAAGATCATCTATTCGTCTAATCTTAAGACCTCCCAAAACGCCGCCCAATGCAAACCGTATTATTGCTGTACATAATCCTACATAGTCCTATCATTTATAACCCTTTATATTCACCCAATTCCCTCCATTATACGATCGATTCCTGATCCCGCTGCGAGTTGGAATTTTCTAGTCGCTTCAAGATGTATTGATATAACACCAACATACAACTACTTTGCGTGCTGGTCCACACAAATCTAGGTCCTACTCCTCGAAATAATCCTGTTATTCCTTCTGTTTTGTAGATGAGTTTGAGGCCAGTCGGGACGGAAGATGTATCGAGAATTATGCTACCAGGGCGGGGTGTATGCGTAGAAGGAGATGATGTGGATATTGATCGAATTTGATGTTTTGTAGGTTTTGCAGGGTTTGTAGGTTTTGTCTTCGTACGGGTGGATTGAGAAGGGTTTTTCGTGGATTCTGATGTCTGCTTAGGAGTAGACTCTGGGCTGGAAATGACTTGGGTTTGGATTCTCGTCTTAACAACATCCAGAGGACATGTAATTACTCCTGCCAAACCTCCAGCTGCCGCTCCTGTAAGGAGTTCCAATGGCAATCCAATGTCCCGGCTTTCTTTCCATCTTCTCGCCCAAGTTTGACCTTGCTCGTAGAATGCGAATTGTAATGCCGAAAATGGTAGATCTCTAACAATTGTTGCTCTGTACCCATAGAATAGCGCAGAGAATCCTTCTTGCTTGACTATCGTTCGAGCGGCATGCGCTGTATTTTTGTAATTGTAACCAGAGTTGAAGAATGGGTTATTGTATCGACCTTGGAGTTGTAGGCGGGTTTTAAGCACCTCAGAAGGTACGTAGACGAAGGAGGCTGCAAAATCGGCAACGAAACCTGAATTGTTAGTTTAATGTATATTGAACCCAAACTTCTTAAACTTACCACTGGATAGATATGCAAGCCATGGCGGAATACCATTGTCTATCAAATGCCTCTTACTGTACTCATATGTTCCGAAGAATATAATTGTGCCAGGAAAAGATCCTAGAAGAGCAGGAACCCAACCTCCATATAAACCTCTCCGTATTCCTTCTTGTCGCAGAATGGTAGAATATGAGGATGAGAGCTTGGTGTACTTTGGCGGAACATGCGGATCGCCTTGCTGACGAGTCTTGACTGTATCCAAAGAATGCATGAGAAGATCCCCCGTGGTTCCACCAATACCTCCAGCAATCATGGCCTACAAACAATCAGTAATTTGCCTGTAGACCAAAAACTCCAAATCTCACATGTAAATAAGGTGGTCGTCCCTCCTCTTCGACCTCTTCCTGTGCCATGACTTTCGACCCAAGTAGTCGTTTTCCCACTCTAACATTGACGTCTTCTTCCCCTCCATCATCAACGATCCCAAATTTGGTGCGATCTTCTGCTGGCGAACCTGCTGATCCGGAGGAAAACAGGTTGACAACACGAGAGGTCAGGGACATGGCCCTTCCTCAATTTCCGAAGCTGGTCGCCTTCCTAGTCCTCGAGTATTCAAAAGAGCGAGTTTTATATTACAGCGTTGGTAGGCAAATACAAATCATTTAAGTTGAGTATCACAAATGTTTTTAACGCACTTCAACTTTTTTTGCCGGAACCTTCCACATACGTGTATGCCTGATTAAGGTTAAGGCATTTTTACATGAAACGTGGGGTTATCTCTACGTAGGAGAAAAAAGAGGCCGGATTTGACCACTTCTGAATACTTTCAATAATACAATTTATTTCTTCAAATTTGGAATAAAATATATATTTTAATAAATATCAATATAATTAAAGGTTGAGAATTAGTTTTATTATTTCAAATTCAATTATTTTATTTATAATTGATTTATAATTCAATTAATGTAAAGATTCTGGTAAAGAATTATATGGTCAATTGCGGCCTGTTTTTTCTCTCACGTAGAGGTTATCCCCCGGTGAACCCCTACAAGTTAAGTTCTATTTGCCCTTAATTCTAACGATCTACTACTGATTTTCTGTTGTCATTGACTAGGTAGCTAAGACATTGTTAGAGATAAATATAAATCTTTATTAATGTTATCGTCGACTAAGGTTAACCTTTCCTTCCACCCACTCAACCCTTTCTCATCGTTTCATCCGCCTGTGCGGAATTTTCCCCAGATCCAAATCCCCTCTCTGTCCACCTCTTTGCCCTTTCGCCTCTTTCCTTGACCCTCTCTTCATCTCCTTAGCCGCCTGCTTCTTATTTCCAACAACAAGAATATCTCTACTATACCCTCTCATATCATCTTGCGTAAAAAAAGACGAGCCATAGCTCAGCATCAAGACGCGCACGACGGTCTTACTATCTCGTTCTGAAAGCTCTTTGAAAAGTTCAAAGATTCCCGTCGGCCAAGAAAACCCAATAGATGACTCTGGTGTGGGCGTGAACAGAAGTTGGATGTCGATTATGATATATAAAAGTGGGATGCCTTTCAGCACAGATGCGAGGAGAACCAACCAGTCTGCCTCGGTTTTGGCGGAGAGATACATTTGTAAGTGAGAACAGAGACTGGGCTCGGTGTGGAGAGATGAATTGAGGTTGATGGCTTGGAGTATGAGGCTTTTGATAATATCGATCGTGGTTGTGTTGCCTATTGGTGTCGGTGTCTGCGGTTCGCTGGTTTTTATTGCCCATATTACAGGTATGTTGGACTCTCGAAGCAGTTGTATGGCGTCTGCAGAAAACTTCTTCATTTCATTCCGCAGTCTGTGGCTTCCTTTTACCATCAAAAGTGAGGATGCTATGCTTGAATTCCAATTCTGCATTTTGGAAGCCAACCAGAAAGCTGAGCCGTCTGCTTGACGCGTGTGTTGTCGTTTGCGAGCGAAGAAATACATCTGGAGACTCTTTGTTGGATCCAGAGTAACATTTAAGCTGAGGTTGTTGATGAAGCTCATCAGCTGCAGTTGGGAAAGTTGTTGTTGCATCGAGACTTGTGCGCTCGAGTTGAGAGTCTGGGCAGTCACCACAGCGGTCTTGAGTTCACAAAGCTCTTGGGAGATCTTTTTAAACTTGTCATCGACCTGATCTTCTAAACTCTCTTGCTTTGACATGATGTTCTTCGTCACAGAGTGCATATCTCGCTGTTCTGCAAAACTACTGAGTTGGGCTGTAATGGAGATACTTTGCGACAGAATTTCAATCTTCTCAACGAGATCGTTGTATTGAATTTGGGGAGGCTGCGTGACTGAATGGAGAATATGAAGAGCCCTGCTCTCTTTGAACCAGGATAGTGAGACTGTGAGAAATTTTATGATCTGAGCTTGGAGCATGATCATATATTTACGCATCTGCACTGTGGGGTATAAATTCACCGTGTTCTCCATACGAGGAAGGACGTCTGCTACTTGGCACAATCCGTCCGTAATTATTGCAAGAGACTTCTCATGATTTACGACACCCTATATCAAGTCGTCAGACAATTCTCAGCAGCGTTTGAGGGGCTCACACACGACTGACACCAGCTTCATGGCACCATATACAAGTGAAACATACTCTGGTGACTGTTGCACCAATGCATCCATGACAGTGCCATAGCAGTGTACCTTTTGGGCAAAGCTTGTGAGACATCGTCGGATCTTGGAATCTCCTCGTCGGTCTTCATACTGCAGTTGTGCTGTTGATACACACTTGACTATATCTTCAAGCGTGCTCGGTTTAAAGTCTAAGAAAGATTCTAGCTACAAGAACTTCTTAAAAAGAGTAGCAATAAATTCGGCTCTAGCTTCCTCAAAGACATTCTTAGCCCAACCAGTGCTACTAACAAAGATTAGCGCGGTTTTCACGGCCCTAGGAGACATACTTGTTAGCGCCGCTATAATAGGAAGCATACGCTGCAATATCAGACATTCTCGAGTGTACAGTTTGAACTTTGACATTATCTCATAAAATGTTCGACAGACAAGTATATAATCACTTTCTTCAGGCCGTCGCGAGGCTGTGCATACCGTAACTGCGCCTCGAAAATGGCTTGTCAGCCTCATCATGAACCCGTTATCTGTAGACAGGCTCCAACCAGACTGGATAGACTGTCTACTGCAGATATACAGCTTATGGGTGGCAAGCCCACGCGGTGAACTCGATTCAGCAGTTTATGTGGTGCGACCGCGACTTATGTCGGTCTTCGAAGGGTGTTTAATTGAATCCGCCTCATGCATTTCGTGACACCTTCCAAAAATGGATTCTTTCGGATAAATCACTTTTTTCTTGAATTCAGCCTGAACAACTACACAATGTCACCGACTTCAGATATCGAAACCTATGGACAAAAGCAGTAGCAAAAGCTGTACCGAACTCGATATCCCCCGCTATATCTCACAATTATTGACCTACATGTACTCTGCTAGCGCTTAGGCACATGGACTCTGAGATAGCCCAAGTCTCGCGTTCTTTGAGGTTGAGCAAACTAGTGAAGCTCAGCAGAGGCAGTAAGAAGAAGGGCTTGACAAATATATCAGGGCAGCACAGACTTGGTGGTAGCACGAACCCCGAGAACGACAAATCCGAGACAGACGATGAGGGCAAGAATGACGATGACAACGACGAATACGTTGACGAAGACGACTACGAAGACGAAGACGAAGACGAGGGCGAGGGGACCAGACCGGATAAAAACGAAGACCAAAGCACAACCGCAGGTAGAGCCAACAAATACAGAAAACCAGAATTCAGCAGAGATTCCGTTAATAATCCCTTAAATCTACACTCTGGAGATAGATCTGGGACTTTAGCACCTGAGCAATCCAAGCTGGAACCCAGGAGCGCAAATCCGTTAGCTCCTCCGCAGAACTTTGGGAAGACTCGGATTACGATATCTGATAATTTGAGCACCGACGACAACAAGAAGAATCGGCGTCTCTTGGCTCTGAAGCCCAAATTGCCAAAGCCTGCTTCTACATCAAACCTCGACATATCTGGTGAGGTATCCCATCTTTTTTGTACTAGTTTGAGTGATTCTAATGATGTGCAAATAATAGACAATCAACTCGGAGGCTATAATCCTGGCGAGACAGGACCAGAAGGACCAGGAGGTCTGAACCGGCCACTGCACCGATCACAACCAGAACAAGTCGCGGCATTCAATCGAGAACAGTCACTAAGATTTCAGAATCAACAAATGTTCCAGCACCAAATGGCGCTGCAAAACCAACAGCAAATGGCTATGAATCGTCGGCAAGCTTCCCATCCGATGCACAGTACTTTCTCCCATATTCAAAATGAACCTTTGTCCCCCCAATTGGATTCCGTTGTCGATCTGTTCTCAGCCTTGGGGATCGATGCTATCGCGATGGGCATTCCTTCAGAATCTTTAAATAACGTACAAGCCTTTCGAGAGTATCTATTACAGACCATGCAAGCCAAGGAACCAAACAGGTACCTGATATTACATCTCATCAAGGGGCAACAAGAGCGTATGTACTTTGATCCCCCAGAATGGGTTATGGGACATAATGATACGCGAATTTTGAGGTCGAGGCTACCACTGTTCAACTTGCGGGATTTTCTTGAAAAAAATACCGACATTAGCTTTATCGTGTTTCGCGACTACAAGGAGAAAGACATACCAACGAGGAAAGGGATGGTCGCGCCGGCAGCAACAAATAACAACAGTGGTATTACAAAGTCACCAGTACATGAAGAAGAGAAAATACTTGCAGTGTCAGAACATCTCACGGAGGCAATTAAGTCAATACTAAAGTCGAAGCCAGAATATGCAGATCTGCTAGTATGGTTTGAGAAAGGTGGGACAGAGCTCCCGTCGCCATTTGTCTTCATCTACCATTCGCGAGCAGTTATCGGAGATTCAATAGAGGACACCTCTGATCCCAGCACGGTCCGACAGCTAAAGCTCATGATCGATTACATCTACAAGAACTATGGAGAAGAATATGACACTGCGGACGCCATGTTTGAGGAATCCCGCGTTGCTATACCATATGTCAAGTACCTGTTCAAGCCAGGAGACGTACTGGTGAAAGGCACGGGCTCTGACATAAATGGGTATATGTTTGTAACTTGGCTGCATGATAGCACCTCAATTACAGCAAGTCTGAAGGAAGATGGGAAGAACAAACCTAGCTCACAGTATACCATGGACGTCCGCTCGTGGTCATTTGACGGCGCCTTCAACCGTGTCAGCACTCGGCTTACATTAGAAATAGACGGAAGTGAAAAGACAGAATATGCTATCAAAGATTTGAATATCAGATCAATTGCATATGCCAGTGATGAGGATAGAAAAATACTTCAAAGTCGCGGAGAAATGTTTTGGAAGTGTAGAGAGAGGAAATTTGTGTCACATCAGGAGCAAGGCCGCGGCGATTTACACGGCGCCAGTGAAGAGAGATATATGATCGACATGAAGACATTTCGCGAGCTCCACCCAGAAGAGGAGAAGAAAAATCAGGCGGCCCAGCCAGAAGATGAGAAGAAAAAGGCCTCCGATACTTTGGATGAAGACGCCATGGCGCAAGACAGTCCTCCATATCCGATTTTCGTGTACTTACTTCCTCAAAAGATAATTGGCTATAATATGCGGCGCAAAAAATGGGTTGAGCTCCATGCTGATTGGTTGTCTGAGGTGGTTTGGGACAAGAAGGCGTTCAAAAAGTTGGTACTTGCGCAGAAGACGAAGGATTTGATTGAAGCTTTGATTGTCAATCAAATTGCAGCCGAGAAATCGACAGATCTGATCAGTGGAAAGGGCAATGGTCTCATCCTTCTACTACACGGAGGGCCGGGTACTGGCAAGACTTTAACTGCAGAGAGTGTTGCTGAAATTGCAGAGAAGCCTCTATATAGGGTCACTTGTGGAGACATTGGATCGGAGCCTGAAGAAGTCGAGCAGTACCTCAACTCAGTGCTAGACTTGGTAAAGTCTGGAACTGCGTCGTTCTGCTCGATGAAGCCGACGTCTTCCTTGAGGAAAGAAGTATGAGCGACATTAAACGAAATGCACTTGATCTATTTTCCTCCGCGTTCTAGAATATCATGACGGTATTATAATCCTCACTAGCAACCGTGTTGGCACTTTCGACGAAGCGTTCAAGTCACGCATTCAACTTGCCTTGCACTATCCATCACTGACAAAAGTCAAGCGCTGCGATATCTGGACAATGTTCATAACGCGGCTCCGAGAGCTTGGAGAGACGCAAGTCGACTTTGCAGACCTGGAAGACCATCGGTGGGACTTGGCGGACTATAAGCTCAATGGACGACAGATTCGAAATGCAATTCAGACATCGAGGCAATTTGTGTCTTGGAAGAACGCGAAGGAGAAGACGACGTTGAATTTTGAGATTTTGAAACAGATCATCGAGATTTCAGGAGAATTTGATGTCTATATAAATAAATTGAATAATGGGATGTCTCCGGATCAATTAGCTGAGGAGGATGGGCTGAGACTTGCAGAAGCCAGAGAGTGAGGATACATATCTATATTTAGTCATATCGAGTCAAAAGGTTGAGATTTATGAGTAGCTTGTCTAATCTTTGGATACTGGAATTATACAGCCTGGCAAAAGTCTTTGTCTTAGTATTGGTACCAACTCGGTTAATAAGCGTAAAGTGCTTTAGTTCATTATGGTTGTAATCGTTCTTGATCATTATTAACTATAGGAAGCTAGTACTTATATAGGGAAGCGCTATCGCCTCGCTAGCTAATACAATGCCCTCTGTGATCACATGATCGATAATGCCGACACCTAGGAAACCCTTCTGTCACTGCACTCCCTTTCCACATCGACTGAGGTGTAATGCGTCTCGAATACCCACTGTTGCTGGGGGAGTTTTGTAGACGTGACGACCATTCTCCCAAACCAACGTATCTGCAAGATAAAGTGTTCCACCCCAAGCCTGATTCAACTCCCCGAACAGATCTTTGTAGTATTGAATAATCTTGTCCTCTGAAATATCAATTCGAGAATCGTATACTAGGGGCTTGACCATGGGATTGAGAAGTTCTATGTAACTTTCGAAATATAGTATTCTTATAATGATTTTGCATGACCAATTTCGTGCATTACCGAGCGATCGCAATTGAGCAAACTGGTATTTGCCATTCAATTTCGCTTCCAGAATAAGCCGAAGTTGAATAGGCGGTATAAATATAGTTATAGATTGCAAAAGCCCATCTCGAGCCATTGCGTTCATCGTTGAGATTGATTTGAACATGTTTGACAGACTAAGTTGAAAGTGGCAATCAATGTCTAAACATGTTTCGATGTTTCTGATGAGTCTACGAGAAATCCAACTCATAGATATGAGTGAACTATGTGTATTATTGATGCACCCAAGTCCAAAGACAGCACGGTTCCATAAAAGTTCCTTAACTTCTCGATAGATTTTCGGATGAACTTGCAACAACGGTGATTTGAACGGTCTTCCTGTCAACTTGTTGATTGCACAACTTCCAGGTAGTTGAAGGCTATGGTTCGAAGGACGACAAGTCGAACTCATTGCGTCAAACTTGGATGGGAAAATATGATCATAGATCATGAGGCGAATTTCGGGAGGCATACCCACTAAAGAGGCTGGTTTATACAGTGGTTTCGACCACAAAGCTTTCGAGGGTAGATCGACAGTGCTTTGCCTACGGAAAATCTGAGATTTGCTACTGTTGTAAATCGGTGATAAAGAACTTGAGGGACAACCAGTAGTGCTATATCTGCGGGCGATTCGTGGTTTCTCTTGAATTAACTTCACTTTCGCAATGATTGACTCAAAATTCTCAATCATTAACTCCAAATTCTTACGCCTCTTTTCAGAGTTAGATTCGAATCCGAATTCCTCCATGATCAACTGCAAGCAAGAATGAGGAGCAAACATGTACAATAATGCTGCAACTAAAGCACAACATACAATTGTAAATGGCACCAATAGAGGATGGAAAGCGCTTGTTTTCTCCATGCTAGAAGATTTAAGATTTGACCGAGATGTTATATAAGAATATACCGAGAATAATGAAATATGATGGGATAAATTAAAATCTATTTGGTCGTTTGAAGTCTGAAGGGAGTATACAGATGTTACGAAAGATTAATATGGATTCAATGATGGAATAGAAAGGAATTCAAGTGTTGTGAAGATTAAAATCGTATTAGAATATTAAGTAGAAATGGATTGAGAAACAGTAAAGAAAGAAGGGAGAGAATAAAATAGAACAAGAAGATTTTTGAGAAGATTAAATAGTTTGTGGGAAATTTAAAGAAGAGAAGATGAAGATTCCCCATGGGCGTCATATTGGCTACTAGGTAAGCTTAAATATCTAGCTCCCGCTTTTAGCGTGGATAAGCGAGAAAACATCTTGATTTCGAGAGGTCATCCAAGATAGAAGTGGGAATTCGAGGAAGATAAGGGAATTTAGGAAATCATTCGAACTGACTAGATACCACCATAAAACTTAGCTTCTTGAAATCATGAGCATACCCAAGTGTCTAGCTTCATGTGACCAGGAGATACCTGGCATTAAATTGTGCTGTGCTATCACGTGATCAGCGCTATCTCTTATTTCGTGCCTCCAAAACCACCCATTTGTGCTCCACCAACCTATCATCTCTGGCTGGATACTCGCCATTTCCTTATGAAGTCATGAAGCTCCCCCTTTGTACCATTTCCCGATCCGCACTAATGCCTTTCCAACCCATTTCACGTGTGTCTTGTCCAACAACCTTTCGACAATCAAATTCTCCCCGCCACATCCGCGCTTTCCTAGTCTCCACGCCAAGAGCCCTACATACAGAAAACTTTACATCGAGACAAAAGGCCACTGAAGGAGAGAAAACCAAATCAGATGTAGCCCCACAGAACACATTTTCAGAAGAGATTGGCGGCTCTGCAAAAAAGTATACCGAGGATGTCCCCCAAGAATCTTCATCTTCTGTTGCAACAATGCAGGAATCACTTAAACCTCTCTTGAGAGAAAATGGTGGAAAATGGGATTTGGCAGATAATGAAATGTCTGTGGAGAGGGTCATTATATTCAAAGGATTTAAAGATGCCTGGGTTGGTTTTTCTAATACTTTTCCTGGGGGCCGCAAAGCATTTACTCGGATATGGATTGGGTTCAAACGGACGGGTTACGATTGAAATGACCAAAGATTCTGTGGAGAGTGCCTCCCATGGGGACAACAAGATGATCAGTAGTCATCTGATATCTCTCTTTCATACTGTACTTCCTTGAAAATCTACGAAATCTCCACCACTTTCAAACCCATCTGCATATTATTCCTAAATCCAAGCCTAGAACAAAAAAGATCCACTTCACTAACCCAATACACACTCCACAGAACTTCATGAATGCTATCGCAGCAAAATGCAAACAAGAAAGACATCACCCAGAATGGGTTAACGTGGGTCTCTTGATTTCTTTTTCTTGCATTCCCTCCTCTTCTATCAAATCATCTAACACTCCCCAGATCTACAACAAAGTCTTCATCAGCTGGACCACGCATGATCTTCCCGGACTCACAGCCACTGATATCCTCATGGCCAAGTTTTGCGATGACCAAGCCACAATACACAAAGAGGTATACAACGTCTCAGAAGAACGTCTCCCAGAAAACACCCAGCACGAAAAATTTCTCAATCAAGCTCATCAGATCGCTAATAAGTTATCATCGAAATGATAAAGATTAATTAAACATACCCAGGACATGAGGGGAAAGAAAATACATGGACAAATCAGGGACCCAGGTCGGCCGTGGAAAGATATCATGATGAGAAACGTCGTGGGAAGAAGAAGTTGGAAGAGAGAAAAAAGCTAACAAGACCGAATTGAGGCTAAAAGATATTGATGAGGGAAAATCTTGAGGGGATGACACACATGCATTGTGAAGATCCAGGAAACTGTGGTACACAAAAGAGCAATGACTGCATGAATTAAAGATATCTATCAAGAACGCACCCCACATTATATTAACGCAAAATCACACCCTAGACTCCTGCCCAAACGCCTGAAAGCCTCGCCTTGAACCAGATCTCCCTCTGAAAATTAGACATTAACAAAACACAGTTATCACTGAGATACCTTCTCCCGAGCTTTCTTCTCCCTTCTAGCTGCAATTTCATAGAAAAGACTTCCATCATAAATTCTCCTGATATCATCCTTCTTCATTTTTCCATCTTTAGGCGATAATAAATGCCACGTTGCGCTCCCTAACATTCATTAGTACTAATCCTTCACTTTCGACTCCCAAAGATCCCCCTCGACAGAATAAGGAAAGAGTTCAAACATACATTCGAGAAGCGCAGCTGCCCAGCCTATCACATCCAAAACATTTCTCTGACTCTTTACGTACGCAAAAATCTCTGCCTTAGTAATATCCTGCTTATCCCGCCCTGCATATTTACTGAAGAGATCTTCAAAATGCTGAGGGATAAAACGCCCCTCATGATCATAGGTTCCGGAATCACTACCGTGTTTACCTTTGTGGATTCTCTCCGTGTGGATTCTGAGCTTGAAATCTGGAATCCATTGTCCTGGGGGAAGAGTCGGATATGAGAAAATACTATTGATGATCATGGCTGAGCCGACTGCGAGGAGGGGACTCCAGCCGAGACGACGAAAACCGTTGTAGGTATCGCGAGGAGAGACAATACCGTCTGAGTCGGGATCAAAGAAAGCGACGTGTTGTTGGAGGACCTGGGTTGGAGTTAGAAGAAGAGATAAAGTGAAGGGGGGTTGCAGAGTGTCCAATAGTCTGGACTGCTAGTCTAGATGTAGGCTGTCAAATTTCAAAATAGTTTATTTTCTGATTAGAGCAAAAACTTCAAATGAATCGATAATCTTGACTCGATCGAGATATTGAAAGTATCAAAACACCAGACAGCAGTCCAGACAATTGGAAACCCTAGAACGAGCAAAAACGAACAGTCAAATGCTTATTACGCTCCGCATAATTATCCTTAGTCGTCCCATGTGGTGATTCATAAGAAGCTGCTATAGTTGCTCTTGCCACTCCTACATCATTCCCTCATATCAGTACAACTCCCTCATTCCCACAGAATAAAAATGCACAAACCTGCTTGACGCAACCGTTCACTTCTGTGCTTCCCAATTGGAAAGCCCTCCTCGCAAGTGACATCCTGCCAAAATGGCAGTCTCTCCTCTGTAACAGGACATTCTTCGATCGCCATCTGGAAATCGGGCTCTGGATTCTCGTGCACATCAGGTCTGTGCCAAATTGGAAATCTCTCATCTGTAGTAGGGGGTTTTCTGAATGGCATCTCGGGACTTGGTCCCGAATTCTTACGGTCATCGTCGAATGAGCTTGAGTCGGTTCTTGTTGGCGTCATGATGGTCAAGTTGTTAATGATTTCTTTGTAATTGTTTGTAAAGAATAGTATTTTCTATTTTGTTTCGAGGGAGGAGTAAAGGAACATCCATTTTATATATTTCCCTGTCATTACTTCCTATTCTACCTATAACATGACTCCATCAAAAAGTCCAAAGGAACAACCCAAGTAGTGTGATTCCAAAGGATTCATCAGTTGGTCGCACTCAAGACAATGGGTAATGGTCATTTGATATCACATGATTTGTTTAATGAACGAGACACTCGCTCGGATGCTCTGGTGTGTACTAAGTACTTTTAGAACCATAGCTAATTAGTCCATGACATAGCCTGATTAAGCTTAACTCAACTTCTTAGCACGAAAATATTAAATGATCCTTTTTTTTTGACATGTGATGTAAAATTATGGTATTGTGCACATGTGTGAACCTTGAGGTTACAATAAAGTATAAAACTTTAATCGCTTGTAAAGATGGATTTTTTTGGCAGGATATACTTTTTCCCCAATCATTTGAATAACTTTGATCTCCAGCATGTGAGGGAAGTGTAACATGATACTAAGTAGTAAAGGTCACATATATTCCTCCGATGACCTCTTGCACATGTACCAATTCAGCACCTGCTAGAGTTTCGTAAGACTTTGCGTTCTCCCCTCAAGGGTTGAAAGCTGCTATCACTGAAAAACAGGTCCCGAAAATGACAACATTCTCATCAAATCAGAGTTCCTCAATGTCTGAGCCACTGTTGACTATTGAAGGCAGGTACATGTCGAATTCGATGAGAAGTAACCCCCGAATCGGATTTTCTTGCAAAATGATGGCCTGTGCTTCTTGTTCTTTTGTGACATTCAAAGTAGCCTGAAAATATGATTCTTCCCTCACAACAAAATATACTCTCGTTGTTCCCGATTAATTGTACAACGGAATCTTAAGTCTTGCCATTATTCCCCTTTGGCCCACCTCTCAAATTCCGCCACCATTTCCGGTGTTATTTGCCTCTTAATCTTGTTCATTGCAGCGAGGAAATCGTCCATAACCGCTGGTTCCATTGTCCCATGTTTTTTACGTCGTTCAATGGCCTTATCGAAGGCTTTCTGGCAGATACTGACCATTTCAGCTCCTGAATACCCCTCGGTTAGGCGAGCAAGTTTGGCTACGTCAACATCTTCTCCCATCGTAGATTTACGTTGTCTAGCACGAATGATAGCTTCTCTGCCAGCGAAATCTGGTGGTGCAACGTAGATAAGTTCGTCGAAGCGACCTGGTCTCAAGAGAGCTAGGTCTAGATCTTGTGGTTTGTTGGTTGCTGCTAGTACGGTAACACCCTTTAAACTCTCAATTCCGTCCATCTCGTTAAGTAAAGTGGTGAGAACGTTAACTCCGTTATTCGAATTCTTTCCATCTCTTTTGCTACCAATCGATTCAATTTCGTCAAAGAAGATAATACTTGGAGCTGCGGCTCGTGCACGAGAGAAGACATTACGAACGGCTCGTTCAGAGTCACCGACATACTTGGAGAGCAGTTCTGCGCCTTTTACGGCAAAGAAATTGAAACCCATTTCAGTAGCAACGGCTTGAGCGGTGAGTGTTTTGGAACATCCAGGAGGTCCATAGAGGAGAAGACCTTTTGTTGGTGAACGGCCAAAGTCTTGCATGATTTCTTGGTGCTGTAGTATTGTCAGTATGAATTGAATATTCCAGATGCTTTGGATTTTTCAAGTCGTTTGAGCATCCCGTTTTATCGAATCACCTCAAAATATTTAAGTGTCCAAAAAGATTTGAGTATCTCAGTTGATTTAAATCTCTCAATCCACTTGGATGTTTGGATAAGGGTGAGATCATGAAATGGGCATTCACTTACGAGGAAAGGCGTTTCGATAGCAAGCTGAATAGCTTCTTTGACTTTGTCTTGGCCTCCAATATCACTCCACTTAACCTTTGGTGGTCTTAAAGTAACATCGTGCATTGCACTTGGCCTGACCTCCAGAAGTGCATGCTCGATATCCTCTTTAACGACGAATGTCTGCTGGGGCACATCATCTTCATCTAGCTTCTCTTCTGCAAAAAGTTGTGCTTCGTCCAATAAACGAGAGAGATCTTCAGGTGTATATGCATGTGTTCGTTCTCCGAGATCATCGAGAATCTCATCGCGAGTTTCAGGGCACATTTGAGGATCCAGAGATTTGAGAATAGCTTTCCGAGCAGCTGCATCTGGGACAGGTAAAGCAATAGCTGTGGTAAATCTACCTCGTTTACGTAATGCAGCTGGTAGTTTAAGCATGTCCGATGTCGACGCTGCCACCAGAACTTGTGGCAAAGAATCCGAGGGATGATCTTTCATAAGATCCTCTAATCCTTCGCAAATGGCATCTGTCATATCGAGTAATGGTTCGCCCCCTTTTGCGACTACAGATTCAATATCATCTATAATTATAATACTTGGCTGGTTGACTTTTGCGTCCTTGAAAATTTTCTGGACTTCAGATGGCTTAGTTTTCCGGTCAATTCTGCGGACCTTCCCCCATTCTGTGCTGGCGATTTTATCCAGGACGAAACTCTTGCCTGTTCCGCTGCCACCATGTAGAAGAACGGCTGGTGATCTACGAACTTTGGTAAAATGGAACTGGCGGTTAAAATTGCTCAGGAACTTGTTAAGCTTTTCAAGTGCTTGATCAATGCCTGCGATATCAACAACTTGAAGAGGCTTTTGCTCAACGTTACTTGCAGCTAACATGGCCCTACTGATTTCTGCAATTGTTCCAATTTTGAAAGATGATACCCCTTCATGAAAGGCAGCAACACCAGATTTCGAGCCGTCGATAGAAAAGACTTCAAAGGTTCGCCTTTCTCTTCTAAGCATCACATCTCTGAAGGTCATGCCAGGGTAAACCAACTCAGCGCGAGCTGTGTTCTTGTCAGTCATGTACTAAACAGAGAAAATGTGAAATCAAAAACTCTCGACCTTTCGAAAGTACAAAATAAGATGGTACAATGGAAGAAAACTCCTACCTAAGAGATCGTCTAGAACAAACTTCCAGGCAATCTCAGCGTCTCCTGTCAATTCCCGCATAACCCCTTCAACCATACCGACATCCTTGATTAGGATCTCCTTCGCAACCTCCAGTTTTGCTCCTCTAGCAACAATCACATCGTCACTTAGTTTGAACCCACATGCTTCTTGGAAAGCTTTACTGACTTGCACCACTTTCCTACTTAATTTTTCTGTAGCCAACCAAATTACCGCCTCTCTTCTTGTATGTTCGCCCTCAGAGCTTTTCCATAAATAGCATGTTTCTCCATTCTTGACTTGAAGATCCAAAAGAACGTCTGTACAAACATATACACGTGCTACATTTCTGAAATCCGGCCTTTCTTGGGATTGCGCTTGATATGGACGAACTTTCAGTTCTAGAAGTTTTTCGGCTGTCATCTTGGTCTCTTGTATGAATGTGCCAGTATATCTTGAACAAACAAAATTACCGATCTTATGTATTTGAAGAAAAAGAAAAGATGAAAAAGGAAAAATACAAAAGTCTGGTCAATGGAGGGGTAGAAAGTAAAATAAAAATTATGGTCAGCCTTGCCAAGGAACATGGGTATATCTTTAGATTGTGTTTACCGCTTTTATTCTGCCGATCAAAGTTCCCAAACCAATTAATTTTCCCCATCCCCTCCAGCCTTGGCCCCCTCTTCAACCACCCCTCTCATGACCAATGCACTCCTCCCGCCTTCTTCCCCCCTCATTCCTCCTCCCATCATGGAATAACCGACAACTACAATGTCTCTTTCAACGGCGTCACGTATACCAAAAGACACGCATTCGCAACCGCGACGGAGAACCTCCAAAGCCAAAAGGTGAATCTCTCTTTGGAGTACGACGTCTCGACCTTACTCCAACTATTAAACCACCTACTTCCCTTTTCGAAGAGCTCTTCCCAGAAGAACAACAAAAGGCCCCTTCATCTTCACCGCCCTCCAAACATCTCAAACCCGCACCTCCGAGGTTTCCAAAGCTGCCTACATTTGACTGGACATCTAATATAGAGACATTTGACGAAGCGGAAGTGCGGAGGCGAGCTGCAGAGAAAGAGAGGAAGGACTGGAATATTGTGGGAAAGGAGAGAGAAAGTGAAGAGGAGGATGCGGTCCAGAGACGTGAGGCTAGTGTATTGATTTTGAATTGTGCGAGTAAAACACTGGAAGAGAGCGACTTTTTTAGATTGAGTCCGAAGGGTGAACATATTGAGGGTTGGATGAGTGGGATTATTAAGAGTGTGTACCCCTCTTTTGTATCCCTATTTTATGTCTACATGGCAACGTAGCTATATTTACGTATAGCTAACTTTATCTTCAGTTATCCCTGGGCGCGATCCCCAAACTCTCGAGTCCCTAGGTCACTACTTTATTCTCTTCAGTTCGCGCGCTGCGGCTCTGGCCTACTTCCACCGAACTATTGAACTACACACCTTATCCCGAACCTACAGCCCTAACAGCATTCCTCTCCCACTTCAAATCTCCAATCGCTCTTCTCGAAGCCCTGATCGTCCTCCTTCGACTCTCCCCCATTCCGCAACCGAACTCCAGAATCTTCTAAAAAACTTCACCCTCGTCCCTCCATATACACGTCTTTCTCTGCGCATTCTCCGGAAACCTTACCGACCAGCGATGACCACCCTATTAGCGACCGGCGCTCCCACCACGCTCACACAATCTCGTTCCCAATCCCACACCCTCGACACTGTCCTTTTCACTATCACTATTCCCAGCATTGGACTCAGTTCCTGGGGTCTCCGAGAAATCCTCGATGCAGATGGTAAACGTCGCAATCTACACTGGCGCTTCGCTCAATCTGGAGCCATCGTTCGTGTTGGCGAAAAGATCGATTCTGTGACTGGAGGTGAAAAAACAGAAATAGGTTATCGAGGAGAGAATATCATCGGAAGGAAAAAAGCTTATAATACGAGTGGAAGATACATAATTTCATTCATGGATCGAGCAGAAGCGAGAAGATTTGTGAGAGAATGGCATAAGAGGCCTTGTCCGTTGCAAAAGGAGTATAAAGAGGGAGATGAACCACCTCCGATCGCTAATGTCGAGATTATGTGGTAGTGGGGACGGAAAGAGGGGAGGGGGGATGTCTTGGGAATGGAGTGAAGATAGGAGAAAGAAGAAACTCGTCGAAGGAGTTCTACGGAAGTTATGTTAGTAATGATGCGTGGTCACCTATTGAGAAATCGAAGGAAGAAGTCGAAAAAACGAAGACATCCTTTGAATCACATCTCGCCACACCATTTCGCATCTTATCCCTTCCCTTAGGCGAACAAATAATCAGTAGTGAAGCCAAGATGGGATAAGAATTCTTGCGAGGAAGAGCATCAATATCATGCCATGATATAATATAACATACCACAATATATCAAGATACGAATAAACATCACCACAGAAGTACAAAATCCTACCCATCTTGCATTATAATCATACAATACAATTGCTACTAGAAGAGGTGTATAGATGCGATCTATCTATCCATTCATCTACCTATCTATGGAGTATCTTAATGCAGTTATCCTACCCAGATAGACGTATATACGTCTCAGAGTTACTTTGTATAGAACGAAATGAAATGAAATGAAAGAAATTAGTATATTTGAATACCATGGTACAATAAGCAATAATAATATATATAACACATGATGATATATTATATATCTTTCTATTTCACACTCTTTCACTTACTTACTTACTTACCTACATCCAATATAAAATAAAACTTACAATAGAATTCCATCTCACCTCCTAATATCATACCTACCTAGTTACCTCCACTCCAATTTACATCCCAAAACTAACATTCAACTCAACACCTCCTGACCTCCTCACCTCCTGACCTCTCCTCTCCTTTCCTCTCCTCTCCTCTCCTCACCTTCCTTCCCCATACTAACAAGTATACGTATATATATAAATCTGTATATAAAACGTACCTAGTATTGCTTCTCAAGAACATACACATACACATCCTCATCCTCACATCACCTTCATATCCATAATCACTGACACAAAATCATAATCACAAAATCAACACTCAAACTTCTCCTCATCATAATCATAATCAACATATAAAAAAAAGAACACGCCTATCAATTTAATACCATATAAATACGCATAATCACCCAACTCCGGCTTCTCTCTTGATAAAAAAAAAGGTAAAAGTAAACAAAGCAATGGTTATGCACTACCAACCCACAAACACCATTGTATTGCCTCTCACACTGTGCTTAACCACTGTCATTCCTTCCCAGTCCTTCCCTGCTTCCGACGACTTCTCTTCTCCTGTCCCCTCCTCTATAGAATCAAATCATGAAAGAATCTCTCCATCCCCCCTTTGCTTCTTCCGCAATCATATCATATCATATTATATCATCGAACCCCTTCCTCTCAAACAACACGACATCCCTCCTCTAACAACATTTACTTCCACCTCCACTACTTTGACCACCCACATCAACACCTTGTTGCGCCGCCTGATCTATCTTACTCGTATCCACGATTCTCTTCTTGATATCTGCCGCCAAACTATAGAATGCCTTTTCTACATTAATGTTACTCTTGGCGGATACCTCGAGGAAAGGAATGCCGAGTTCATCTGCTAATTGTTGACCACGTTCGGTAGATACAACTCGTTTGTCTTCCCAATCGCACTTGTTGCCTATGAGGATCTTGTTTACACCTTCGGTGGCATGTTGTTCGACGTTGCTGAACCAGGTGCGGATATCTAGACGGGAGTTGTTAGTAAAATTCTTGTGACGATTTGCATTTAAATGTTGTCTTGTTTTATTCCCCCCTTACTGCAGAAAAACAGCACACATCCATTCATCATCCCCTTCGAACTTCCCAGTCCACACCACAACATGACATCACCTCTTCTCTCACAAACTCATATCCAATCCACGAGCAAAAAGGAACAACGTACTTGTAAAAGATCTCTCATCTGTAACATCATAAACAAGCAAGATGCCCATCGCCCCCCTATAATACGCCGTGGTGATCGTCCTAAATCTCTCCTGACCCGCCGTGTCCCAAATTTGCAACTTCACTCTCTTTCCATCCAACTCAATTGTACGAATCTTGAAATCAATTCCAATCGTGGTGATGAACGAAGGTGTGAAACTATCCTCGCTGAAACGCAAGAGACAGCATGATTTTCCTACACCGGAATCGCCTATCAAAAGGAGTTTAATCTATTTGCACAGAGAGCAAGTAAGCATTTGTATTTATCTGTGTATTTGCATATGAGTTGGAGATTGAATAGGGGAAGGAGAAGGAAGGTCTTGATTGATAAACAGATGGATCGATTGATTAGAACCTGGGTTCGTAAACAACCTCACCAACCATCAAGCAAACAGACCGTCAATCCAACATACCAAAAAATCGTAATTCCTGGTTCCGGCCATCTTGTCTGAAATCGCACTCGAGTAGGGAGCTCAAGTACAGTCTTTTTGAATATTTGGATAGCCTTGTAAATGCGGCGTTGTCAAATCCACAAGATCTGATCACTTTCGTGCACTTCGTCCGTGTCCTTAGTTCCTTTTGCTGGGCTTCTTGGTCTGGTCTACACCTGGCACCGAATTCGAATCGTCTACCGTAATGAAATGAGATCGCTGGAAGAAATGTGTGGGGTACAGGGTGCTGTGGGTCGACAAGAGTTACTTTATTTATCGTGTGTAAGGGAGGACGTTTCGTTCTGTTTATATGTAAAGTAAAAAGGTGATGGATACGAGATATCGATTTCGAGCAGTGCTGGTTTGGACGGGGGTTTCAAAAGATTCACTTGTACGGACACTTTCTCTTTCTGCCAGCATGTGTCGTGATTAATCACAAAACAAATTAACACCTGCAATTGATGTAATGCGTAGGTAATTCCTACGGTTCTTTCCTAATAACTCGTGGGAATTGGTTTGATAGAAGACGGGATATGAAAGTTCCGAATTTCAAGATCTGGATAGGGAAGTAGGTATGTATTGTATGGATGTATCAGGTACGTCCGTTGTCCGTTGTTAAACGAGTAACCGATATCCCTACATCGTGCACGCCCCTGTATCGTGCACACTTTTATTTCTTTTAAAAAAGATATTCTAAATTCAATATATAATTAATCAATTATTGAGTTCTATTAATAATTATATATAATATATTATATTACTATTTATTTCTTATAAAATAATCAAAATATAAAAATAATTATTATATATAATATAATTTCAATATTAAAATTATTAATACAAAAATATTATATATTAATTTATTTATTAATAGAAATAGCAAAAATTGATTTTCAATTTCTTTTCTATAAATTTGAATATATTTTAATATAAAAAAATAAAAAAATTAAGTTTTTATATTATAAATTTGATATTATATTAATATATTATTTAAGTTTTTATAAATAATTTTTTCTTTTAAAAAAAATTGATTATAAATCAAATATTTTATAATGATTTTTAATTTTTTCAATTATATAATATTATTAATAGATTAATTTTGATTAGAAAACTAAAAATAACTATATTTTATTAAATATATATATATATATTATTAATTATTAAAAAAATTATAAAATTAAATATTAGAATTATATAATTAATAATAAGATATTTCTAAAAAAGATTTTTTTTTTAAAAAAATTTAAAAACGGAATTAATTTGAATATTAATAAAAAACAGAATATATTATAATATTAAATTATTAGAAATATTATAAAATTTGAGGATTTTTTTTAAAAAATAAATTCTTTTAAAATAGATTTATAATATTTTTTAGTTTTTTAAAAAAATAATAGATTTATTTATTAAAAAATTAGAATATTTTATTTCATTTCTTATTTTGTTATTTTATATATTAATTTATAATATAATAAATTATAGTTTTTAATTATTTATTATTTTTTTATAATTTTATTATTATTATATTATATATTTTCTAATATATAAAAATTCTATTTTCTAATTAAAATCCAATAATAATTTCAAATTCTTAAAATCTATAAAAAAACATTTTAAAATATTTTAGAAAGAATTTTTAAATTCTTTTTATTTTTTTGAATATTATACATATTTTTGAAATTATATTTAAAACTTAATTTTTTATATTTTTCAGAATTTCAAGCTTTTTTTCAATAATAATAATATAAATTAATTCAAAAAACTTTATTTTTAATAATATAAATTTATTCTAATATAAATTTTTATTAAATTATTAATATCTTAAAATATTATTTTTTAAAATCAATTAATATTCTATTTGATATTTCAAATTTATCAAAAACTTATTATTATATTTAGCTAATCTTCAATCTGTTTTTTATAAATTTTAATATTATTATAAACAGTTTTGGATTTATAATCAATTTTTAATTCAATAAATTAAAGCGTGCAAGATACAGGGTCGTGCATGATGCAGGGATATCGGTTATGCGGCGTCGCGTCTACTGTGGCGTTTGTTAACCAATCCATGTTTCTCATCTATCAAGTACATGCGGTACGGTGTACAGAGTCAAGTCTTTGGTCTTTGGGAAATGTCACCAAAGAAAGATTATACTATATTGGATCCCTTTTGATACTGACACCTTTAGACCAACTGTCCTGAACCCTTGATTCTCACACCAGTTACTAGGTATCTAGATATACATGCCGTATTCTCTTATAGCTTATACGATATAAGTTACTCCAAACTCTAAACATCCAGCGCTAGATATATCTAGGACAAGTAAACTTCAAAGGTTCAAACTTTTAATAGTCGGTTCTTCAAGTGGTCAAGTGTATATAGTCAATATTACACCCTCCCCTGGAAACGCTATGTCTACAGTATATCAACGCAAGTTCTTCCCCTCTCCATTAAAAGGGCTGTGTTAGAATCCAATTCTAGTAATCTTACCACTTAACACTATAAATAACATCTTTAAGAATTTACATATCCATACGACAATAATGCACACAAATACGTACGATCAAATTCAGATAACCACTAAATTAGAGTATTCTCAGTCTTGCGACTAGGTCATCATTTCTTTATCCATGCCATGCCATTCCATCCCATCATCTAATCATATCATATCATAGCATACAAATATCCATATCAATATCAGTCGCTATGCAAATATTGCTTTCCCCTTTCCCCATCTCTCCTTCTATACTGTACACTCTGCCCAAAATCCACTTCTCTATCTTCCGCGTCCCCTCCTCCTCTCCCTCCCCAAAGCTACCTCAACCACCTCCCATAACTCCACCTAATTCTCTCTAAAACCTTAAGCTGCACCTGAATACCACTATTGATATTGCAGAGATCTCCCACGTCCTCCAAGAACTCTCTCTCCACATCCCCAGGAAACAAACTATGCGCTCTCTTCCTCAAAACATGAACTTCACACAACAACAATCCATGATCTTTGTACGAGAGCAAGTTGTTCTGCGTAGGCGTAGCAATCGTAAGGATTCGATCAATATTTCTCAAGACCCTCGCAGTTCGCCCCGCCCTTTCACCTCGTCGAAGTCCCTTGCGTGAGCCGAGTAATGTTCCAAAATATCGGAAAGCAGCGAAACAGACCAGCACACCAGGAGTCAGACCTAAAAATCCAAAGACAAGCTCTTGGCTCTTGAGTAGCGCATCGATACCACTTAGCGCAACCTCCACATCGACTTTAGTCTTTTGTACTTGGATCAAAACTGTTCTGATTAAATCTCCTCTAACGGTTCCTACAAATGGTCGTTGCATATCCTTCTCATAAGCGCGAAGAACGGGTGTGAGATCACCTGCCTTGACTTTGGCTTTGATCTCGGTGATTTGTGAATCATTTAAAGCGCCAGTCCCGTAATTTGCGGCTTCTGGGTTGTCGCGAGCGAAATCCACCACCATTCTTTCCAGACTTTCCATGTCGCCCTTTAGACTCTCTTTACTCATAATTGCTACTTCGCTATCCTTGTCATGACGAATTGTCCCAATGACCTTTAAAGTAGGATCAACAACCCAGTTCATCCAGAAATCTTGAATGGTAGATCCAAGTTCTCTAATCCAGGTAAGAAGCTCTGCTTTTCTGTTCACCAAGATTCGCAATATAGTCGAAGACGAAAGTAACAACATGCTAGCCGGTAACCAGTATCTAACAAGTCTTGAAGGTCGTCCATATTCTGAGACAAGTCTTTGTGAATTCGTAATATGCTTCGGTACATGACTAGAGAGGATGTGCTGCAATCTTCTCGACACCTTACTCGTCCTGGTCGCTTGTGAATTGTCCGCACTCGAAATCTCTGGGTCATCCTCCACACTGGCAAACACAGTATCCTCGAAATCCGAAATCCCTTGCTCAAGAGCCGTAACATTGCGAAGCACATTATCCATCAGTGCCACACTTCTCTCCACCACATCTTTCCACTCCAAGTTTTCTGACTCCTCGGCTTTCAAACCCGCGCCCTCTTCATCGATATCAAAACTCAACGCTTCATCCATCAGAACTCCTAGCCCACTTGCTCCCATCTCCCTAAATCTCTTTAACCTTGCCTGATTCATCTTAGCCTTTGACCTCCCCAACGCAACCGGACTCATAACTCTCTTCTGTACCTCCACCACACTTCTCTCTCTAATACTCTCCCTCACCAACCCATAAAACATGCTCCATTGCCCCGCGACTCCCTCTTTCACATCTCTCCCACCCTTTCTGACCGCACTTCCAGGCGCTTCTTTCAAATGCACCAATCGCTCCCTCGAATCACTATAAATATCCTTTCCCCAATCCCACAACCTCTGCGGCGAAGTCTGTATCGTGTATAGTCCCGAATATGTATATGATCCGAGTACTTCATCCCAATACCAAATATCATCACTTAGCGGAATTGTTTGTTCCAGAAGCGTATTCAATATCAACCCATATGTTTGCACCGTCGCTTTACTGACCAACAACCACTCCAATTCCCTCTCATAGTTCTTCAGATAAGCATTTACACCTGCTCTCGCATTCTTATGTTGCCTTTCCGCATCTTCCTCATCATCCTCATCCTCATCCTCATTCTCATCCTCATTCTCATCCTCATCCTCATCCTCAATTTCTTCAGTCTGCACCGAACCCTTCAAATCAGCCTGTTCCAACAACCGACTAATCTTCCCACCCGAAAGCAACGCGCTAGAACTCGACGTCGTACTCAATGCCTTGACCAACGCCTGCAACTCCGCTATGCGCGGCGAAGAAGCAATCTTAGCATGTTGCGCGGACACCAGACCTTCATCTGCGGGGTAAGGGAAGGGAGCGAGCTGGACGCGGTCGAGCTGAGCGTCGACTTTTCGTATTTGGCTATTTCGTAGACATTGTTAGTAATTTGTTTGCGAAACGAACACGATGTGTATTGAGAGAAAAAACACAAATCCCTAAACATTAAACACCCAACCAACAAATAACCAAATCGTGAACTCTCCAGGTTCCACCAAGAACCATTTCTCTACTACGTAGAGTAATCCCATGTCATATCATATCTAAACAACCCCTCACACGACCCCACAAACAATCTTCAAAAAAAACAAACAAACCAAAATCCGAGTCAAAACCATTAAAACAAGCCAAAAAAACAAAACACCTCTCTACCCCAATAAATAAATTACTTACTCTGCAACAATCGACATCCTGCCACCACCAGCATCGATATGCAACTCTTCAAGTATGTGAAGCTCAGAATCTCGATGCGGGTGTAATGTTCAAGACAAGCTCGGGCAAGGTTCTAGGATGATTGATTGTTGGAGAGCTCGCTCGCTTATGTACGATTGAAAAATGACGCAGCGCAGCCTGGCAGTTTGAAAAGCGGCTGGTTTGTGGATGAAAAAACACAAATACCATGATTTAGATGAGGGTAAACTGTCTCAATATTATGATTATGAAGATTGTATCGTTCCTAGGCTTCGAGAAGTAATGATATGATGTTACGATATCATGAAATCTCGAATAGCAAAGATTTAGTATCACGCAGGTGGGAGTTGAGGGGCTGAAGATTCTAAATATGCACCAGCTCTTAACACTTGATAAAGGAGCCAAAAGTCTTCTGATATTCAAAATCTATATAATCGATATTCTCTACAAATCCTACACAAATATATGTACAAAGTCCATCCACAATCCTCAAAATGAACTTCCAGCGATTAGTTCCGGCTCATGCTCATCTTGCTCATCCAAACTCATATTTTCGTCCTCAAAATCATCCCAGTTATTGATTTCTTCTTGAGACTGTGATTTCTGTGCATCGAGAGCCATGGCTTTTTCCATGATTTCAAGAGTCTTATTTCTAGCATCCTTCTTGTCTTTTTGATCATCGCCGCGCATCATTGCAAAGATCGCATGAGCTTCTTCGATAGCCTGAAGAAATGTTTTCAGTCTTGGGCCGAGCTCTCTCTTCCGCAATGACGTTCGCGTGTTTTTTAGTATGCCTTTCATACGTGGATCCGGTACGACTTGATGAACAGATAACATATTTGTGATCCAAACGATCCCTCTAGGTTCTTTCATACCGATGTAAGCTTTGAGAAGGATAGTAAGATTGATCACATTTGGTCGGACTGTTGCGCTATGAGTCTGCGAGACTTCTGTCCAGAATGCTATTGCATCTCGAAAGTATCCATTTCGGACAAGGATGTTGGTGACTTCATTGAACACAGGTTCTGGCACAATAAGCCCATGCTCCTCCGCCTTGGCGATTGCTTCTCTGGCAGAAGTCAAGAACATAATTAGACGACTGCTTCCGACGCGCTCCATGAAGCTTGGTAGTCGGTGAGTGAGGAGCGTAACAAGAGCATCATCCAACAAATAGCCTTTCCGTTTCGCGTCTTTGAGAAGGTCAATAGCCATTTGCGTATTGCCATCGTTCAAGTGCAGTAATGCTTTTACAGTGGCTGCCAAGACCGAACTATGAATGAAAACTCCCTGTTTGGAGGCGGTGTCATATATGTTTACGACCTTCTGGAAGTTGCCCTTTCCCATCTCCTCGATAATTTGTCTACGAGGATAGTTGTCATCATTTATAGATCTGGTCCCCCTGGAAATGACTCTTAGCTTCCTAGCCGCAATTTCTTGTTCCCCCTTAGAATCCTTAAGAGCAAGCTGGCGCAGTTGCGCGAAGGTAAAGTCATTTGTATAATCCACAGAAGATTTTAACATCACACGATGCACTTGAAATACTTGTTCAAAATTAAAACCCCATGTCTTATAGAGCTGGCTTAGGAGAGTATTGAATGAATCAGCGTCAAAACACGTCGAAACAGAGGTTGCATACTCTATCCAACGGAGGATGGAACGAAGCTCTTTAGCTTTTGCGTACTCGCCGATCATAATGTTCGAGGCATAAGATGTCAGAGGTACTTTATACTCTTCAAGACAACAACGAAGAAAATCCTCCGTCTCGGTCACAGAATGTGATTTAGCAAATATTTTAAGAATCGGTGGGAAGATCTCGCCATAGACTTTGGGATTAGGGTTGAGTTTTGCCATTTCGGCGAAATTGGTCTTAACATCATCCCATTCCTCACACATCGCTTTACCACGAGCAATCTGGCCGCGTATGAGGATATCATCTTCACACGGACCACTGATTTGAAACAAATGTTCGTGATATTTGCCGGCGCCTTTGAAATCACCTGCTTCTACACACAACTGTATAACAACGGCATAAGCAGCTTCTGGCCGACAAACAGTCGGTATCACAGTCTTGAGTCGTTCGAACCTCTCTTGGGTTTTACGAATGCTTCGTTTTCTACGCCATTCCGTGCCAAGCAGTTTTTGGAACCAATTGTTCGATCTTATGAACTGGTCGCTTTGAATCGATTTCGACACCTCTATCAGAATCTGTTCAGCATGGGTGAAATGATTAAGTTCAAGTGCTCTCTCGAATATGGCATCCGTAACACGGTAAAGCTCTTCTTGGCTTGGTGACGATTTGACGAAATGCTTGAAGAAGTGAGAAATGGCACTACGATACTGTTTGGTCTGTATTTCGGCGATTATGAAGGACCCAACAGCGGAGTTAGATGTTTTGCCACGTGTAGCCTCAATTCGGCAGAACAGTTGCTTGGTCAAATCATACATCTTGAACTGACAGGTCAAGTTGCAAGCTTCCACTATGACAGGTCTTAATTTATTCGAGATCGGTCCAGGCTTCGCTTTAAATTCTGTAAGGCACAAGGTAGAGGCTTTTCGGAGTTTAGAAGGGTAGGCGTCGTAGCCAGCCTTATCATCTGGACTTCTTAAAAGTGATTCGATAATAACATGTGGCTCGAATCGCTTGAAATCGATCTCAGAAAGAGTGGTCGATTTTAAAACAGTATCAAGAATCCTTTCCATATTTTCCACCATAGAAAGGGACCGACAAGCTGTAGATAGCACAATTGCTGCTTCCACGAGATATTTTTGCATGCCACTAGATCCTAAATCCAGGCCTTCCTCAAATGCCTCTAAGAACCGCCGCAAGGCAGAACCAACAGCAATTGAGTCCTTTCCATCTCCAATGATCTGCTGTATATCATTCGCAAGACGCAGTTGACGGTCTTCTTCGATATACTTAGGTTTTTGTAACGAATCTTTTGCGGTTGGGGGGCGTAATTTTCCAATTCGGGGCGGCTTGAACGGAATCGAAGGTGGTATCAGGTTTGCCGGCTCTGTTGGTTTGCCAAATCTTGATTCACAGGCTACGATCTCTTCGGCACTTGTAACACTGCCCAAGGCAGTGCTGCCAGCCTGCCAAAATCCATCATCCTTATATCTCAAGACCTGCTCCTCAAATGTCTCTGCCAAATGTGCACTCGGTTCGTGATATTGTCTCGCAGACTTGAGTTTCTTGGCGTTATCATGTACCAATTTCGCGCCGTGGATTCGTCGTCGGCGGTCCTCTGTTAACATACCAGTACTGAATGCGACTGTGCAGGATGTTCCAAGGGCGATGTTGCGAAGGGCTCGCAATGCACCTTTAGAAGGCACAGGCAGGGCGGATGGCATTTCAGTGGTAATCTAGCCATCGCATCTCCATTCAAAGAAAAGGTGGTAGTGAAGTGCCCAGTGCACTTGAGGTTTTGTGCGGAATGATCCGATTTGCACTGGTGGTCCCAGCATCTATTAACCCAGAACTTTTCGATTGACGAATGATTATTAGTCAGCCGACCCCGCGACCACAATCTCGGGGTTTTCCCGGTGAGCTTAGAATTTGGAGAGCCATGAAAGGAATTTACACATGTGTTCAGCGGGTACATGGGCAGAACTACTTATGTCGGTTTGCTGATATTCGAGATTTGCTCGTAGCTGTTCTCAATTTGCCTAACATATTCATTCCATGCATTCTCGAGAATGGAGTCGCCTGTGTGAGAGTACTTGGTATTATTTAAAATCGAGATTAATATATCCTCACTATTTTCCGACATATATGTCTAGCCAGTCGAACTATTTTATCTACTGCTTTCCTAACGGGTGATCGCACAAGATTTACACACAATCCTCTTCTGCTGATACCCAAAATGTGCCTATACTTCACCCCGACCGAACACCTTCTTCATACCATCAACTTCAATCTGCAGCGCAGGCCAGTTCCATAATCGCAAAATGAAACGGGCAGGCTGATCTGACTTAGTACGTAACCTAATTGTTATATTTTTGACGATAGAGCTGCTTGTGATCTAGGCTTCGATAATAAACGAGATATTCAGAAACTAGTATCCGCAGCCTTTCGTCGAAGCAAGCCATAGAAAACAAGCCCACTCCTGAAAGACGATATGAAGCCTTTGCCCTTGATGATGGAATAGCCCGAGTAAACTCACAAGTAGGTAAGCACACATATCAATCGGCGCACATTCAACAATCGACGGGACTTTGTTCACCCAAGATTATGTACGAGAAATGCGTCAAAATCCTCATCTCTCATCTCTCAACACCCACGCCTAATCCTTTATTCCTGACCCAGAAATCAATACAACATCCTTTCCACAAGACATAATCAAGCCAAAAGCTCTACATAAGCCTCTTCTCCCGAAGCCAGAAAAATACAATATATAGAGTTTCCCTAGAACCCAACCAGTAAAACTCCTCAGAAATCACTTGACTAGCACCTCCAAATCTTTTGTTGCACATCTACAAATCCAATAGATTCTCCTCCTGCAAGATCAATTGAGATCACGAGAGCATCCTGAGACATAAAGACGACGCTATCGAAATCAACCAATAGAGTTACTCAGGTCACTTGACCAGCCAACTTTATATTTTCTTGTTGCATATCTCATGAATTGATCCTACTGGAGTAGGATCAATTTGCAGTCGTAGATAATTGACCTTGCCGAGAATTTAACTGACGGTGAATTTGAGGCCTTCTGGACCGTCGTGTTAACCATGGCGACCTTCGGCGACCTTCAGTGACCTGCACAGTGATTATTGTCAGTATTTTAATAGAGGATTAATTTATCAAAGTGTATTAATATCAGCTGTTCTCACAACAACCAAAATTTAACAACGAGCCATCAGCGTCATCCATTGACGATTGGTCGTTCCTCACACATGCACATCGATCTTGGTGTATCCGTTCACTTCAAACATTTCAAACTGCGCCTTCAACCGTGATACAAACTCCACGAAACACACCCACCTACCAATGAGCAATTTCTTACGTGTGATCGTCTTGAATGACAATATGCTTTGTCATGAAATTTGTAAGCTCCCGCCAAGAGCATGAGCTACGGCTCCCCCCCGTCTTTGTACCCCAGAGAACGTTTCGGTGAGGAGCTACGAGGTAACCCAGGGGGGCCCTACGAAGCTCAACGGTAAGACAGGTAGGGCTGATATGATATGATGTGCTTGATGTGTTCTATAGAATTGATGTGTTGGCTAGGTCGTCCAATAATACACAGCACACTAATATCTGTGAAATGTGATACAAACAATAACGGCCAGACGTATCGAATCACTTTTTTTCGATGGAAGTTTGCAAGGGTGTATTCAAATTTGCATATGAATGCATGGCAGTTTTCAACTGGCGAGGACAATCTTCGTAGGTTCAAGAAAGAAAGGGTGACTCCAGATACGGTTCAACAACTCCGTATGCTGTAAAATGTAGTACACAGATTCTCATCGCACTACGTACCTTTCCCCATTTCTCGGTACCAAAGAAATTGTTTCATGACTCAACAAAATCCCTGCCGATCTCAACTAGTCCTGAGGATCGGAGAATTTTGTTATTTTCGAAGTCATAGACTTTCCGTTATTATTCTTTGAGTGCGGAATGTTGGTGGGTGATGGCTTACTCGACTTGGTCGATTCTAAAAATTAATATCTCTTGCAAAAATTCAATCCTATATGACTGTCCTCAGATTTTCATGAGTTTAGATCAATGCCGAGTATTTCAACTTACAAGATTCCGACGATTTGGTAAACCAAGCCACATGCACAGAAGACCTCCGACTGCCGTGCTAAATGGTAGGAGTGTTCCTGACAGGCATCATCTAATACAAACCGTAAAAAGTGACGAGTCGGATAGTAGTAATTTGTTCCGTCATAAATGATATATCATGAAGACCCCCCATGCTCTGGCCCTCAACATATTCCACGCAATTTAGAATGACTTCCTAATGTTCCAACGACAAGCTGTATAGCACAGTAAATTGAGGTGTCAGAATTACTCAAAGAAATGATCCATGATGAGGTTTCGAGTACGACGACAGTTCCGGATATGAATTTGTTGATCTGCATCCGTACCATGATCCCTAAGGCTCGGACTGTGCGTAGTCGTCAAAAAATTTCGAAGTACAAGAGTCAGATGATTTGGCGTCCACTTGCAGGCTGCATGAAGGGTCTGTCGCTCACACGAACCATACGAATATTTTATTTTGCACGGATACCTGCAGAGCGTGTAGGATCATTGGATTGAAACTGAGAAGCATTGATCCCTGGTTGTTATGGAGCCTCGAAAGTTAAAAACCTGGAGAGAATTGATTCGGATTACCTTCCAGGTACATTCTCTTTACCATTCGCTGGACAGTAGCCCTGTCAAGTCGAAAGCCTGGCACAAGGATTTCTCGTTTCTGACCAAGCAACGATCCAATGTATCCTCATCATCGACCGGCGATTTGCTGCATTCAGATCGGAGGTAGAATATCAACGCATGATTGATAGGCACCGTTGATGACAACTATGGCTCAAAATCTCCATCATGCCGTGTTGCGTGTTTATCGTAAGGTTGTGCCCATATAGAACACGATCGTTCCTATTCTAGGATGTCCCGTTTGACAAAATTGCAGCTACCCTTTTGAACACCTGCAGACGCAGATATCCAAGCACGTCGACCATCAACATTCGAGAATGCAGGCAACCGCAATATCATAAAATAAGATCATCTTTTCTTTTGCCAGAGGATCGATGAACAGCTCTTAAGTCCGCTCCCAAACATTATATATTGACCACTTCCACCGAGCTGAAGTTGGACCTCATCAATTCAAAGAAGCCCATCAACCCAAACAAACTTGTCCTTTAAACATATATATCTGCCTCACATCAATCAATCATCAATCGATCAAAAGATTACTTTCGACCAACTTCAATCAAGATGCCTTGCCAACCGATTCCATTCGAGGTCATTGTCCGAGGAGAGATGAGCATCCTCCCTTCCATCGAATCGATGCCGATGCCCTTTGATGAGATTTCAGGATCTTTCGGCATGACTCAAATTCCCGGCGTAAGAGATTGCATCTGGCACCATTGTAATCGATATATACTGACATAGACCAGATGCCTAGCGTTAGGTGTCCAACTTGTCTTGCCAAAGGTCAAGAAGTATGGGTTATTGCAGGAAGAGCCTGTGGCGCTTGTGGTACTGGCTGTTGAATAATGAGGTATATGCATCAGATCACTTCTAGGCGTGCTGCAATGTCACTAACATTTCTTCAGGTTGAAATTGTAGTGCGACAGCCTTCAGACACTTGATCAGAATGAAGGATAATTTGGAATTTGAGTAGGGCTGAATGTCAGCGGTGACTCGGTTGGTATAAAATCATGTGGAAGTAGATTGTAGTTGAAAGGACGACCGGGGAGAGCTATGCCTCGTCTTTAGGTTGGGATGGGACGAAAAAGTTTTGCTTTTTTTATGATTTAGCATGAATAAAAAGTTTGTGGCCGCAATATAACCTCGAGAATTATGATACCGCCCCGTGATGTGCCTTGAACTTTGCCATTTCACTTTAAGCATGATAAAGTGAACTCCAGAGAATTTTAAGCCCAAGAATCCGAGCTTGTTGTGTTTCAATGGCTGAAAACCAGTATCCTTTATAGCCTTAGCCGCCGATATCGAGTCGTGAACGTTCCATGATCGTCTGAACCAGAGAATTCTTCCACGGTGGAACATAATAAGAAAGTCAAAGGATTTCAAGAGATTTCAAACCAAGATCTTATAGAGGTGACTAAGGCTTGATAGTTGAAGGAATTTTAGTGAAAAAAAATTCGACTGGTGAGATGCAGCAATAGCAGACCGAGACGTGGCCGTCATTGCGTATATAACACTGAGTAAACCGAAGGATGGTTACTTTGATTGGTATGAGTTGGTGCGGTAACACCTGCCGAATACGCCTATGTAGCATTTAGATGTTGGATTATGATATACCATAAGTGAATGCTTTCGCCGGTTGATTGGAGCCCAATGAAACGAGTGTAGAACGAATTAATTAAGAACATATATGCTAGTCGGAAATGGGCTGCTCGCCAGCATTTTGAGCTACTTGAACCTGTTAAGAGTACGAGTGTTGATTAAAATGCAGTCGACATTTCCACGACCTCCCGGGGGTCCATTTGGTTGAAGCCTCGAAGCATCCATGGATACTCCTGGAAATATGTTTCCAATCAAAGCTTTAACCAAGTATGAAGGTCAATCAAGAGGGGGAGGTCGAGGAAGTTTTTTGTTGTAAGATTTGAGAAATTTTGACGGTACAAGATACTCCAATTGAGAGGACTGCCTTGACGCATGATAGGAAGAACCAGGAGGACATTAAAGTAAGAAGTCGTCAAATGACCAAAATCTTGATGTTAGGAAGCCCAGCCACAATGCCGATGCGGGTCTTCGGTCGAACAATTTTCCGATTCCACCGAGCATGTTCTCTTGCTTGTAATCTTACATATGCAAAGTATGGATATCCAGGTAACTTGAGTTAAGAGACTCTAGATGTTGTTGCTTTGATGAAAGGGCCTCCACTCACTAGGCTAAAGCGTGTACTGCTCCAGAAGCTGTATAATGAATCGGATGAATGCCAAATCAATTGGGCTCGAACCAGTCTTCTACCAACCGAAATATCACCTGATATACCTAGTATTTCAGAAATTGGGCTTCCAAATTTGATCACAAGCTAGTTATAGCTCTCTAGTTTTAAGATTCATATTCAAGTTTATGTACAGAAAGACGGACGTGTGAAAAATGGACTTCTCAGCTCACGTTGTAAAGATGTTACCATCTGCAGGAAGGCAATGACCATTTCCATGTTCAGCCGCCACTATACAGTCCAATACGACAAGCTTCGAAATTCGTGCATTGTTTTTCTACAGACTAGATATGTCACACAATGACGATTGGGCGTTTATACACGTGCTCGAAAGAGTTGTGTATAACTTGAGGTTGATTTTATTACGAGATTGGTTGGATGTCTGTGTTTCAAAGTGCAACTATAATCGTGTATCACAACAGAATCTCAGAAATATCTTATTATAAATCATGGATCCTCAATGTGTTGAGGAATAATTCCGAATTGAATTATGATCAGGTCTTACATTAAAGAAAAACTATCATAGGATTATCAATTCATCTTCATCCAAGCATCTACTTCTTCAGGTTGGACGAGGTGGTTTCTCGGGTGCATAATAGCCTTGTTCAGTTGCACCGCTTGCCTGCTGCGGTGGAAAGTTGGACGGATTTTGAGAGTAAGCCGGAGGATTTTGAGTATGATCCTGTTGAGGTGGTGGTCCTGGAGGAGGCGGGGGATAGTAAGAATCATTACCCTGAGTATATCCTGGGTACTGCTGTTGTTGATATCCGTGCAATTGTTGCTGCATAGCATAACCTTCGGCCGTGTTCGGGTTTCCGAACTTTTTCTTCTCGTCCTCACTAGCCTCTCCTGAATTTATAATCTCGACATCCGCCGGTGCTGGCTTATCGTAAACTTGCTGTAAGACCGCTTGATTTAAGTTTGGTCTTCCTTCTGCATCCTTTACAACCTCCATCAATAACTCAGCGGTTGGTGGAAGGGATGGAACATTTCCTTGTAGAATCTGTGCTACCGGCAACTTTTCCCCATAGTATCTTGCATTTTCATCGTTGCGCTCGATGATTATGGTTCCATCAACCTGTGCTCCCGCATATAGACCTCTGCTCTTCATGTAGGAGAACAACGGCTTCCTACTTTTCAATAGCTCACTTTCTAAAATGGCACCACTTCCAACAGGGCCAGCCACGACGGATATTTCGCCACCGAGAGAGACACGCAATTTACTGAATGCTTCGAGAGCCTTGCGGTCATTGATAACAATGACACAGTCATAGATATCAATTCCGGCCATAAAACCTACACCTAGAGTGTGAACGAGAATTCCGGATGGTGGTGACCATTGGCCATTCTCATTCTTGGCAATCAAAACGCCTGATCCACCCGCACCGGATACCCACAATCCAGAGCGCATGGTGGTGTAAATCGCGAGACCGACACAGTTCTTGATGACCTTTTGAGGGATCTTGACAAGGACTTTCGGTGGCTTGCTGGGGCCGTCTTGGACCTTCTTCTTAGTCTCTGAGTCTTGTGATGCATCTTTCTGTTGCTCCGCCATGAATCCATCCTCTGTCAAATTGTTAGTGGACAGTTTGCTGTCAACCTTGTGTCAAGCAAACTTACTACAGAATGATTTGAGGATTCGAGCAGCCTTCTCGCATTCTTTTTCCATGCCTGTTGGCCAGAAAGCCTCAGATCCAATCTTATTCGTGAGCTTGTTAACTGGTCCTCCCAATTTCTCAAACGCAGCCCATCCTTTATCAAAAGCCGCTTTGCCGCCAAGCTTGGTCTTGGACCAAGCTGATGGTTTGGCTGTATTATTCGATGGTTCAGCCATGATTTGATTTCGGTATTTGCTTATTTCTTTGTTATTGTGGCTGGAAAATTGTGTTGCTATGGTTATTAAAGTATTTCGTAAGAAGGATGTTGGGTGGTGAGGGTTGGAGGGCGGTATAAGGTGGGGCTATGTGAGGGGGTAAAATCGAAGTGCGATTGCGACTATGACTGCACAAGACTGATCAAGACGGCGGGCACAAGTGAATGTTCATATATATATATTCTCTGGTGAGAAGCTTGGAATACCTAGCTGGTGAGTGGTGGCTCGTGATGTACAAGTGGAATTCATGATCCATGGATAAGGTTGTATAAATATAAATTGTGGCTTTGCAAATGGATTGCATCATTGGTGACGACCTTGAGAGGCACAGCCATTATTGCAGCGACGGCTATGCTACCATCGCTCTTTGTTATATATACCTATCTTACGAACACACCTATCACTGCACAGGAAGCTGAGAGAGGTAACATTAAAATCCTGTTTTGAACTCGAGGAAGGCTTCGTACGCAAGGAGTAAATGGAGTTTCTCTATCAGCGTGAAAAAACAAGTTTAAATCGAGTTCATTTGCAATGTGTCCCATGCTCACTTCAGAACATACCCAGGTACCGTCTCCGTTGTCCAATGTATTCATTTACAAAATTCACACAAAGCTAGCAAGGAATAATAATTTATACGATCTTATGCGATTTATAGAGAACGAATCAGATCTTTCAAATTATATACCCTAGTACTTCGTGAAGTTTCTATTACTTCGTACTTCTTACCATGGACATGAACTATTCTGACTGTCTGTCAGGAAAGTGATTCCTGCGTTATGTGGAATGAATTCGGTGGGCGGTGAAGCTTGTGGTGTCATGTAAGCATACTCTGCTATCTGCCGAGCTTCACTATCATCATTCCTTCAGTTCAGTGAATACAACCTTTAACAATCTGAAGAAAGCTCTTCAAACTCTTACTCTTACTTTGCCATTAGAGGATCCTTCAATTGAGCAGTGAAGACTGTTGCAAAAGGAGTTTGTGCGTGTGAAATTCTTCGAATGGGATGAGAAATTTCGTCGTCCTTTCAATTCCTACTCAACAGTCCAGATTCAACAGAATTTAAGCGTTACCAAAGTCTGGTTCTTGTAAACACCAGAACCCCTTGATGTGATATACGCCATCAATTGCGAGTTCGATACCACGTATCCTCTACATGCGACAAGATAAAACGAGAAACCCTTCCCCTTGCGATGCGCTCGAACACCGCTGACGATATCATTCAATATGCACTGCAATTCCACAAATGCTGATTAGAAGTGAAGGCTCCTTGTTATTTTAGCTGGACCATTTGATCATCACTTAGAGTGTTTAGGCAAATGCTCCAAATCTCATACTTATCTGTTCGTCTGCATGATCCGAGAAACGATGGCCACTTCGAACGATCGGGGAGAATAGCTCTAGATGTGCAAAGTGTAAGAGCTTCTCGAGCTATAAGCCGGATCTCCTCGAAATCTGGCAGAAGATATGCTGAAAGTCTCACACTGGCTTGTTGGAAACATCACCTGAATGTATTGTTTGATCTCAACACGAGTGTGCATGCATACCGTGTAATACAGTCCGCAAGTCTACGGTCCGAGAAGAAAGACATCAAAGGTTTGCAATTTCTAAGCAGACATATCAGATTTCTGGAATCCTCTTGGTCAGTGCTATTGAGGTGTGGCATACATGTTGAAATGGCAGCCATTCTTGGGATTTCCATTCGTGCGCATACACTACCATCTCCTTGTATCCAAGTCGCACGCGAGGTGGCCCGATACTGCCTTCGCTCCTCAGATCTATGTAATTCGATGTGAGATTACATGTTTCATATTTTGCGATGACCTTTGTCGTCTTATTCATCTGTTTGACGGCAGCACATTTAACCCACTCAATATGTATGTCTCGCCTTGAAGCAGATTTCGGTCCATTGCCGTGTAAAAACAATGTCGTGTGGAGTTCACAAGCACAGCATCATTTGCTCTATTATGGGCTTCACATGACACTTTTTTCAATGCTTATCATATTGGTTTTAGCACCTCAATCAGGCTGATACTTCTACACACCATCTCACAAACCCGCTCCTCTATAATTTTGTCCTCCCTAGCCCGTTATCTATATTTTTCTATTGTTTTTGAATGTTTACCGGGTCCTTTCTGCATGAAAAATCACGAGTGTGCGATTTTTTGGACCCTTGCGTAAAGATAAGCACCATCACATGCCATTCACAGCAGACTTTCATGGCTTATCGACAACACACCACATTATTCTTATTTGCTGTCGGTCGATAAGAAATTTGGTGTGACATTAGGAGATGGATTTGCTAGAAGAAAAGAAGACAATTCCCTCGGAAAAGGTTTGTTATAAATCTACATTCGATCAAACATCTCTTATCTCCATAGTCATATCACATCAGTAAACTCTCCCATTTTTTACTGCCTTGTCGCCACTACGGATCTCTTCTTTCCATTCCAAGACCACGATTTCATCATGCTTCACTTGCCATATCCATTTCCGGTCACTACTCGAACAATGGAGTATAAACCACTTCCAGAAAACTCTACCACAGAGAAGTCCGAGCCCTCCAATGCCGTGGTAAGTTTTCCCTCACTCAACCAATGCCTACCACTCGCTGATCACTTCACACACAGCAACCACTCGATATGATCGATATCGAGAAGAATGCCGCAATTTCGTCGTCTGGATATGGCACAATCCCATTATATACAAGCAAAGAAGGCGTGTTGAAAGCTCCACAGAAACAAGATGGTCGAGGCATTTGGATCAGTTTTGTGCAGAGTCTGGTGGCTGTTGGCATGTTTACTGCTATGGCGGTGACTCTTGTTCTAGTGATTTTGTAGATGGGTTATACTCTTTGCTTATGTCTCTTTCGGGTGACGGATTTAGAATGGCGATACGATTCAGCATTGCTGGCGTGTTTAGGAGCAAGGTCACATCAGGATTCCGGGCCGGAGCTTGAATTTTCCTCGCATTGTTTGCAGTGTGATCTGGCATGCGTTATGAATAATGACTTTAGATACCTTTTGAGATTCGGAATACATTGTTTTATACCCTTTGCATGATTCTTTGTCTGCTCGTTGCCGTATTCTTGACTAACAATCTAAATCTAAGATAAATAATGGCATTGGAGTCTTACTTACGCCAATGCGTTTTAAAAAATCACATCAGCCACCTATTCACCACTGTCTCACTATTCGACAAGCCTTTATCTTTCACCTATCTCTGATACAGTGTCTGTACTTCTTCGTAATTTAGTTCTCTAAACTGATTTTCGTATGATATATTCCACATCTATCACAAATTTACTATTTCCTATCTCCCCACAAATTTGAGATTCTTGGTATACCTCTGCCACGGATTTTGTATCTGGTTCTCCAAGAATGCCTTTCCGTTCCCGTGGTACTCCAGGATAGATCTTCTCCTGTTATTGGCGATAGACTCGCATATCTCAATTTGTTCATGGCATTGACTGAACTTGATGGATTTAAGGGCTTTTTAATAGGTACAATAAGTCAGTTGTTTCGAGTGTGTAATAGTCTATGGCCAACTAGAGGGGTTTTGGGCCTTGAAAACTATTCGTTCATCTCTTTCCTTCTCATCATCGTATTCTTCTCGCTTTTGTCTTTTGTCTTTTCTCCCTTTCATTGCTCTCTGCTTCCCTTTACACCTTGTGATGTAATCTACATACACGGAAAGTCAACTTTTCATTTCCGCACATCAAATGCTTGAGATCTTTACCTTCCTCTCTATAATTCTACTTCCTCATACCACAAGGTATTCAACGAATCCAAAATTATCGAGAGCAGCTTCAAAGGAGATTTAATCACCCGGCTACCGAGTCCTCACTGCCGGTGCGTTCAGGTACATATTTGTTTAGCGACACAGCTTTCCATCATCCCTGGATTTGGGATCTTACATCATACAAAGATCAACGCTGGAACAACTTTACGTTTTCCGATTTTGTTGCGCTCCACTCTTCTACATAAGGCCCTACGTACAAATTGCAATAGGAAAGACAAGACAGGATAAGATGAGAAAAAGTCCAGCTGCACGGCGTTTGGTACATCATACCACCCTTGCCTGCTGACACTTGATGGGGCCTCACGAAATTCCCAATTGAGGAGACGCGCTTACAGGGTCCCTGGACCATAATCCAATCTCACGATTTGATTTGCTCCCACTTTCTCCACGTAAGAAGCTTATTTGCTACTCTAAAGTTCGCATCGTACAAACCCTCATTTTTGATGCAGTCTCCTCTCAATACGGTTCCCAAAAGGTTTGAAGCGCTTTCTAGTCGCTGTCGAGTATTGCAAATGAGGTTTGATGTCGAACATTCAACCCCACATGTCAAGCTGCATTTGTGGATCCTTCTCGATTAGGCAACACTATACTCGAACAGGAGCTTTTCCACAAATTGATGATATGATAAGATTGCACAAAGACTCTCTAGATGATGGATGGAAGTTTTATACGTTTCTTCCAAGTGGCTTGGCGCCTGTCAGCTGTGGCGGCACAGTCATGTCAGCATAATGTAATCTTAATTTGATCCATCCCCGCTATTCTCATGAATCGGCTGAAGATATATTCTCTTTCACCTCATGTATTTTATGTCCTCAAGAAACTGTTTGTCCTTTGAAATTCCTAATCTAGCCATCACCATGTCTCTCCATTCGCACTCCTCATTCACTCTCTTCCCTAACCTCCCCCTCGAACTCCAACACCAGATCTGGTTCTACACTCTCCCCGGTCCGCGCCTACTCCGCATAGACTACTCACCGATTCTTCCCAACGGCCAATATGTCACCACCAAGTCTCTCGATCTCTATACCACTTTCCCTAGATCCTACGGTCGCCAATTACCCATGATACTGCGTATCAACAAAGCGTCTCGTGAATACGCCCTCACGCAACTTGTCGAACGGTTCAACTGTTATTGGAATCTAAAAATAGATATTCCCTATATTCACGCGCGAGAGTATCGAAAATCCGAAGCCCGATTTACGATGCAGTATCTAGCGGAAAATGGAGGTCTGGAAGGATTTAGAAATTTGGCGCTTGATGTGGACTTACTCAATGGAGGAGATAGTTCTGATATGTAGGTTCTCTATCTTCTGATTTTTTTTTTTTGGAAATTTCTCATAAATTAATGTAGCATAGCCGCTGTCCAGAGATGTCCCAACCTCTCGAATCTCTTCTTGGCCTATCCGTCAATAGGTATCTGGGATAATCCAGAAGGACCGGATGATTTGGAGCCTTGGTATATAGGACCACCGTCAGTAGGTGAAGTTAAAACAGTTTGGGGGAAAACCGCTATGACTAAACTTTCTGGAGATGTTATGGGATATGTGAAAGATAGCGATCGAGTGAAGCTGGAGAATCTGGAAGGGAGAGTGGAGAAATTGAATATTATCATGATGGTTTGGTCGTCGATGTGCACCGCGTGAGATGGGATTATGAGAGATCGGATGAAGTTTGATATTGGATCACTTGGATCGCATTACCCCAAAGAGTGGCGGTTAACCTTGATAGAGTCTGATTTGAGCACAAAAGTGACAAAATTTCTTGTGGCCAGACATAATAATTTCACGGAAGGAAATCTTGTAGAAGAGCTCAGTCTCTAATGGAAATTTCCGTTGAGAATTCGAATTCCAACTTAACTTGAATGTAAACCAAGCTCTGTTTACGTACCACTTCTCTTCATCCCGAGCTCATCAACGGCGAGTGTATTAGGAGTGTTATATTGCAATCATCAGTACGGATTTCACGTGTGATGGCGGACCAAGGATTCCAAGTCAGATTATCACATTCATTATGTATTGATAAAGCGATACTTATTACAAGTATTCTCCATGGATGTATGCGGGTCGAACTACGGTTTCTGAATACGACAGTGGAATTGAATGAACGGAGCAGCGTATACAAGTATACTTACGGTTATCTAACGTAGCATTAGTACAAAACTCACGACTCTTCAAAAGCTTTCATAATGCCGTCTTCTCCAGAATCGTGTTCTAGTTCACAAAGCAAGCCCGTCAACACATCCATAATATAACCATCACGAAAAAAGCAACAATCCCTAATCGAGATGGACCTCTTCCCTCCCTCCTACCTGGCAGATATTTTGCCTGCAGCAATTCAGGATCATGAATCGCAGAGTCATGAGCGAGATTTCGAGCTGGCTTCAACACCCATCGCAATTAACGCAGAGGCACTTACGAACCCTGTTAATGCACGACTAGATTTCAATGCACTTAAAGATCTCGACATAGAAATCAGCTTCCACACACAGCCCGAAATGATAGGAAAAATAGAGGTTATTAGGAAAACCAAGCAGGCTCCGGCGAAAAAGACCTGGGAGCAACTCCATGCCCTCGTTTTCGATGTCGCTAATGCATCTCTACGTATTACCGATCGTTCCGCAGTAGAAAGTAGAGGCCCCACCCCCTTAACTTCCTTCTTCAATAACTCGCGAGTGGCTAATCGATTCAGATAATTACACACGCATTTCCCTCCCTCGCGCGCGTCCCTACATGAAAGATTATATCTACTACCGTATGACGCGTGCCAAAAGTGATCCGCTCAATTTCCAATACATGGCATATGCATTGATAGACCGTCTTGGTGTTAGAAAGGAGAGATTGAGAGGAGAGATTAGGGAGGCGTGGGTGTTGAATGATCCCAAAGGAAGACGATTCGAGACGGTTAGTAAATGGAAATATTGGGCTACAACAACACAGGTGGAGATGCGTGTTCGTAAGGGACAGACTCAGTTTCCTGGATATAAACGTTTGTTTCATTGAGTCGGATCTTTCGATCTGGATCTAAGCGAATGCAATAATTGGTTACAAAATAATTTAATTATTAGTTGTGTTGAGTTTAAATGGTGCGAGGACTAAAATTTAAGGTTTTGGAAGCTAGTTATGAAATTGGGTGTACTGCAGTCGTTTGACTTTTTTCGAAGAAAAAAAAAAGTTAACATGGAAATGATATGAGCTCGGTGAAATATGCGAAATAATTTACGAAGAGCTGAAAACAAAATCGAGCAATGAAAGCAGTGGGCTAGATTGCATTTGCATGAAGACTTGTGATATTTCACCGTGGACCGGAAGAGCGATATTCCACCCACCTGGAAGCATTCTTCTCCCATGACCTCTACTATTCTTAACTGTACATAGACTTCCGCAGGGCCAAAAGCAATACAATTACAAAGATACTGCGCCTATATAAACACAAATCCATGGTATCCTGCTAAAACGCCAAATATTCCCTCTCTTCTACTCAACCCTGCCTATGATATACATCGGTGAATAAAAGTACAACCAATAGAAACTTCAATCCGCATGCAAGATTCTCCCATCTCTAATCGCCTTTTTCAGTCTAAGTTCATCAAAAGATTCCCCGGAGGCACTGGAAAACTCATGAGCCTCACAAAGATGAGTCTTAAAATCTTCTTCCCTTGTAAAGATCGTCTCTTCGTTACAGCATCGAGGACAGTGAAATCTGTGACCCGTAGCCACAACGTCCCATTTTTCAGTTCTCGACCTCTCTTGTCGATTCCTCACTAGCATTTTGGCTACTTGCTCCATTCTTCTTCGAACCTCTGATTGATTGAGGTAGACATGAGTTTGTTCTCGTATCCTTTTGAGAGTCATGTTTTCATTGCCATGAACACGCCATTCTCCAAGATCTATGTCACCTAGTCCCCCATCAACGTTGAAGCGCTCATAGGTACATCGATCCGCGGTCAGTGCCTTTACATATTCATGGGTGTGCTCGGAGTCGGTTGTTGTAGTTGCGGTATATTTGATCATTTGCCTGTAGTGGCTTATGAGCCCACTGTTCTGTCTGGCTATTGGCTGGACTTTTGTGGGTCGACCAGTACCAATGCTAAGTGTGATGGCGACAGTGCCTTTGCCATGTACTTGTTCGACCTCTGCAAATGTTCTCGAGGTGGGGTTGTTATGACCATATCCTCCATCTACGAAGCGTTCATTAAGTAGTTGAAATGGTTTGAAATATGTCGGCGCTGCAGTAGTTGCTCGGGCGACTTGCCATATAGGTATATGAAGCGGTGGGCCGGGATTGAGCTCTTCAGAATAGTTCAATTCTGATTTGACATGTTCGTATGTTCGAAAAAGGTAAGGGGCGTTGGCGGAGTTGTTTTCTCGGACCGCTAAAACGATTCTGTAATACATTAGCAAGGTGAACGCGGATTAGCATCTTAGAGACGTACGTCCAACACCGGTCTTTATTTGAAGGATACATAGAGTCTGCAATTTGATCTTCTTTCCAGTCTCTTCTTTTCACAACATCTTTTATAGATTGCTCAAGTTTGCGATGATCATACTTTTCCCGATTCCACGGTATTGGACCACGCATCGAAAGCTTCCGTGGTTGACCAAATATATTCTCTCCTAAATTCTCGTATTCTTGGATACAGTCATCACTGTTCATTCATAGTCGACTGAGCATAATAGCACTCAATCCACCAGTACTTGTGCCTGCTGTGAAGATGTCAGTTGACCATTGCTGATAAATATAGTAAGAGCATCTCATACCAATATAGTCAAAATAATGTACCGGTAAGAACTGTGCACTTCTGGACTTTCTGCTGTTGGTAATCGATCCTTGACCTTGTTGGAATGGCAGTGGATGAAAATTTGACCTGACCAGCTCGTCTTGACTCTGCTCAAAAGAATTACAAAGTACCATAAGATGTTGGATGACAAGTAGACTAGATAGACCACGCACACCTCCGCCGTCTACAAACCTGATTAGCTTTATCTGCAGGCTTCAAACCAAAAACTCATAACATATACCTAGCGTAAGAATATATTTCTTATTCCAGGGATTATGCGTTGACCCATTGAGACCTGTACTGCTACTTGGACTGTGATTCATGGATCGGCTGGCTTGATTCGTAGGAGACACATCCGGAAAGAAGAGTGTTGAAGCCATCGAATGACTGGAGCTATGCGAGTTTCCATCGCTGATTGACAATCGTCGAAGTCTTGGAACATCTGGATCCCACGGTGTCAATGAGTTGGGTTCTTTTTTTTTCTCACGAAAAATGATCAAGAGAATGAATGGACCAGTCTTGGGAGACCTACTACTTTTTTCTTTGAGAACCCCTTGAGAATTTCTCAAATTAATAGGTTGGAGCCTGAGAACGAATTGTATAGAGTGAAATGAGGCTCTGTGTCAATCATAAATTACCCCCAAAACGAAGCACAATCTAGTGGCTGAGTAAATCATGCCTTAGAATTCGACAATTTACTGTGCAAAGGCTGTCATCATTTGTGGCAAATCTTCTCAAGCTGCGACCGCTGTAACTCAAAGTAGCAATTTAGACATTGAGGCACGGATTGTGGTTTCCTATATTGCGACCGCAAAAACGGGCACACAAGAAGATATTGTGGTGGGATAAACGTTGATATACCCGCCAGCCTTGTTAATAGATCGCGCCTTGAATCTAGTTGAAGAGGGATATCTTATGCGTATTTCACATTGAATCCTGTAGCTAATTTTCACCAATCATCGAATCTTGACAATGAACTTCTAGGAATGGCGTGTGCAAGAGAATAGGATATGACACGGGGATTATGAAAGTCAACCTTGACGTGAGATTGATGAAACCAGTACGAAGAGGGGCTGCATTATTGATAATCTTCGTAGGACTATTGGCTGAAATCGTAATGTAGGCTAGCGTTAAATGGCCTGCATACGATAACACAAACGGGTAAGTTACGAGTAAGTTACGAGGCAAACTGCTGACTTCTCGAAGCCATCGGCCTTCCAAGGCAGATTGCCATAATAGATGAATGGCTCGGATCAATGTGCATTATGATGATAGTAGGATCCCGAGAAATCCTGATGCAAAGCTGACACTAGGAATGGGCGCCTTGCAATCGTGTGTATGTGATCATATGTAAATTTGTAGTCTGCCTTGCAGAGCCTCTACCAGGCTTTTGGCAAGATCATCGTATATTGTGGTGAAGGTGTCCCCTTTCTTCCACGGTCAAAATTAGCAATCAATATTGATCGAATATACAGTTTAAATGGCACACCGAAATCCACCGCAAATCAATCTTTGATCATGCCGAGAAGCTCGGAAGTCATCGAGACGACTATTGCAACACACGATTCCATCGACAGAAAGTCGAAACGAACCAATAGCTGGGAGACGAAAAATGCGATTGTCTATGATGTATCCTCACAAAAGTTATTGACGACAAAGCGCGAAGCAATCGAAGGTATGACTTCGGCGTCGAGTCAACATAAGAAGTAGTACTGATTGAATATAGCGGATCACACTCGTATCAAGATTCCAAAGCGTCCTCCAAGTCCTCTGCAGAAGGACAACGTTCGGATATCGATGCCATTGAACTCAGCAGCAGGATCGGATGTCCTCGCAGAAGTCAAGTTGAGCAGTCTTGGATTAAAAGTCGCATTTGAGCGGTATCGAGGAAATATTGCCGAAATTTGGGTAAAAGGTATCCCACAATATGTGCTTTGAAGAGGTGGAGAATATACAAAGAGCGAAAGATTACTCCAAATATAGATACAGGGTATCTATGCATATGTTGGAGGTCCTGTGTATTACTTTTTCTGGCGTTATAGGACTGAAGTGGAGATTTGGATATCAAAGTTGGGCACTAGACACTTTGGCTATTTGGCAATAATTACACTTGTTGAAACGCAAGATAGGCGCAGAGTGCTATGTCTGAAAAATCAGGCGCACACTCCAGCACGTCTTAAGAAACTCAATACTCACAAGTTCTAGAATGCGCGCCATCATAACATAAATCTTCATAAATATCCTAGTGCTCCCCAAATCGAGTCGCAGCCAGGGCGTTCACTCGGACTGCAAAGCCAGATTAGAATTCTCGTATTGGGTATGTAATAGTAGCTTTATAAGTTGATCATGGTCCCGTTATCCCAGTTTGTCCAGTAATCGTCTTCGTCGCCTATCAACAAGCTCTTCCTGGACTTCTTCGCTCGTCGGTAGTCTCCATCCTGAGCCATCGCCTGCGTCTCCGGGTAACGGCTCCCAACCATCGGGTGCTTTCTTATCTTTGCCTTCCAATAAGTTCTCGTAAGCCTCTTTCTCTTTTTGTATTTCATAATCTAACAAAGTGCCGTCTTCTTCGTCAAGGTTGTAACCATAATATGAAGCATCGACTTGTTTTCGCAGGTCTACTCTCGACTCTAAAGGTTGATCTTCGCGGGTTTTTATTGTTGCAGCTTCGAACATTTCTTTCACTCCCGGTAACTCTTTAGCGCGTCCAAAATACCTAGCAGAGAATCATCCATCAGCACAATTCGCGTATACTTCATTACCACATGGGCACGCATACCTGTAACCCTTCCCACCACCTGGTATCTCCCGCCCTTCATCATCATAGACTTTCCCTCCACCTCGCATATAATTCGGACCCCCCAAATTTTTGATCTGCACCTCCCACATATATTTTTCTCTCATTGCCTTATTGATTTCATCGTTCAAATCTCGTATCATGAAGTCACTCAAACTTGGATCCTGGATCTTGCTAACTTTGCGTGAGATCTCCTTCAAAACTTGGCCCCTCCATTTTTCGCACGACGGTATAGATGAGACTTCCGTTATCATCTTTGGGCGCCGCGTCCTTCCAGCATCGACAATACCCAATTCTGCTTGTTGCGCTTCCCTGAAGCGGAACAGCATCGATTGTGATTTCTCAGCATTACGAGCCTAGAAATGTTAGCAGCCATCATATGACAATTTAAGATACCAACTATACCATGATTTCGAGAAGCTCCCGTGAATTATATGGTTTTAATGGAAGTAATGAGGTTTCGATGTGATTCAATAAATGCGTCGAGTATATTTACACTCTCATGAACGATCAATTTGAGCTTGGACCCACGAGGCTGCCGAAAATAAAGCTACAAGGTTGAGCAGTAAGCCACTGTTTAGCGTGTTTTTAGCTTAGCGACACGCGCTGTAAGTATTTCAGCGCGCCTGGAATATCAATTTCCATCCCAACAACAATCTGCAATGACGAGAACAATCATTGAGCTTACACTACTTAACCATCTGAGAAATCAGAAGGTTCAGAATGTGTGAATGAATGAACAGAAATCTTAGCAGGCTTCCAAATCTATCATCTCGAATACCTTTGATTTCTTGTTAGGCGGTCGCAGGTCTTTGATTCTATAATTTGGATCGAGCCACAATGACGACAATCAGCTCCTCTTGAGATATTCGCTATGTCCTATCACTCTGAATAGCCATTGGTCAAATTTCTGAGAGATCGGGAATGAAAACCATAGGCATTGATTGTGGTTCTACATTTGCAAAAGAATCATCGCTGAAAGCAGAAAATAGTTTTCAATCGGAGTAGCTTGGTAAGAACAATCCCGTCTCACCCCCCTTCCGTTCATCAGATCTTTCTACGCTGGCGTTCGGAATCTTTAGTTCTTGACCTCTATAGCTGAAACCATTGCTAACCAAATCTAGTTTCATATCTCCAATCATTCTTGTGACTATTCTTTACAAACTTCGATAGTGTCGATGTGAAAGTCTATGGAAGTTTATTTCTTTGCCCGGTGATGACCAAACGTGTCCAAAAAGCCAAATTTGCAGGCCAACCTACTATCTCATACTTGCCTTGGGGCTAAATAAGATGGAAAGTGTTCGCAATGAGAACTTGAGAGCTTATCTGAGGGCACCTTCAATCTTTCCTTTTTTCATGGCATACTTCCAGCCCTCTCCGTATCCATCCTTCTTTTTTGCAGTATATTATTTTTCTACATCTCTCATTTCATTGTAAAAAAAAATCCTCGTTACACTTTAGCGGGGCTTCTGCTGGGAATTGGATTGTGGGTTTCTTTACTGGTGCTGCTACAAGATATCAGCCTCGCCGTTTAAAAAAAATGAGAACAAAGAATTATTGAGTCACCTGCAAGCATTCACAACTCAACGATTTCGGTGATTCTATCTTCTCATACCTCAAACACTTTGCCCTGGGAGTACATCATTTTTGCTACATCTACCCACTATATTTTGACCATTGATATCGACTCGACAAACATATTCCAATTTGTAGCATTTTCCTGCCATGTTTTCGAGGCTCTCTATCAATTCGCATGATTCTAGTGACCAACCTTCGCCTTTGACGTCTTCCTCTTCGTCCTCTTCCCTGTCCGAAGGCGCGCATCTCTCGATAAACACCGCAGTGCAACAATCTGATGCCCCTGACTATGCGATTCTGTGCGTTAATGGGTTATCTTCCGCTGGATTGTTTGAGGATGCGGCGGTCATTGCCCAAGGATATTTGCATGAAAAACCAAATCATGCACTGTTTTTGAAGCACTTGGCCAAAGGATTGTTTGAAACAGAACATTATAGTGAAGCTAGCCAGATATACCAGCGTCTGGAGGGAATGCCGGGTTTGGCTGATGACACAGAAAAGAAACTCTGGACCATCGAAGCGCTTCTCAACGACCATCGACCTGGTGCAGCACTTGATGAATTTCTCAGAACTCCTTCATTAGAAGAATCTGCTAGAGGTCTGTGTTTCAAAAGCCGCGCGTTGCGGAAATTGAAGCAGCCCGCAGCAGCAAGAGCTGCCGCTGATCAGATGTTAGAAGTAGCTGGTGAAAATGCCGTTGCCGACTATTGGGTTGAGTATGGGTTGGTGTTGTATGATTTGCAGGATTTTGTAGGATCATTGAAATATTTGCGCCAGGGCGCAACAGAAGATGTGATCGAGTCTGCCCTGGAGCTATCAGGTCAAGTAAAGGAAGCGGAAGAGATGTCTCAGTCTCCGCAGACATTGAGTCCATGCCATCGTCGTAAAATAATCAATGGACCAGCTACCGATTGGGAAGAATTCAGGGGAAGAGCAAACTGGATGAAGACACTCCCTGACTTGCGTGCCCTAGTGCAGGTTTCATTTCATAACTCTCTGCCGGATCCAGAGGACTTGGCCAGTTGTTTGTGCATATTAGGTACCAGAAATCGAGAAGGTGGTAGTCATGAAGCAGCCTCCGCATGCTTTGAAATTGCACTCAAAATTAATCATACATCTGCATTTGTGTTGTCCATGTCAGCTACAAACCTTGCGGCCAACATCCTTCCCAATGAATCCGACGAAGCACGTTTTGCACGCCTTCAAAAGGCGGATGATGTCTGGGAACAACTATTGAAAATTGGGCCCTACCCTGACGGATCCTTCGAAATTCCGCACGCCGAGATCTATCGCCGTCGTGCAGAACTATGGAAAGGTATCAAAATATCGTTCTACGAAAAGTACCTGTTCAAATATGCGGAAATCATCAAATCCCCCGCAGAATTTATATCGGTAGCAAAAGTGTTGAGGTCCAACCAAAAAACAGACGGTATCAATACAATTGCATACAAAGAACGTGCTGAAAGAGTCGATCGGTTGTATTATGAAGCGCTACATTCTGCAGAATACTCACCCACTCATGCCCCTCAAAAGGCAGCCTTAGTATATGGGTGGCGTGTTGACAACCTAGCATATGGTGATATTGATCCCGAACGACAAGAGCGATTTCTCCGACAGAAGATGGAACTCGACGGTAATCCTGACCGCCTGTTGAACTTTATGGGTAAGGCAGGAGGTCGTGATCGCGAAATTTTACAACTGCTTGAGAGCGCTGAACAGAGGTTTGGTGGGAAGTACGTCGCGTTAGTCAAGGACCAAAGAAAATATCTCAAAACTATTGAAAAGATAAAAAAGACTTCTGCGAACAAAACACCAGATGATCCTCTTAAGCAAGATCCGGTTCAGAGGAGTATCAAACAAACACGCGTAGCAGCTGGTTGGCATGCTTGGAAGGCACAAAAATAATACACAAGGATTAAGGCGAATAATGAAGGATACTCTGGTAGTGATGAGTGGGACATTGACTAACTCCTCAAAATACATTTCTCGATACTGGCAAAGCTGCGCAATAAACTTTGTAGTGTTTTCAACTCTTATTAATTCCTCCTCCTCTTCCACACAGACATTAATTCATTCTACGTGGAAATTATTATTCTTAGCACATGAGGCGATTTTCAAGGAAGTAATCCCGTTATCTGTGGCTGGAAACTTTTCCAGCGGCCAACACCCGCAGATATTTCAATCTTATAACTCAATGACGTCTCCATCAAAGCTGTCAAATATATAGATTCTTTCCAGTGAGATCATTCAAGGTATTCCTAATGCGGTTAGTTTGTGAGATGCTCTTCTTGTTTTCATCACATTGAAGGCGACCAAGTTCTTGGAGAGAATGACATAGTATGTTTTGCTAGTATACTTTCGACTGGGGAGATCTTCACGAGTGATGGAACTATGCATGAGGAAAGAAGCACAATTATATCAATATTTCGAATCTGATGACGAAGATTTGGTCTTTGTCAGAAGAGTATTATAGTTCGGCAATTGACCCCATGCAGGACAATTTAAGTTGAGCCTATCTCAAGATTGAACTACCCAAAATTTACAGCCAATTAACATAAACGGATCATGTTTGCTAGTGTCCATATATTTCGCCATGGTGTCTACGAAATCCGTACTCCGTGAAGACACCAAAAAATCAAGAAAATCCATATACCACCATTTCTCAACGCTGACCTGCTTTCTATACAGATGCAGATCACTATTAAGGGATACCCCATGTAAATATGCGAATTAAGGTCTAAAATCGCAGGATGCGCCCTTAATAACGCGCATCTTTACCATATACTTTGCAGCCCAAAACTTTGACCTACTGATCCGATCGACTGGGCTGGGATTCATACCATCTAGAGCCCAAGCCTCCATGATTTCTCCCCTCAATCTTTCCTCCCGTACGTCGAGGAAATCGATAAAATAACTTGCTAAATAGTAGTGATCAACCGAATCGGTCTCTTTGTTGCGCTTGAGATTCTTCTTGAGGGTAGTCATGAAATCCGTCTTGAAGCCATGCTTAGCACCTCTCTTGAAGCCGCTCTTGAAGCCTTGTTTGAGACTACGCTTGAGTACGTTTGTCTTTGAATTTCCGAAGTAGATCACATCTTTGCTTTTGGAACGGAGAGGGGCGAGCGCAACGCGTGTATGGTTTGCTAAGGAATGTTAGATTTCTTACAATAACTAGAAAGGGAAGGACAGAGTAGGGTATAGTTACAAGTCAAAGCAGAACGATCAACGATGTACACACTGAGTTCTGGTACATCAAACACGATGGCATTGTTTTGCTCCCAGATGCTCAGCTGTCGCGTAGTTGATTTCGGAGCTGCTTTCCAATCTTCGGATCCCCATCTTTCGGAATTCCAAACATGATGATCGACCTGATACGACGGAGGGGGATCATGATAAATCAACATTTTTTATTCCTGGAACTGTCGCTTTATTCTTGATGAGAGCGCTGGGTATATTTATCGACTTGATCTGATGGTCGAGTGTGTATTTTATCAGAGGGCGAACGGTCAAAGATGCAAGCTTATATGTCGTTGTAAGCTTGATAATCGTAATGTTTTGCAACTCGGCCGGATTGATCTTTAATACAGTTATTATATAGTACAACTCCTTCATTTATATCACCAGTCTTTGGGTGCAGGACTGGAAATTATTCACTCATCAACTACGCATTCACACACTAAGAGGACAGTAACGTTGAGATGATATTCGACCGTATGGGACGCAAGATAGCATATAAGCTGCCATCTTTCCCGCATGAGAAATCTAAAGCATCAGAAGAACAATTCGTCAAAAGAATTATCTACAGAACACAGAAAAAACCTCTCAAAACTCGAAACATATATCAAAGTTTCACCAAAATGAACCAACAAAATCAGAACAACTTGAATGGACAATTTCTACCAGGTAGAAAACATCCCACCACCTGGGAACAGAACTATGCCATTATCTTTGACTTAACAAGTAAAAAATTATACAAGGCAGACCGCTCAGATATTGATAGTGAGTATCTCTCCCTACCTCCCTTTAACAAATCCACAGTTCACATCTTGCTCTTTGCTCCACCCCATCTGCTCCTATTAACATTAGGAACTAACACTCCTCCCTTATAGCATCAACCCACTTCCGCATTGCTCTTCCCCGTCTTCTCCTATTTGAAGAAGATACCATCAATGTGGGTAGGCTACACAACTCCGATAGCCAAGATGCAGAACTCGTGGCTAAAGTCAGCGTCAATTCTCTCGGATTAAGAGAACAAAGATTGAGAGGGAATATCATGGAATGTTGGGTTCTGGATAACGCGAAGGGAAATACGCAGGGCACATTGGTGGGGTGGAAATTTAGGGACGCTTTTGATTACTTTGGTAAGAAGTAAGTGGAAGTGGGAGTGGAAGAGTCGTGGGTGGGGCGGACTTGAGAAGTTCTGATTGCTAGAGAATGATAGCATTGATGCTGTCGGTAGGGCTTGGGGGAAGATCACAAGTGAGTGCGCGGACACATGAGACAGGCTACATAAAGCACATTTTATAAGAACGAAGACCTTGATCATTCAATTATGCTTCAAAGATCCAGTGAAATTAACAAAGAAAGGGCAAAGCTTTTGATCAACAAGTCCTGAAAAACTACACCTTTGAATGGAAGGATGAATCTTGAAAGCGAAGTTGCCTACAGGAATTTCCTCAAATGATCTCAACAAGCAGGAATGATACATTATCTCTTGATTTCAACAATAAATCTACCTGAATGAGTTTTTGAACATGATATATTATTGCGCTTGGTGAACTCTACGTCAGAATTTGATAGGTAACCAAGGCCATTTAGAATTTCTTTCCAAGTAGGCGGCCAACGTATCCTGGTAAAAAAATCATACCCCTTGAGTGCCGGATGAATTGATTTACCCATCATTGAACTACGGAGCTAGACACTTTGAATTTCTATATAAGTTAGAGAACTCCGTTGAAGATACAACTTACTTGTGTTTGGTTTGCCTGCTCTTCTTTTGTTTAGAAAAAACACACCAAGGTGCCTTTGATTTTATTAACTCCTTTATGGTGGCTTTAACAGGCTGACTGCCTTCTAGATCTACACAGAACACTTCGCGAAACATTTAACAGTCTTCTGATTGATCATGCACCCGCAGTTATGTTAGTGATATTTGATTCAACGTTGCGGACGCTTTGAGTCAGATTTTTGTGTATTTTCTCGTGGAGTTGGGGCTACGAAACGTCTTGAAATAATCCGGATCATTTCTTAATCTCCGACTCGAGAAAGGCAAAAAGCGCGGATGGAAAATTCTTGTTTGTTTTTCAAGCATTTAGACGTGAACCAAGTATGAAGTATGGAATCGGGACTGAGGAGTTGAAGAATTATGAGGTAGGACATGAAAAGATAATCTCTGGATCCTGGATTGGGTAGATATTTGATGGGTAGAATGATCTACAGAATGATCCCCTCATTTGCATTCGACACATGCATGAACATTAATAGCTCTGATATCTCAATGAAGAATAATTGAAAGGGGCTGCACGTTGAAGCATGCTTCATGTGATATACATGGTACCGAGGACTGTTCCGTTATCCGGTTGTTCTATCTTTGATATTTGATCGGCTAATATAGAAGACATGATTCAGGGGGGCAAATTCCGTGCTACTGCCTTTGATACCCGGTTGTTTGGTTTTCCGGTCATGGGAAGAGGAAGCGTAATCTCTCGCAGTGCGGACTCTCAAGGCAATTAATTTGCTGGCGCTGTCAACATTATCTGTTCTAACTCTTCTAGCAACGGATTACGAGAGCCCGCACACTTCAAAATGGTTCAATCTCAACCCGCTCGTAGTTACATTAGTGAAGTCATCTCTCAACATATCTTGTACTAAATACTTTAAAATTCACGTGATATTCATGTGATAGACAGGGGAAATTCTACTCCTTCCTATTCTAGATCCGGCTAATTCCAGACGGTTATCTGATAACATGACGGAAACCCAATTTGAAGATTCTCCGCCTATGTACTTCTCCTGTACCCTCTCTTGATCTTTAAATCAACGTAACCAAGTAACGTAGCCAAGTGCCATTACCCTTATTACAAGCTTTTCCAAGACGAATAGTACTATTCCAACGATCAATCACCGGTCGCACGACATCAATATCATATTCTATCAGGTTCCTCTCATTTCACCAGCCTTGAACTGTACATATTCTTGGCGTCTACACCTTGCCTCGGCTGGGGTCATCGCAATATCTTGTGCTGCCAAGCTGGAACCGCCAAGATGATCAAGAGTGAGATAGTGTGCAGAAATACAACGGTAAAATCATATCAAGAGAATATTATAGATGATCTTTTTTCGGCAGGAGATAAGCCTTTTCAGCCACGGCGTCGAATATATCGGCATTACAGATTTCATCAAACAATAACGCGAAGTCATAGCCAAGATGATTTCGCCATCACAAGATCCTTTCGAACTTTGAAACCAGACAAATTTCGATAGAAGTTCATTCTCGAAAAGGGAGGTTGTTATTCGATTTTAGTGAGATGAAGCCATCTTTGAAGATATTGTACAATCATATGCCCACTTCACTTGGCGCTTCTGCGTCTCTTCATATCTGCAAGTGTCACTGCATTTGATTGTTGGGATGAGCGCTTGGCTACACGCTTGGCAATCCTACGTAGACTATAGGTTATGTGCCAATCGCATGCCACATATTTACAGATCGATAAGAAAAGCTTCACAACTTCCCAATTCGACATGAGAATCAATGGGAGAGCATGACATACACTACCATGATGGCGTTTAGCCTGAGATTCATACCTATTTGATGTCGTTTGTGTCGGCTCGTGGTCTATCTTAGTCGATGGCGTTCTCGATGGTGTTATACTAGTACTGGCTTGCTTCATTCTTCAAGCACCTCCATACCAATATGATGGTCGAATAGCATTTCAAGAAACTCTTCATTCCATGATGATTATCAGTGGCCAAGTCAGGCCCTAGAGCAATATTTCATGTCATATCCTTAACAGCTTCCATAAATGTGATAGACCTGTGCCTGAAGGTGGTGATAACAATCATTTGTAGAAGGTGACGATGAGGTATGTAGCTAATGTTGTGATATTGAATTACAACGTACCCTGGCTATCCTGTTCATGACAATTTTATCTTGCTCGCAACTCGGAATCATCGTCGACAATGAGTATGGTAGGTTGCATATGCAAGTTGCATATGCAGAAGAGCCTCATCCATTTTGATTTAAATACTGCCTCTGTATCCCTCTGAAACTCTATCACCAGGAACATCTTCTTCATTAACTCTTCATCAAGAATAACCTTTTGACCGCAACTTTACCATGGCTGGCTATCTCACTGTTCTTACCGCTTTCGCGGCTGCCTTTGCTCCTGTCTTTGGTGCACCAGCAATCGGAGTTCCTCATCCAAAGATTAAGACTCCAACCACCGTCGCCAAGGATATCGTCGCCGATAGCTATATTGTCGTCTATAACAAGGATATCTCACCAGAGGTGACTGCTAGCCATGTTGACTTTGTTAACGCTATCGTCGCAAAACGTGACAACGCCGTATCAGTTGGTGCAAACTACAAGATTCACGACTTCGCTGGATATCAGATCACAGCTGATGCGGAAAGCATTGTTGAGATCGCTAACAAGCCAGAAGTATGTATTTTCACTACGAAGTATTTGACTATTACTGACAGTTGGACTAGGTTGCATACATCGAGAAAGATCAAAAGGTCTACGCTTCAGCATTGAAAACTCAAACTGGAGCTACTTGGGGGCTAGGTCGTATTTCTCACCGTGCACAAGATACTACCACTTACATCTATGATTCTACCGCCGGAAGTGGTGTGACCGTCTATGTTGTCGATACTGGTGTCTACGCTGCTCATTCTCAATTTGGTGGACGTGCCAGCATGGGAGCCAACTTTGTCTCCGGATCAGCTGTATGTTCAAGCCTATTGGCAATCAGTCATTGAATTTGCTAACCCAGAATAGAACACTGATGAGAATGGTCACGGAACTCACTGCGCTGGTACTATTGGTGGTAGCACATACGGTGTTGCTAAGTCGGCAAAGATCGTTGGTGTTAAGGTTCTTGATGCTTCTGGATCCGGAACCAACTCTGGTGTTATTTCTGGTATTCAATGGGTTGCTACCAACGGTGGTGCTAAGTCTGTTCTAAGCATGTCTCTTGGTGGTGGTCTATCTACTGCTTTGAACAGTGCCGTTACAAGCACAGTTGCTGCAGGTGTAACAGTTGTTGTAGCTGCCGGAAACGACAATGTAAGTTTGGGTCCTTTTCTATGTTGATTTCTGGGTTTAGAAAACAGAATTTACTAACTCTCTATCCAGGCAAACGCAGCTAACACCTCGCCCGCTTCCACCCCTAACGCTATCACAGTCGGTGCCATTGATGCAAACGACGCCCGAGCTTCCTTCTCCAACTACGGTGCCGTTCTTGATGTCTTTGCTCCCGGTGTCAATGTTCTTAGCTCCTGGATCGGTTCCACAACCGCTACCAACACCATTAGCGGAACTTCAATGGCCACTCCTCACGTTGCAGGTCTTGCAGCTTACTTAATTGCTCTTGAGGGCTTGGCAACACCAGCTGCTGTCGTGGCTAGAATCAAGGCATTGGCTACTGCCAATCTTATCACCGGCGCTGGATCTGGAAGCCCAAACCTCATTGCCTACAACGGTAACGGTGCATAAATGCATTGATTGGTCACAGAGTTTGAAAGGTAGATGGAAGGGACCAGGGGTCAATGTTATGCGAACGAAGTACTTACCATTGACTTGGCTATTTTGTCTCTTTAAAAAATGGTGGATAGGGAAGACCTCTTCAGTGATTGGAATGAGTTATTTGATTCTTGGGTGAAAAGCTTGCTGGGATGTGTTAAGTAGCTAGGAATTCGTTGAATTACAAATATTTTGGTGAAATAGTTATTCTCCTCATCTTAAAGTGATAATATTACGCTGTAAACTTTTTTCGGTAGACCTTCTTCGGCTATACACCATTGTTAGAGGATGATATGTCTTAATTATTACCCAAACCTGACAACACACCATCAACTTCATTTTCAGTTGTAAGTCTTAATAACATCCAAAATCCATAACTCCACCCTTTCTACACAACGAAACTCGAATTTACTCATACGAATCTTTAGATTGGAGGCATGAAGAAGTAAAACATAGAAACGAGTCTCTCCAAATCTTATCAATGTACAGGTCTGAGGGGATTGTAGGAAGTCTAGCTGACAAGGCCCAGTTCTTCCATCAGAGGAAAGTTCCATTTCCAACATCGTTTTGCTTTGACAAGCATTCTAAACCATGTCAAAATTCAAGTCCTTCGTAATATTCGATCCGACTTCAACATCGCGAGTGGCGAGATACAATCAAGTATTTCAGATCAATGTTAAACCCTTCACGTCATTTCTTGTTAATATTCGCACAGTGAGAGTAAGTATTGATGAACTGAGTTTGCAGGTTTCATTCAATATCTGCTAATATTCATACAATTAGTTTCAAAAGAGATTAGATACACCGAATTCGTTCTTTTATTGATCAAGACGAGGGTCTCATGGATCCTGCCAAATTGAGAAGGGTTTGATGACGCAACAGTTCTGCATAATTAAGAATTCAACGGCTCTATGAACAGAATTTATCAAAAGCAGAGGCGTTTTTCAAAAACTTCTGCATTATTTTGAATCAAACTGAGAATCAGATCAACTTGACAAAGTTTCTTTTTCAACCCACGGCAGCCAATCATGACTTGACTAAGATATACTACTCTACCCCCCAAGAACTTATAATGCATTAGTAGGACTTAGTGAAGAAGACTTCCCGTACGAATATACATACACGTATATTTTCTCAAACCGGCAATAAACTAGGGAAATGACTCCACCCAGAATGTACTAAAAGCGAAACCATGTCATGATCTCACAAATGATGTTGTGAGAAATGGAGATGTTGAAAATTAGGTTTTGTTGCACATCTAAGTGTCATGCACAATGATAAATCGTTCATAATGCGTTTATTAACCATGGCTTGGCTCAAAATGGTGAGTACTAAGTGTGTAAAACACACGTTGTTTGGAGGGATATGCCATGTGGCATACCGGGTTTTGAAAAAAAGTAGCATGTAGATCATGGGGATTTGTGCGAGTGACAAGATCGATTACGGCGAACGGGAGAGAACCATGGTATTGGAAAAATGGATTTTATCATAATGGCTTGGCTACCATTATGCCAGCCATACCCCTTAGGGCTCTAGAATCGATCTAACCATACGTTATATGCCTGTTTAGGCTAGCTCTTTCTTTTGGTTCGGCAAGAAGGAGAGAATTATGGTATCTCCAGACGAGGAAATGGCATGAGGTTTGTTTCTTCGGGCTATGCCGCGCTATATCATCAAGCCAGAACGAAGATAAATCTTAAGGAAATGCTTGTTTCTTTACGCCCAATTATTTTGAAAGTCAAGAAGTCCTCAATATTGCACTGGAAGCTGAATATAAAGGTCTTTAACGACCATTATGTGTATCTCTTGTGATATCTGTTTGCATTTTAGAATATTGAGCTGAACTTGTAGTTGGATGATCAATTTACAGGATGTTGGGTGTGAGTGGGGGTATCTTTGAGATGACGCAGGTAGTTTGGGTAGTTATAGTAAGGTAGAACTGGCGTGAAAGTAAAGTTCAATTGAATAATGGAAGGCTGGGGATTTTGCGGATGGTGGGGAAGATTTCAGGTAGGAGATGTAGAAAGAATAAGCATGTAGGGAGTAGGGTGTATCAATTGAGAACGTTCCCGAGAGATACAAGAGATACTCGAAAGAACGTACGATACGCTAGATCCTGCATACCAGAATATGCAAATGTGACGATTGTTTGTGCAAGCCGGATGTCGAATATACCCCAATCGAGCATAGATCAAGCGCATTGCGACATGACTTCGTAAATCCCAAGACAATAAGATAATGGAATCAAGGAAATAATCGGCCATGAGTGATGAAAATAGCAAATAATGACGCATCGCGACCTCTAGGCGTTGCTTTATCGCGTCAGTATCATAGTTTATCATCAACAATGAAGTGAAATCTGGTACCCTAGTGAGGTAATCAACATGCCGGACATGAGCTAAGTTCTCGAGTATGAGGACGTGATGGAGTTTTCTATGTAGGTGTGGATGGGGTGGAAAGTTATTGATGCTGAGAATGTACATCCTATCCTGTATTGATTCACTCGAGTCGCGCCTTCTATATTTATCCCCAATAATAAGAATCGGGGAAATAAACGAAAAGTTGATATTTTACCATAGAGAACGATACATCGGGTTCAATTAAACTGATTTTTGAACTTTGTAATTCCAACAATTGTGTGACATAGAGATAATTCAACGAGATCGCTGCTATTTTCATTGCAGGCTGTACCACTATCTTCGCCGTTACAAATTGCCAAGACGACACTACTCGGCAGTTTTAGCGACCGTTAAATTTAGGGGAAGTTTAATCCCATGTGGAGCAATAATACTCAAAGTCGACCAATAAGAGCAAACTGTGTACGAAATCACCTCTCGATATCGCAACCCAAGAATGTTTCAAATTGTTCTAGTCTGTATACATCACTTGCAAGAGTGATTGACTGTTATGATAATCAGTACGGTTGAGAGAGTGATGGAAACGCGCTAAATTCTAAGAACTACGGCCAGGTATCCAGATTCCTACTTTCCCACTCTCCCACCTTTCCGAATCTTTTACTTCTCTCTTTCTATTTCTCAAGCAACACTCCACTGTTGTCTACTTCAACGTCGAACAACGCATGCGCCCACACCAGAAAGAAAACACAGAATCCAAGCCGTTACCCATCATGCCCCACATCCTCATCCAGCTCAGATTATCGAATTTTATCCTCCCCTTTTAGTTGGAGCTCAGTTCATAGAAACTGAGCTACAAAGCTATCTGCTATATCGAAGACTCTGAGGTCTCAAATCTATAGCTATCTAGATATTCGAATCTACATTGAACATCATCTTATCTCCAATTTCGACACATTTTCTCTATCATATACAAATCACATCATACCTATCTCTCATCTTGAGTTGCATAACTAGTCAACTCAAATCGTCGAAGAGGTCTTACATAACAACGAATATACAATCGCCTACAGACCTTTGATCGACGCGAAAAACAATATATACCTAAATTTCTTCGAACTGTCTGCTCAAATATCACACTATATCTATCTAAAATAACAAATCAACTCGCACCTCCAACAACCCATTTATTCCTGATCATCAAAATGTCTGATAGAAGAATAACACAAGAGGAGGTTGACAAACGAACCCAAACCGCCAGCGAACGAACTTCGATGACGATTGCCATGCCATCATGTCCTGAGAACTTTCCTCAATTTTCGCAAAATGAAGCCAATGGAATGCAAACTGAGGAGAACGCCGTTTATGGCCATCTCGCTAAAACTCCCACTCAAGAGTTCGCGAACTTCAATAGACAAGTTAATGCCAGTGCTAGCGAGGTCTATAAATCGCCAAAGCAGTTGAGCGCAACTGGAAATGGAAATAGAAAAGAGATGGAAACCAAGTCGTCCATCGATGCTAATGGTAATGCACCCAAGGTCAAACCACTTACCAGAAAGAATGCTATCAAGGGAAAGAAACACCGCAGGTCTCCGTTCCAGAAGTATCAGCATTGCTCTACAAAGGACCTCGACAACGATAATATCCAAACGGACGATGAAAATGCATATGGATATAAATACGAACATGGAGATGGATATGAAAATGGAGATGAGAATGGAGATGACGATAAACCAAATCAATCTTTGTATAAGCGAATCTTGCAGTTCGGCTTCATCAAGAGAAGACAAAACAAGAAGCTTAAAGAATCAATGGTGCTGGAATTTCACAAGTCAACCATCTCGGTAAATATTCTCGGGGCCGGGTCCACCTCCAGGGATCCAGCAGTCATCTCCCATCTGAATGATATGAATAGCAACAATGCCAGGGAATCAGAGGAACTTAGTGCAGGTCCAGGAGAGATCCATAATGGCGCCATTGTACCTGATCCAAGTTTCAATACTCAAGTCTTGTTCTCGAAGGAGAAGACCCCTCCAAAGATCATTGAAGTTGAACCTGTGAATAGGAATATCACTATAATACACAAGATGGTTAAGGAATCTCCTGAGGAACCGGAAACGTCAACTTGGAAGTTGATACGCCACAGGGTCTCTTCATGGACAGGAAGGCTTAATCCTTTAAGAAGGTGGAGCCAGTCCGGGAGAGACAATGAAGCAAGAATTTCCCTAAGACGCAATGAAGCAGATCTAGGCGCATTCACCAGAAATGGAGTCAGGGAGAACGCTGATACACGTGGCACCAGAGAAGCCGAAGGTGAAGTCATCCGACTTTTGAATCCAGTTGACTGTGCACGAACGTGCCTCATCTCCAAGTCCAAGTCTGTAAGATCTGTTGAGCCAATCATAGAAGACGCTTCAAATGAGACAAGAGGCGAAAGCGCGACCTTGAGAAGACGACCCAGGGTAGCGAGATTACGCCGTGAATTCGCTGTTTCAATTGACGAAGTTATCAATTTGCATGGAACGCGTTATCAAATGATAGAGTATGACATCCAAGCCTCTTCTACGTCACGTGTGTATTCCGAAACCACCACCACCAGTGGAGTATTTGGCCCCAACAACAGAGTCCTTCGATCGCTAGAAACTCTTGCTTTGATGTCAGAAGAAGCCGGTGACTCTATTCAAGAAGATACCGATTTTGGAGCCCCTCTTTGTCGCCATTCTAGTCGTCAGCCCTCCGCCGAAGAAACTGGGGACACAGAAAGCGATATGAACGACAACCAACATCAAATAGCTACCCCCATGGTAGTAGCTCCAGCCCCAGAAGAACCCCGAGGGTCTCGCATCCTAGAGAATTATACTTCAACAATCGCCGCTATTAATGAGAATTGCTATCTAGAAGTACAGCGTATCTTTGATGCTCTGAAGGACTATGCTATCAAAATGGAAACCATTTCAGAAAGCGACCTTGAGGAAGATTCGGAAGTCAATCAAAGATCTAACTCCGATCCGCCAAGCCTGGCAGCCACCATGAACACCTCAGAAAGCAGTATGAGCGTTCAGCAGCAATCTTATCGTGTGGTCTCCAGATCGAATGCTATTAGAAGAAAACGTCGATCGGTGAGATTTGAACCATACAGCTTGAGCTCATGGAATGGGAGAGGCAAGGCAACAATCTAAAAGGGACAATGCAACAGTGGCCAGCCGAAATTCATCATGGCGCGGAATTTTGGGAATGGCTATATTGTCCAAATCGAATGATAGGATGAGATCTGATAATCAGGATGAGGTAAATAAATTGGAAAAGTCGAAATCGAAAAGGGACTGGGGGACTCTGATCGTATTTGGAAAAAAGAAAAAAGAAAGAAAAAAATAAGTTACTTGGCCCACCATTTGTTTGGTTATATCTGCAACTTTCTTTAAGTATAACATTGTCACTCGTTTATCATATTTGCAATGAACTTTACTTCATACAACTATCATTCATTTTCAAAACACAAGAAACTCTAAGATATGGCTCATCACTCGTTTGGTCATATCTATGAGTGGGAAAAAAAGAGGTATGGATAGGAAAATTACGACCACTGGCAAGATAGACAGGGAATTATATGTATATCTCATGTTTAGTTTACTAAAATGACAATGTTCTGTATCTTTTACTCCTGGTTTTTAACAAAATCTCAATTGATTGCGAATGAATGGTCTGGTATATGTGAAACCAAGCATGAAGCGGCGCCTCTCAGGGAGTTCACTCTACTTAGAGCGTGGGCAAAATGGGGAAAACTTCATGCAAAGCTATAACCATTCCTACTCGAGGGAGTCTGAAAGTTTTCTCCTCATTTCTAAGTGCTTCTTATATTCACAGGCACTTGCTGTATTGATGATGGAAAAGACAACGTAATTCCTGGCAAGGAAAGAAAAACATCTAGCAAATCGAAACAAGACAATTTATTACCAATTTTCTCTGTTCCCCGTAAGTCGCAATCCTAAATTTCTTTTATGGATGCTGATACTAATATCATTTTAATACATCGAATCGTTCAAACATAAAGCCACCCAAAAAGCCAAAATAAATAGAAGAGATCCGTTTGTTCGCTCCGCCCCACGATAATATATGAATCAATCGCACGACTCCCTACCTCAACCTTACTTGTTGAAGTAGCCTCATCCGTCCACACCTTTCTTCATGCCAACCACTCACGACATCTGTCCTGCACTACCCTTTCTCTCCCACTGCCCTCCAGGCTGAACATTCCTCTTTGCCTTCATCACTGAAGCGATTACCGAAGCTACCGCTAATAGTTCAAACGGAATCACACATACACTCATGATTCCCGCAGCTCTGCTTTCCGAACATAAGGTTCCCCAATGTGGCGAGGTTGATGTACTGATATTTGACCATTGGCAACTCCATGTTTGGACATTCCACTTTGTTGAGGAAGTTAGAGCATTGAAAGGAATGGCTGAGGCGACGACTGCAGCAAGAAGGGCGATAGCCAGGGGGATGAGAGTAGGAAGAGCTAGGGGGTTTCGCTTCAACTATTCCATATAAAATTAGCTCTAAATACACAAATCGGGAGACCATGGCAGTAACGTACGGCAGGAACAAATTGCCCCACGAGGGCCACAGAATTCATAACGAAAACTATAACTCCACAAACGACCCCGGCAATGGTAGGTTTCAAATCAAAACTTTGAGGCCAGACTGGCAATCGAAATTCAGCGCCGAGATGAGTGGAATGGAAGACTTGGAGTGCGTTTGCTGATGTAGCCATGATAGCAAGACCAAGAATTGCGCTAATGGCTATGAATGTCGTGTTGGCATGTTGAGCCATCGTTGCACGAGGGCGTGAAGAGGAAGGTTCGGGCGTGAATTCTTGGAAGGAGGATGTGACGGTGGTGAGGGGTTGCTTTGGTTCTGGGGATGGAGATGGGCCTGCCATTTTCGCTGTTTGGGGTTTTGAACGGTGGAGAAGAGAAAGAAGGTATGGATATAATGATATCGCGATAAAGAACGAATGTAAGGTGGGAAATGCAGTGAGAATACCCCACAATAAGCACAATAAGCTGAAGAATAAGAATGCGAAATAAACTCAGAATTGACGATCCTACGGAATGAATAGAATGGGGACTTTGATAAGTACATATACTCCCTTGCTATCCGATAATTATATCACTTACAATTCAATAGTTGAAGATGTCTTCAGCCAACAGAATTGATGAGGATAACGCTGAAGGTACAAACGCAGTGCTTCAAAAATGATAGGGCGATATAGCATGCCGCTTGTGCATTTCGGCATGTTTATATTCATATCTTCCAATCAGACGGTAAAATCCCTAAAAGTCTGTCCCAATCATATTTCCAAAATCATAGACGTCCTGTAAGATTTGTAAATGGTTGGCTCAGAATGTCTCTCGGTACATGATTTTCAAGGTTATTTTGGGCTGCGCACAGGCACGGGCGCTTGCATGTAAGGGGTAGGCGGCTATGGGAGGTTAAAGTAGACCAATGTGAGAGTTGCAGTGAGGATTTGGTGGGTTGATGGTGATGAATTAAGGAATTGGAGGTGCAAATCTATTCTCTTGCTGTTTCGTGTGGGTGAGATTGCCGTGGTTGGTAATTGATTGTCGATATTGGGAAAAATCGCAAGTCGTAGCAGGATAAGATACCGGCGTCTATACATTTTTCTGGTCGCGATTCTTCTCCTTGTATTAGCAAGTAGCGTACAGCTGATTTTCCCAGATATCTTTCGATGATCCGAGGACATCAAGTCGTATAGGAAGCCAAAGTGCGAGTGAAACATAGACACTTGACGACGGCGAGTTACCTCTGCATCACGTGCAGTGAGTATTCACAGATCGCATTCCTATGACACCCACGCATCGCAATTGGTTAGCATTGTGTATGTGTATTTGGTAGCGGAATACATGTGAAGTTTCGCGTTCGGCATTTGTTTGTTAACAAGATCTGAAGAGCGTGTTTGGGAGTCGGCACGTGACCTTTATATCCGAAATTGATATTGTCGTAGAACAAACAGAAAACACTAGAAACGAAGTTATCAACATCCAGCTTTTCCTGTACGAATCGGTGATAAGAGCCTGTATGTATCAGCTTGCAAAGTGCTAGGCAGTTTGTCTGGTCTAAGGGCTGCAGTTTTTTGGTACCAATCAATGTGTGTCCGGTTTATGGCACCAAAAGGGCGAGATCAAAGTTCTTATTCGTGAATCTTGATCGAATATGAAATCTAGAGGTAAAAGCAAGATGAGAGACGTGGCTTGCCAACAACACGGAATATTAATGACGAAAATTTCGTCTTCTCCCGCAGCTATCATTCCTTATTGTCAAGATCAAACACCTTTACTGGCGTCATTTCTAGGATCCATCATTTTTACTGATGTCCGAGCTATATTCTATGCTCTCGCAAACCAATTAAAAGTCCATCATTTTCAAAATATCAAGCCTTACATGTGTGCCTGATGCGAATCCGGGAATCCGAGTGCGAAACTATGTCATGTAACATGTAGCAGATCTGCAATAAGAACATTCCACAGACTATACTATGGATCGCAAGCTTGTTAGGAAACCTTAATCGAGAAGGTGTCACTTTAGACTTCACTTGGCTCTTCCAGCCATCACCATTCTTATGCGAATACATTGTTCATAATTGGCTGCGCGAGTGCGAGTGCGAGAAAAGACCCATGAGGATGGATATTACGGGGAATACGCGTATTTATATTCTCCGAGTATGCAGATCAGCAAATACACTGACCACTATTGGATATTCAAGTTTCACGTTGGTTGTGGAACTGCCATCTTAATATCTTCGACGACGACTAAAAGTGGCATGTCAAAACAAATGCGAGGTCCGAGAAACACTTCTTTATCGGCTCTACTTGCGGGCAGCCAACGTTGACGGCGTTGAGATGTGCATAATGTCCGGCATTGATTTTCTAAATTTTCTCAATCTTCTAAGAGGGGGGCCCAGCAACTCTTCGTCTGGTAGTGGGTGTCCCCGGGGTCTTTTGATCCACGATGATGGCAGTGGTCATCATAGGCAGTGCAGAACTCGCTATGTTGCTTGCCTTGTGCGAGTCGTTTCTTCGGACCGTCCTATGATAGGTTCATCTAATATGACAGGACTTAGTTGAAGTGTTGTAATACAGGAAGTCTTCGATGAGAAGGGGGCTGTTCTGGAAGCTTTTGATATGATAAATACCTCGATCTGCTGCTCTAGAACAATATTCACAATTCACTCACATTAAATCACTTCAATTTCGAATACACAATTACTCCTGCAAGCCAATATGAGACTTAACGTTCTTCCCGCTACTCAAGCCTTTGGCTTGGTCACTGCTAGAGCTTACTATTACCAACAAGATGCCATTAATGACATTGAAGGTGTTTGGATGGCACCTACAGATACCGACTGTATGTCTTACTCATCAAACCTCTTCTTCCTCTTCTTGACATATACTGATATCTCATAGTCCGCGGTCCATGTCCCATGATGAACACCTTAGCAAATCATGGATTTCTTCCACGCGATGGCAGAAATCTCACGGAATACAACGTTGTCAAGGGTCTCAACGATGGTCTCAACTTCAACAAATCTCTTGCAACAGTAATGTTTCAACAAGCCATACCAGCTAGCCCAGCTTATCCCAATACAACCTTCTTCACCCTGTAAGTAACCTCGATCCTAACTTCTTTCACTGCCTACCCCCATATCTACAGCTCAACAACTAACACCCACCAGCGACGATCTGAACCGCCACAACGTCCTCGAACACGACGGAAGTATAAGTCGTTCCGACGCCTATTTCGGCAACAACCACGTTTTCAACCAAACCATCTTCGACACCACAAAAGTATACTGGCCCTCCGAGGTCCTCACCGCTCAGCATCTCGTCGACGGTAAACTCTTCCGACAAATTGTATCTCGCTCCACCAACCCCAACTTTACATTCACCTCCACCACGGAAGCATTCAGTCTTGGAGAGATGGCCGCGCCAGTTGTCGCTTTCGGTGATAAATTTGCGGTTACGGCGAATAGAACTTTGGTTGAGAGTTGGATTGGTGAGTTTTGTCCCTGTTTTATTCTGTAATGCAAAGGTGGAGACTAATTTGATACGCAGAAAATGAACGATTACCTACTGAACTGGGATGGAGTAAACCAGTCGAGGAGATCACTTTGGAAGATATCACATACGTGACAGAGTATCTTGGTAATCTTACCACGGTTCAGAGTGATATTGTTCTCACACCAAGAAATCAGACTACTAGTGCCCATGCTAAACGTATGGGTCATTGGGGCATCTCCATGTAGAAAACTTGGTAGGAGATGCGGGGGAAGCATAGCTGGGATGATTTGGGATAGACATTTGGCTAAATTGGATGAACTTGCGTGGCGTGTAAGGATATATTGGCTTCCTTTTTGTATATAGATTCTAAATTTTTGAATGGGATACTTCTTCGGCTTGAACTTTCGAGTGTGGATAGATTCGGTTTGTTATACCCCAATTGATGTAAGCATTTTCACGAAATTAGTTTAACAATGAAAACATGAACCTGTAGTAAGAAATACATGACAGAGAGATTTAATCCACAATCACATATGCAAAGATAGAGACAATGTTTCAAGTGTTTATATTTGAGTATTGGAATTGTATCTAATGGCCCATTTACCGGAAAGAGATTCCCTACAAACTTCTTATCCACGCTAGACCGCCACGTAAACTGGCCCAGTATGCTGGAAGGAATCCCTCATTCTTTCATCGTAACACCTAATTCAATTGACTACCCATTTTTCGAGACAGGTATTTTCGGAACCTTGCCCATCCGAATTGGCGAGGATGCCGAAGAAAAAAAGATCCAGTTGGTACCCATCAGACCCAAAGGTTAAAGTCAAGCCAAACACACTCGGCACTTTCATGTATCGGAATATCGAAGAAGCAACAACAATTCCATCCGCGACGAAGTATCAGAAGCTACCTACCGAAATAGATAGTGACCCGGAAACCCCGAGCCAATACATCTCGTGCCCTGTAGGGAAATACTCCATTTCGCCCCATGGCGACTACAAGACGTGGAAGATAATCGTTTGCGCGACAATGAAGACACCAATAGTAAACCCAACCATGTGCTCATCTCTATGGTTGAAGACACGAGGGATTGCGTGCTCTTTTTAGAGCTTTGATGAACTCACTATTGAGAAGTAAGAAGAAGTCGAGGATGGATTGTTGTTGGAAGCTGGCATTATCTCACAAGAGAATAAGGTACCTATGTTGCAAAAGTTGACTAGGTGACGCAGACTAGTGTCCCGCCACGAAACCGAAAACCCGTGGTAGTTTATGTCGTACCCAGACCGAAAATATAAGAGAGAAGGCTACCGAAGTAGTAATCCAGATCTCAAAGAGAAAACTAGACCAATGCGTCCTGCCTCTCACCATGCTTTCTCTCCCTAGAATCTGTGATATACAACAAAGAAGAATCGATTGATGTACCAGACATAGTGGAGGCTGGTTCGAATGTAGAGGGTGAGGTAAAGTGAGTTTAGACTAGAGCGGGGAATGAGACAAATCAGAACCTTGTCTAATAAAGGTCCCCAAAAGGGAGCAGCCGTAATAGACGGTACATTGTTACGTGCTTCTGTTTGTCTGATCCAGAGTTGGAACCTCTCCAACCAAGGTTCCTGAAGCTGGCAATTCCGCACGTTGTGGACCCGTACAAGGAATAGTTGCTTCTATTGAATGCTGTCCAGAGTTTATCAAAGGTGGTAGTTTATATCATTACCAGACAAAGAGATCAGAAGAATTTGACGAAAAAGGTAGGTAGTAATCCAGACCACAGAGGGGAATCTGAATCAATGCGTCTCGCCTCTCAAAGACCATCCGCCGTTCCAATTGATCATTACTAGTATGAAGTAGTAAAACCAATTGAAACTATCCCAATGAGGTTGAATTGAATTAGGCTGGAGCGAGGAGAGTGTAACAGAATGGGACCCTTGCTAATCAAAGGTTCCTAAGAGCCGGCATTGACATAAATCAAATGGCAGTACGTCGTAATGTGCTCTCGTTTGAAATGTGATTCTGAAAGCAAGGCATTGATGTACATCGTTTGGCAGTACATTTCAATGTTGCTCGTCTTGACATCAGAAGCTACCTAGATCGGTAGTGATTTATATGAACTTCGAAAGGTTCATCAAAATCAATTCGTCCCGCAGTCGGCCCGCAGGGAAACATGGTCTTTTAACGTCTTGCCAAGGACGTTCAAGAGACGCTGGAGACTTTGAAAAGACGTCGAACGCTACTGCACTCGACGAGGCTTGCAATAATTACATGTTGATCTTCCAATACCCAGGCCATGAGTAAAGAAGTGCAAACTCAAGTGGGCTTTGAAGAGAATCTTCGAAATTGCAGTTCAGCGTAATGCCGAAACGGAAAGATGCCTTATTAATTGGTAGTTTATGTCCTACCGGACATTTGAAAAAATTTGATGATCCGTCAGTTAAGTCGAACCTATTTTTGAGATATTTAGATGGCTGTATTGAAGTAGTGACTTGGATATGGGAACTTGAGAAGTTATCCAAATCGATGTGGAGACCGAGTTTAACGTCATGCTTAGGCCAGCAAGCGCTGAAGTGAAGTACTCTTGGTAGACGAAGTCATGACTAGAGTACGGGAGAAAAGAAGCTACTTCTTCTGGTCGAACAAAGTCCGAATGGAGTTGCCAGATAAAGTAGAGCATGGATATGGAATTAGAAGAGTATCCGTGCTAATGCATCTCGTTTTTCTGGGGTAAAATGAGGTATGTGATTTACGACGCAAGTTACCACTCTCATCGAACACAAACTTTCGAAATTCCAATACTCAGACCGCGAGAAGAACTCCATGTTGTAAGGGACACTTCGAAAAAAGATGTCGAGATTTTAGTAGTTGAAGTCATACTCAGACTATGTGAAAAAATGCTGCCGAAGTAGTGACTTGGGCACATATTGTTGTCGAGATATCCAAATCAATACGTCTCGTCTTCCGCGTACAGACGAGAAATAAGCCTTTTAGAGTCGTGCTCAGGACAGTTACGTTGAAATTTTTGAATTGATAGCAGGACCTGCGGATCCCGCCAGTAGAAGCCTATTTTAGTCGAAGTTGTGCCAAGACTGATGAAGAAAGCTACCGAAGTAGTAATTAGAATACGGAGAGTTTTTAGTTCCTTGTCGGTATATCCTAATCAATGCGTCTACACCCTAAGGGCGAGGAAGCCTTTTAACGTCATGCTCAGGACGATCTTTCTGAATAGAGCTCGGGTCTTTGTCAGAAAAAAAAAGAAACTCAGAGTCTTCCCAGACACTTAGAGGGAAAACTGCTGGAGTAGTAATTTGAACTTTTTTTCAGCAGTGCTAACGCACCACAGAGTGATGTAAACATCGAGGAGAAACTCAATCAAGAGAATCCCAGAAAGGGTTGACGGAGCACAACTGAGTATACAGCGCTCGGGAAAGAAACCCACTCAAGAGGTGTCTTTGCAGCTGATTTGAGAGTGTATGTTTAGGTATGCAGCCGTCGGGCGAGAAACTCGGTGAAGAAAAACCCTATTGTAGAGGTGAAACTTGGTAAGCTTCACGAGTTTGAGCGGACTAAAGGTCCCAGCCATGGTGTGCAAGAGATAGCACAGAGTATTGCTCGGGATTGCCTTGCTTTTAGCACTGAGCTTTGTCGGCGGTAGTTTTATGTCATTCCGGACAAAGACCGAGACTATCGAACGATGTGGGAAAAGTTTCGAAGTTATGCAGTCGATATTGTCGTGCGTCGTGTTTTGTGGTTTGTGGTTTGACCAAGCTCATGGTGTGGATGCAGAATATAGACATGTGCAGATCATCTGCCCAGTTTCTGGTTAGTTGGTAAAACTCTCCAATAAAGAACGGAAAGGAAGTGAAGACTTACGCCGACATAGGACATTGTTCTTCATTGATGTTGGAAGGTGACATGAGAGCCCCGAAGGCAGAAAAATCAATGTCAAGAAGCAGAAGAAACGAGAACCCGGCAAAGAGCACACCGGCCACTTTAGTGGATAGAAGAGCAGGTAGCTCGAGACGAGGACGTTCTATTGTGCGAAGCTATGTCGGCGATTGAGGAGTATAATACCAGCTTGTATAGATGCCGTACTTAGATTGGAGACGCAGCTATCAAGTCTCGTTGACTCGGCGGCAGCATCATGAAGTTGAACAGAAGATGCGGATATGATCTCTGTGTGAGTTCACGGTCCTGAGCAGGAAGGTCTGCTATGTCCACTGTATAGAAGTCAGTATGGAACAATAGTTGAAAAGTAAGATCGAACGTTTTTGTCAACCAAAGTAGCTGCTGAAAGACAAGGTGCGGTAGGACACATGTAGTTGATCAAAGGTAGAAAAGGATGGAGATGGAAATCAAACATACCACATCATATTATGAATTGCACAAAGTAATTGCATCTTTGCTTATGCACCGCAAATATTGATGAAAGTCAAGTCGCAACTTGAAGTTGTAAGATCGAGAAAGCAAAGTAGAAGGGGAGGTTGGAGTATTAAATAAACAAATCTTGAGGCGCAGCGGATGGCGCTTTCCCCGCAGCTGTAATAAGTGAATTTCGATTGTGCTCTTAGCCTCGGTGATAATCTTGTTTTTAGGTATCAGGGCGTTTCAGGAAATGAGAAGCATGGTATGCCATTCACTTCAAGTATGATATTTCAAATTATAGATACTCTGCGTGAAATGGACCTCGGAATACTCAGATATCCAAAGACGTTCCTGATTTTGGAGGGTTGTCAAGTTGTCATTGACTCATTGTTATTGTTGTTGTTTTGCTGCAGTTTGAATAGAGAACGTAAACAAGAAATGCGATTTCTAATGAGGGTCTCCTGGTGAAGGCAGAGGCAGAGAGAAGATTTCGAGTAAAAGTAGTAGTATTATGAGCCTCTTATATTCAATGGATATTCAATAGGAATGGATTATTTGAAGAAGTGATGGAAGGTGAGGTGAAGACAAGGTGAATGAATAAAGACAATCAGAAATATTCAAAAGGGCAGTGCAAATTTGAGCTTTGAGGGATAGATATTCTGGATCATTCTACCTATTCACTTTAGCTCGTGACCTGGTACTTTGAAGGAAAGTTTTGTTGCACATCTGAAAATTTGTACCCATTCTCGAATTTGACGTAAGCAAGTTGAATGAGCCAATAGATTTGTGAGCGCAAAGGAGAAATCTCTCATTCTTGAAATTCCTCGCGAGAATGGCCAGCGACGAGAGCGGTGTGCAGGTTCTGCAAAAGCCCCCTTCAAAAAAAATCACAGCACATATTCCTCCTTCCACCCAGCACTAACCAATGTCACAAGAAAGAAATAAAAATACTCTCAAGCCGCGGACTCTATGGTCAGCCAATCCTCCAATTTTTGCAGCTCCAAGATCTCATGTCAAGTCCCCAACTTATCCGCTACTGGTCAACCGATTCACCCTACCTCGTCTATATATATCCTCATATCACCAATCTATACATCAAGAAACAACAAAGTTGGGTGGTCGAGTGGTATCTTAAGTTAGTCCGCGACAATAGATCCGTTCAATGGCCGCAAGGTACCAGCCATCGTAGCTGGGGTCCCCACTTGATGTTTCTTGATAACTTCTATTTTTCTCTCTTTTTTCATATTTCCAGGGAGCCATAGTAAGGAAGTTAAGGTATGCGACGAAGAATCCTTTTGCTTGGGCTGGTTGGGCTAGTTGGTACACGAATGATGGGAGAAGGGTCAGATGAGAACGAAGGTGAGAGCGCATGTTGCGAGTCTATTTGAGAACTCCCTCCTTCCATCTAACATACCAACGGCAGGAACCAAATGCGTTTAATACTTTGTTTCTGCCCTCAGATACAGACATTTCTGCTCGACACAAATAGTATGCAATATTAGTGACTCAACCATTACGATATTGCAACGAACTCTCCCCGACATCTTTTAAAATAGAACTTCAAACCTTTCACTTGAAAGTGAAATTCCCAATTAAAGATTAACTATTTGAGGAATACAATCGTTAAGATTCAGAACAAAGGATATTGGCGAGAATGTGAATGTTTCTGAAAGGGTAGTAATGGTGATTGAATCATTTGTAAAAGCTTGTGACCCCTTCGCCTTCGATAGATGCTTTATCTATGACAATTTCATCTAAAATAATCGGCAGAATCTCGCGAGGAATCGTTTCTTAGGCATTTACTGAAGCCAGCTTAATGCATACAAAGTTCACATGATGCACACACCATTCATGCTCTTCTTGATGTCCCAGACTAGCACTATATCTTCTTGAATCGACGGCGACGTTCTAGCCACAGATTCAGTATCTGCAATTTTTATCATATTGTCTAGACTGATGTTTTGGACGGAGCTTATAGGGATTTTTGGTGCCTGAGTGCAACACATCAATGTAGATGACATGCGTTGGAGAAAATGAAACTAGCCTCCCACGAAAGATTCTCGATGCGACTGAGGTAAGAGAGTAAGATCTACTATGCCTAGGAATGTCCGAGTATATGCCACAAATTATAGATTACAGAAAAAGAGTGAATCGCAAGAGTCAACATTCACAACTCACGAGCACTAGCCTGTTTCCCACCCTCACGACTCCTCACTTGTCCTAAATATATAATCAAGAACATCGTGCATTGTACTATGAACTCGGGACTGGCGAGCTCAAAGTGAGAGAAGGACCGCGTCATGATGGTGTATCAAGGGAAGATATAGGATATATGAGACTTCTTTATAAATTTGCGGATTCACATACAAGTCTCCACGTACCGACTCCTGCACACAAGTTACAATATGACTTTCGGCCCCTCACCACGTCTTAGATTCTTATTTCCCCAATCACAACGGTAGACTTACACAAGTCGGGTATCAGTGATCAAAATCAACACAATATTGCAGAATCTCCAAAGCTTGGGCAATAGTCTGAAGCATGAGAAGCCGTGGAAGATTTATGATGTCGTTAACAAGTCAGGTGCCTCGGGCCCACATTAGTCCACCTCATAAGACCTCACGAATCACTCTCTGTCCAGCATGCCTCAAACTCATAAGATATGTAAATATGGATGTGTCTGACTCGAAAAAAGAAAAAGAGATTGATCATGATGGGAAGGTAAGGAGTTCTTTTAATTCTCCTTGGTGTTTTTTTTTATCTGGCCAGCTGTCTTCTATTTTTCTGTCCAAATCTGCTATCACGAAGTATTCGTATCATTTCTCGCTCAATTGTTGATTGTTTCATGATTTGCTTGATGATCTGAACACTATGGTATGCATGAGTATGAGATTCAAGAATCTAAGCTTACAAGATTCACAGTCCATCGTATCTTCACGCGCATCGGGAGCCTCTCCACCTACATCCCCTCGCTCACCAACCCACCTAACCGGTCACAAACCCAGCAAATGGTACCACCTCCAGCTCCGTACCATCGCTCCCTTCGCTCTTCCTTTGCTATCCCTTATCGGTTTCTTCGGAACCTTGGTCCTTGGAGGCAGTAATGGGACATTCGAACACATCACCAGTCTTGTGAGACAGAAATCACCTTCCGCCGTTTTCCCAAATGCGAAATATTTGTTGTTGAAAGAATATACGGGGATCAGAGCTCTCGATAGGCAATTGACTGTTCTCGTGACTTTCTTTGCTCCGGTTGTTGATAGTAGAAATGCTGCATTATGGTTGAATAGTTTTTATGGGCTGGGACAATTCGGAGCAGCATGGACATTGTTGGTGATGGAAAGTTTAAGAATGGGGAATAAGGGAAGGGCTGTTAGTTTGTAGGTGATCCTTGATGTGAACACAGGGCTACCTATCTATTTCCAATTTTCGTGATTTTGTTTGATACCTTCATGGTGGCGAATCGGATGATCAATATTTCAAGGAACATTACTGACCTTACACAGCATCGGAACAGTTGGATTAATCTTTCAAAACATTACCTATGCAGTTACAGTACCACTTTATCTTTTCATCCACCTCTTAACATCACCAGTCGCAAAAGCATTTCCAGGGACGCATTCGAATAGCGTTCTACTCATCTCGTCCCTGGATCTAAAGATTTTACCCCTTTCAATCACCCTAGCATACATTGTTCCATCTATTCTTATGGGCCTTGACGCCCCATCTCAAGTTTCAGGACAGACCCATCAAAAATTCATTGCTTTGTGGCAACCCTTCCCACTCTGGACAGTCATTATCCAATGGACACTTCGTTCATTCTTTCAACTCACTGGATCGAACCTCTCTTCGAAAGATTCCAAACAACCACTAGCACCACAGGGAGCATCATATCTTAGCAGCGCAAAGCATGTGTATCGCTTCGCCCTTACTTTATGTGTATTGACGCATCTTCCTATTCTCCTCATTGCTCTCGTCCCCGCCTCAGTCATCACAGATATCCTACCTAAGCTTGCTCCGTATGCTAGTCTAAACTTTTTCGATGTCTACGTTCCCTACTTTCCCTTTCCACTTTCTCATCGAGTGTCGGATTTAGCAAATGGCGCTCACACATTCCTTCAATGGGATTTGGCAGTTGGCTCAACAGCCCTCTTGTTATGGGCGGTTTTATTGTATCGTAATGCTACTACTGAAAAATCCGTTGTAGATCCTGACACGAGTCTTCCTTCATATCAGATCCGAGAGATGCTAGCTGGGGAGGGGAATTCAGTCGGGGCTTTGAGGAGAAAATTATTGGTTAAAATTGGTGTATGGACATTAATAGCTGGTCCAGTTGGAGCAGCCACAGTGACAATATGGGAGAGAGATGAGATCGTACGACAGAAGATTAAGCAGGGTATTTGATTTGAGGTTGATAGTGTTGAGGTCTTGGCTATATGGTGGGTTGTCTCTTGGTAAAACTAGATGCGACGTGTATAACATGAAATGTGTGAGTATCTTATGTAGTAGAAATTGATCAATTTGCTGTTGCTGCTGTTGTTGTTATAGTAAGAAAAGATTACCTCACATTCTTGAACCCTTCTTCACTCGAAAGATTGTCCTTGATTTTGAATAAACATATTTCCGTCACAACCAAATTTTAGCATTTCACTTTGAGTACCTAGTAACAAATGCAAATCCAGCACAACCTTAGGGACGAAATGTCCGTGTCACACCTAATCCAAAAATCACTTTAAATCTCGTACCCATTGTCACTCCTCACTGCCACCGCCCCAAAGCCTTCTTGTCACCATTCATGCACGTAACATTTCACAACTTCTGACTCTGTACTTTCCTGCAAGTGAGGCCCTGGAATTGATCTCGGATCTAGGGGGGTTCTCTCTTTTTTCTATGGCGATTGCGCGAATACCCTGCTTTCTGTTGCTGATCTGATAATCATTCGTCGTACGGAATATGTGTTGTATATGCATGTAGATGGATGAGTCCAAATTCCAGTTTTCTGTCATTCGGCTTGGCGTGAAGAAGTGCAGCAAGTGGGGGAATAATATCAATTAAGATAACTATATGTAAATGTAAATGTGAATGTAAATACAAATACTCATTCTTGTATTCGATGCTGTAAGGGACCGATATTATACGGGATACTAGATAGAGTGGGTGAATGTGGTAGGTGGGATTTGTGATGCGATGGAGACGTTTCACGGAAAGGGACAGGTAGGTTGGATGGTACTGCAGGACGGGATGGATAGATGGATAGATGGGAAGAAGGAATTATGTTTGATTTTGATGGGAAATGTGGTAGGTGGGTTGGGAAAGAAAGTTTATACTAATGATGATTGTATTGCACTGTTTTGATAATAAGTGGCAGCAGCAAGAGTAGGTATGCTTTTGCTTAGGTACTTTACTTTATCAATCCTTGGATGAACGGATGTTTGTATGGATAATAAATAAGTTATACAAACGGAACGAGACACCGATTAGGATTACCTAATCGACGAGTACAAATTTTGAGGACCAGCCTACCTCGAATACTTGAATCATTTGGAACCTTTTCCACCACAGATACTTTCTTTCGTCATCTCTATTCGTATACAGAGATTGTCTTCACCATCGTGGCAAAAGACACGATATATCTTATGTACGCAATCTGATGGTTTGGGGGTCTCTTTGGGAGATTCAATTGAAGAGATACCCGTTCGCCAGATTACTTATGTGCGTGCCAATAGCTACTAGATCTTATATGGTCCATGTAGGTATCGCAAATCAGAAGTCTATCGTAGAAAGGAATCAAGCTCCAACCTTAATCTGATCTGTGCGAATTGAAGAACTCCAAGTCAGATAGTTATCCCAGCTTCTCATAGTTCCAAGGCTTGATGATTAAGACCCGCTTAAGCTATTTCCTCGCTCTTTAGCAGTGAGCTGGACCAATCATATATAGAGAAGATCATTTAAATCCTGAGTGAAAGAAAGCTCGCTCCGTCGAAAGAATTTAGATCGACAACTTTGACATGGTTTTTGACAAGAAGCTATACCTCTTTAGTCAGGTTCTTCCCCATTTAAACCGGGATTGTAGATCTTGTACATATCATTGCTGAGGACTTTGTGCAGGCTCCGGACAGACTCCATTCACACTCCATCCAGAATTAAAGTTTTGGCTGTAGTCTGCTTCCTGCATGATATTCCATAAAAGAGTCTGGATCGTCTCTAGTACCTACCTCGCCTCTCTCGCCCGCTCAGTGCCGCCCGCACCTGCCAAAAACTATTGACCTATTTTAGTCTGCTACCCTCGCTACTCTACCTCTCTCTCTCCCTCTTCCACATCTTCCATGGAGGAACGTTCATTTCTTGATCTTTGCTACCCTTTATCTCACTCTTCTTTTACAAAAACAACATTCATCTGTCTGACATTACTTTTTTGATCATCACTACACGTCAGATTTTCATTTTTGGCCAATCATTCATCCCAAGTACGAGTCTTCAGCCTTATCGCTTCTTATCGTATGCATTCATATTGAAGGACGGGCGACTTCGGGAAAGCCGAGGAATCATTCTATAACTGGTGTCTACCTCTACATACTTTCTAGCTCTATCATCTCGTGGCTCAGTTTTTCAATACTTTGATTTGTCTTAAAACTGCGCACATCACAATATCCAACATTCACATCAGACATTTACTTTTAGATCCCTGTATTCCTTCCTCTTGCTTTGGCTCACGCATTTTCAATATTTCTCTCATCCGAAAATCCACTTTTGGAGCTTTCCATTGCAATGTCAATAACAGCGGCAAGTTACGAGCGAATATCCAACAAATACGAACCACCTTCGAAAGGGATAGTTGATATCTATTCCCAAAAGGGCTTTGTGTTGGATAACAACGGTGATTCACGGTGTGTAAGATCGATCGTTGAGTTGCCCGTTCAATTGCCACCTTCACCAGCCGATAGTGACATGATGGATCTTAGTCCGCCATCCTCTTCGACCTCTCCAATTATTCTTGAAGAGCAACGAATCACTAGAGATATTTCACGCGGTACTCCTGGCGATATGCAGAAATCGAGTGTGTCAAAATCACCAGAGCAAAGGCAGTTGGCAATGAAGAGAAGTCAGTATTATGGTGATGCGTTTGCATATCGGGAATCGGCGGGCAGTGCGAGAGAAAGAGTGAGCAGGGATAGCATGATTCTTTGTGAGCTGGTGACGAATGTTATTGTAAGCTTTTCCCTCTTTTTCTCTGGTCTAACTTACATCTTCGCCTATTCAAAATCAGCTGCTAAGACTTTGTACCATAGATGCGTGAAGAACATACCCTTCTTACAAGTCTCTCTAATCTTCTTTCAACTCGCTATCAGCGTCCTGAATCCTCCATCTTCGTCACTCTCAAACACTCCGCATGCTTTATCGTAGCTGGAACTTTCGAACCTGCATATATTATGACTATAACCGGGCTTCCATCACAAATGCAACCAACTACGAACAAGAGAAATGCATCATTACTCCAAAATTATATGGCCACTAGTGAATTATATGTTGAGCCGGAGCGTGGTATTATTAAATTTGTGCCATTGGCCGAGGAGAATTTCGCAACAAACGGGAAAACGGTTGCTGGTGAGATAGAAGAATTGGAACGAGAAGTTGCAAATGAGGCATCGGGATTCCGCAATACACACTCGTCGGGAAGCGTCAAGAGTAAGAAGAGACAGGCTGGAAAGTCCTCTAAGAATCAAAAATCCAGGCAATTACCAACCCATGAAGAATATACTCCATCCGTCAGTTCGAGGGCAACACCACCATTACCGCCTATGCCAACTAATGATAATGCATTGGATGCCAAGTCATTGAATGTGCGGAAGTTGGGGAGAAGAAAAAGTTTTATGGCTGCAGTTTTTGGAAGCAAGTCCAAGTCTTGAAGATAGCGAGATGGTATATGTGAGAAGGTGATTCAGATGAAACATCTTGAAGGATATTTTGAATTAATGGGGAAGAGGTGGTCTAGCGACCCACAAAATTATAAAAGTGCTTGCATTATGGTTACCTGTGTAGCGACGGAGTTTACAGGGAATATGATACCTGCAATATATGCATGGATGGAAAAGATCGATACGATCAATGGGATAGGAGAATACTTTGTGAAAGGGTGATTGCTTCATTGGTTGGATACGGCGTCATATTATAAGAATGGCAAGGTGGTCTTTATGGATATCTTACATGGGGCTTCTCTCATGTCGACTATGGGAATAAATTACAAGAGGGGTTCATGGGGTAGGGATATGGAATGGAACGAATACAGTAATGTTAATATTAGGATTTAAACGTTAAACTTCTCTTGGCTCTTGCTATTAGGCTTGAGCAGGAGGCAGAATATTAATACAATCCAGAGGTTTTACTTGAATGATTATTATATTGGATGAATTATTGTAGTGGATTGTGGTTCTGTGAGACGTGAACATGAGGGGAGAATATGCGGATTGATCTCGTTTTTAGAGTAAATCATTATGATGTTTGTGTGTATGTATGTATTAGGTATGTATAGCATAGGTATATTCAGAATGAGGATACTACGGCTTGGAAATGAGATACTGAGGGGAGGGTAATGGGGTGGAGGGATGAGGGTTGAGGTTGGGGGTTGGGGTTTGGGTTTTGAGGTTTAGAGTTTGGGTGACTGGGTGACTGGTTGACTGGAGGAGAGAGGTTGGAGAGGGGTTGCTTGGGTAGTTGGGTAGTTGGTTAGTTGGGTAGTTGGGTAGTTGGGTAGTTGGGTAGTTGGATATATGTATTTATAATGAGGAGGAGAAAAGGAGAGAAGAGAGGAGAGGAGAGGAAGGAGAGGGAAGGGAAAGGAGGGAGAGGAGGGAGAGGAGGAGAGAGGATGGAGGGAAGGGAGGTATGGAAAGGTAGGTAGTTACATAATATATGATAGCTGGGTAGGCCCGGGTAGTATGATAGGTTGTATATAGTAAATTGGTAGGTTGTATATGGTAGGTTATTTATAGTAGGTTATATATAGTAGGTTGTATAGTGGGTTGTATAGGAGATTGTAATTCTCAAATTCTCATTGTGTTCTATAAAATGGTCTTATGTTATATTATATATTTATATTTATATATAAGAGGGAATGAATGGAGTGGGATTGGATGGAGTGGGATTGGATGGACCTGGGTAGTATATATCTATTTAGTATATATCTATTTAGTATATATCTATTTAGTATAACGTGATTTATTATCGAGTAGACCATATCATTAAGTGGGCCATTTCAAAATACACCAAAATTAAGGTTTTTTGAATATTCATATTTTAATAACTAATCATTATTTTAGAAAAAGAAAAAAAGATTAAATAATAATAAAAGATTAGTTTTCTAAAAATCTAGTTTTTATATTAATATTTTCATTTTATATTAAAAA